TTTGTATTGTAGATGAAAGTGTATCAGTTTAATATCCCTTTAGGGCTTTAAGCCTTTTGCGCAAATTAGAAACGTCTGGGTTCCTCAGGATTAGGATTCCTCATTAGATCAGTGATTAAGTGAGCTCCCTCTATCGTAAAGAAAAAGACAGTATACTGAATATGTACTGTAATATAGAATAAATAAGGCTGAAGCGCTATTCTGTAAGTATAAAAACAATACTATTAAAAAGTAAATAATAAATTATAAATGAATTCAACATGGGCAATGACAATGATAGAGTACCAACTATTCGTTAATTCAATTTGTAACGGCTTCCATTTGGCCCAATGCCAATATGTTAGGAGCAAGTATTACTTAACTGGTTAGAGAGAGCTCTTTCTATTAATCTATTTTTTTTCTCAGCAAGATTGGTTATCGTAGCTACTAGGTATCTTCTTCCTATTGAATATTCTCCAGACTCTTCCTATTATTATATATATATATATATATATATATATATATATATATATATATATATATATATATATATAGATTAATTCAACAAAGTGCGACGAAAATGAGACGTTTTCGAGAGTGAATATATTCATTTATATTTAACCGAAGTCATATTTTCTGGCAAATTGATAGATTTGCGTATTCAGAACGAAAATATAGTCTAATAATGTTCCAATATTAAAAACAAAGCAGTATACTGTATTTAACGCCATTCAAGGTTGAAACCTGCTACCTACCAATACCAAGTATAAAGTTGGAAAAGTTTTTAACTTGATCCCCGAACACTCGTTCGCTATAAAATGTACTGGCAAATCGACTTCTTCGTTTACAAGACGACGTGGGGCTCGAACTTTACAAATAGGGCAACAACTAGGTTAGGTATGATATGAAAATTTCAAACCTACTTTTTTGCGTTCTTTTCATCTTGTGGTAGAAAATATAAAAATATTGTTACCCTTATCTAACATTTTATTATAAATAAAATTAATAGATTATTATTATCATCACCAATATTTCTGCAGCGACATGTGTATGTGTAATACTATTAGTTGACAAATGCGTGTATTTAGGTAAATATAAATATTGAATTACAACAACATGAATAGCGGATATATCGCTCCATGATATTTAAATGTTGACACGAAATCTATTTCTATGCCAGCTTTTAAAATATTATCTCTCTGGCAATATTTACTTAAATCAGTTACCAAACTATTCTGTAAACCAATTCCGATCCAATAACAGTCGAATGAACCATTTAGCCATAATCTTGAATTTAACATTAGCAACGTATAAATTACATATCAATGGTCAATGATCCTTTCGTAAATCTTTCATTTCTAATTAATATTGCTACTGATTTACTAACTCCAGTCTTGATTGCGTTTCAAATGTACAGTAAAAACTGGATTGGATTGAAATTGATAGATTCCAGTCCAGAGTAGAGACGCTGATCAGCAGACAAACTTCAATATGTATTTATATTAACAATATGTATTATTACTAATGTATTTATATTAACTAATGAAGAGAGAATTGTTATGAAAAGGGTCTATCGTAGTTTAGTGTAATGGAACTAATCTCCGACCCCCCCCCGATTTTTAAGGTGAACTTTAGTTCACATTAAAAATCATTGTGATTAATTATACTAAAACAGCTTCTTAAGTTTATTTATTTTTAATTTTAACCGTTCGACTTGTCACTTTATTACATCTACTTAATAATAAAAATAACTTTATGCAATGAAATAATAAGAACACTAATAACGATAACCATTTATTATCGTAATTAACAATTAGGAACTTGATTGTGAATAGCTGTTTAAGACAGTCACAACTACTCAACTCCTTTGTATACATATACAATTTATTGTATATTCCGATTAATAGAGCCATTCAAAAACATTCAACATACAATAGTAGGCATAAAATATTATTTATGTCAATTCTATTGAATTACAGCTACATGTGCACAATTTGAGCTGGCTAGCTTTAATCATTATGTTTAAAGACAGATTAAAAATCAATATGATACGATAAAAAAAATTAAAATTTTGCCAGTTATTTTCAACTAAAGCTTTAGCCGAAGTAGATGGCAGAGATAGTGATAAAAAAATATGTGTGTGTATAAGTGCCTAAGTATCCTATATGATTACATGATTTTTACTATGATTTTGATTTTAGTATATACTAGCGACATGCCTGGCTTCGAACGTATGCATTCCAAAACTTTGAGATACGCGGCTTGTTCTATACTATAACACGCATCTATTATACATATAATCATTCCTCTTGTCTATTGCTGAAAACTGCATTCGTTGTGTAATTTAATAGATAAGATGATATATAAAAATATAAGATGACTTCGTTTTACACTACGTAAAGATAAAGACGGGCAAGGGAAGGACAAAACAGTACTTATTAGAGAATTTAGAGCTAGTAAATATCTACATAGCCAAACAAAGTCTAAAATAGGTAAGTTACGACATCGATTCCTAATAAGTCAGGTCCAATTTATTGTTTGCGTGTTGAGTATCAGGTAGTTTAGGTACTAATTTTGTTCACTGTACTAAGTAGTTGTTTGTGCTGTGTTGTAGGTAGTCCAGGTACTAATTAATACAACAAAGTATAGTATAGATATATATTTTTAATCTTTTGCATGTAATAGTTACTACCGGTACATGATTATTATTATTTATTTATAATTACAAAATTGCAATATACATTATTCTTGCCTTATACGCAAAAATATACAACTATATGAATGCATATTGGGTTTTAATTAGTGGTTTTTCATTAAACTGGTGTTACATTAAATTTATGTACCTACTAGCTGTTCCCACGACTTTGTCCGCATGGAATTTAACTTTATTTTTACTAAATAAAACAATTTTCGGTCTAGCCATTTCAGAGATTCGCCGAAACAAACAGACAGACAGACAAAAATTGTAAAAAAATTGATTTTGGTTTATGTACAGTCTTTACATTCATATGCATGTAGTAAAAACGGTTATTTCAATATTACAAACAGACACTCCAATTTTATTTATATGTACTTATAGGTGTATGGTTCTAAGCGCATGAGGATTTATCTGTATGCTTATTTCCTTACGAATTCTGCCCAAATATCAAACACATACAAATATAAATACTATCACATTCATTTCAGTAGGAATAAGGATGCTAAAATAGTCATGAAATAATTCGTTTTGTAAGCATTCTTTGCATTACATCATATTATAAAATTCCAAATGTGTAGCACAAGAGGCGTAGTCCCAAGGTCGGTACACGCCCACACAATTCGTTTCAGGCCAAAATTATGCCCAAATTAATAACATGCGTATGCTAATCACACACGCATGGTTATTCATTGTTTATGACAATTTATTATTACTATTATAAATTTATTTTGAATAGTCATTTGTGAGGATTCAATTCACTCTATTAGAAAGTTGTATGTGCTGCACTATTTTTTTAATTTATTTATTTCAGTTACTAGGTGCACTTACCTGCATTAATTGTTTACCATGATACGAGATATAGTGAGACAAGGGCACCAGTGATAAAATGAGTATGAGGTGAGGTCAATTACCACATAGTGGCAAATTTGCCAGGAATTTATAATAGTGACTTCCAAGGAAAATTTGTGGAGGTCAACTCAACATAGTACATTACTAGTAATGGGGTCATTACTCTCTATGCGGCACCCCATAATAAGTACAGCCAATAGAGAAAAAATAATATCATATAAAAAAAATAGTACAAAAACAAAAAAATATGTTTAACATTAACATAAACTGAATGCATGAGGCATAAAATATATAATGGATAACTAATAAGTTAATAACTACTTATATGTAATGTCTTTCTTTTTGTATTGTAATATAGATTTTGTATTATTATTATTTTAATTAATATATCATCTGAGTGCTAATGAAATTATATTATATGTAAACCACTATTGTCACCCATGTCACAATGTATGTAAGATTCTGATGTCTCTTTTGCTGTTTATACACATAAATGATGGTTTAACAATTTTCACAAAATGAACCGTAAGCATGTTTACTATTGCAATAACATAACAAAATTGTTTTCAGCAGAGACAGAGAGAGCTTTAGTGGAAAATTTCATAGGTACCCATGACATATAATATATACATTTATTCACATTGTGCTAATTGCACTCAACCACAAAAATGTTCTTTAATAACATATAAGATTAATCTAAGCATTCATAGAGAAGTGATAATAATTATATTGCCAGCCAAAAGAGTGAACCAAAAACAAAATAAATAGTTATTGCTAGTGAAAATTGTAATACATGTCAAAACAATGTTGATGTCTTACAAAACTTTATTACTAGTTATAGAGCCTCATCAAGTTATCCACCAACCAATTCAAAAATTGTATGTTATGACAATACCAAAAAAAGATATAAAACCTAATGAAACATTTTTATTATTGAATTCCTATTCCTGTTATGCAGAGGAAATAAATAATAAATATTGTCAATTTTTTTCCATAATTGTCAATGGATTCTATCTGGAACCAGTTTTGTTTGTAAATATAATATTTATTGATTAATACAATTTGTCTGTGGGCTATAGAAAATAATACCTACATCAATATCACCTAACCGATTTTTGTTCTTACTGCACGACTATTTAATTAATTTGAGAAACAATGTTATAATAAAATATAAGGCAAGTTATCTTATGTATTATTAAGACATTGTTATTATTTGTTATTTTTTAAGAGTAATTTTATATATTGATGAAAGAATGGCATTAGATTATGTATAAATTCTAAACCATAATTTAAAACTTACTTTTTTCATATCAATTTATTGTTTTCTGTTTACATCATTTATCAAATATCGTGTACACTGTCTATTACGAACTTGAGTTATCGTTCTAGTATTTTACTTTTTCTTTCGCTTCTAATAAAACTGAATTAAATTAGAATTTGCCCATTATTAAATTTTATGGTTGGCTATAATTACCTCTTCCAAAGCGCTGATGGTCTGCCGGCATTGTGGCATACGCGACACGAATGTAGAAGTTGTCGGTGAACTGTAGTCGTCTCGAGTTTCCTCAATAAATTCGCCAATACCAATAAGACCCGGCATTGTGATCACAATCACTCAAAATTGTACACTCTAAACTATTTTGTCATTGGTTATTTATATCACTCAATACTGTAAATGAACGATAAAATAGTAATAAAACACATTTTCACGTACAAAACAATTCTGCGCAAATAAAAACAATATAGCATTTATTTTAACAATCTACAAACAGCCATTTCACTCGAGGTGAATGACGTTACTAAACTGTATGAAATTAAATAAATTGATTGAACGAACGATGTTTTCTATGCACTGTACATACATGAAAGAATGAATGCTGAAATGACATTGACAGTTTCCAATTTCTATTTCAGTAAAATAAAAATACATTCCTATATGTGTATTGTAAATTAGAAATCATATACATACAACATTTCTACATGTGATAGATATTTTATGTAGTGAGTATAAACTATTCATATGTAAATATAGGGTCTAAAGTAACTAGTGACTAAAAACAATCATCTAGAACGCTATGCTTTATATAATTATGTGATAGTGTAGTTAATAAGTTAAAAATATTTTTTTTATATTTTTAAAGTAATTTACCATAACTTAATATAAATTATCAGCGTACTTGAAAGATTCACAATATCACTACTATTAAGTACTCTACAACACTAAATCTGTGCACAATAGAAATTTTGAATGTGGTCACACTGGTATCAAATCATGACGGAATTGTCACGAGGTACTTTCGTAATCATTGCTATATTTCATTATTTTATATGTTTTGTATTTATTATTTTCAATTAACAATGCTGGATATCCATCAAATAATAAATAGTTATCATTACATGTTTTGAATTTAATGGTATATCAAAATACGCAATGTTCTTAATTATTTTTCTTCGCAATTCGTAATGTCATACTACATCTACAATATAGATTGACTATCTACAATTAAATTTTTACAAATATATATTCTTTTCTTTTCAAGGAATCGGAGGTATTTGGTCAAGATTATTCGACCATCGACCGTTTTTGAATGGAGAAATAAAATTTATGGTGAAGGAATTTGAGGTAAATATGACATATTTATATATGCTTGCTTTATTTTTTTATATTTTGCCTTGTTTCTTTTCTCTATTTTTCTATTTATTCCAATTATAATAAGTAAGACTTACTTTTAGTCACATACTAATAGTAATAAATGTGTAATACAATAAATGCATGCATGAATAAAAAAAAAGCAAATATTATGATAATTAAATTTTGGTAACATAAGAAACATTTCACAGGAAAAAAGAGGAGACCGTGAAGTTGAGAACTTGTTCTCAATCCTCGAAAAGTTAACAGATATCAAAGACAGTCAAGTAGATAAGTTAAAAAGAAATGGAACATCATTGCCTATTTTAAATGAAAAATTAGAACAAGCACTACAACTGTGTGAAGAAGTTGAGAAAGATTATCTTCACATTAAAAAGGTAACAATAATAAAATAAAAAGGTTGTTAATAAAATAAGAATGTTGCATGCTAAACTGTAGTGTAGCATACACTATTATTTTTTATCATTTTGTTTTTGTACTAGGATGCTACTGGAATAGCTCACAATGGAGGACTGAGAAGATAATAAATATCTCTATCTCTGTTTGAGTAAAAAAAAATCAGGTTTTTTTGGTTGCATATGTATACACAAATCATTTGATTTGGGAATACATACAGCTATCAAATTACATGAAGCATTGATTTTCATGTAATTTGTATGTAAAGATATCTTAGATATTCTCACCTAATTGTGAATGTAGAATAAATGTGTATCTAGAATTGTCAAAATTCTATAGCATCAAGATAGAAACAAAGTCTATGTCTCAGAAAAAGGTAGTGTTAACTATATCTTTTGTTTAAAATATGCATGTATATGTGATTATATGATTTTTAGGAAAGTGAGCAAAAACGAATTGAAAATCACCAGAAACGCCAAAAGGAATGGGATGAGTTCATTGATGATATGAACTTTAAATGCAAACGAATTGATAATACTTTTGAAGAGAAAGAAGAAGAGCTAAGAGACTTGTATACTGATCTAAACCATAAGTTGAATATAGCAAATAAATAAACTATGGACCTCAAGGGATCTCTAGTGGATACAAAGCTAAAAATCTACCCATCAAAGAAATTGTTTGACTTTTTAAAAACCATACCTATTTCAAACAATACTCCTGTGAATATAGCAAAATTGGTGAAAGGTGAAGAATTCACATATACAAATAATAGCGGATTAGACCGAAAACCAGTAGATTTTACTTTAAATGACAAGGACCTTGAAATCATAAAGGGAATAAAAGAAAATTTGAAAACTATAGAAACTGACTCTGATTCAAGTCAAAATCTGAATAAAGTTGTTACTAAAAATGATGTTGAAATTACAGAAGATAAGAATTTAAATAGTTCAGATGTGGAAAATAAAGATTTGAACAAGAAAGTAGCTAAAAGTAAAAATATAGTTACTATAGACACAGAAAATAAAAACTCTCTTGAAATTGAACCAAAGAAAAAGGGAGAAAAATCTGAGCGAATGGAAGAGAGTTTATATCTTTCTAACTCAGATATAGATTGGTTATATTCTTATCTTCAGAAAGGGAGAAATAGTGGTGAAAAAGATGTACCCTACTTACATGTACTTTTAGAGGGTGCAGATATTGAATTACCAGAGAATGTGGTAATAAAAAGGAATCCTGTATTGGAAGAAAGATGTGTAAAATTAAGGGCACAGCAAGAAGCTAGAGAATACAGAAAAATGACTAAAGGTGTTGATAATGTCAGAATGAGATTTCCTGAAGACAGTATATCTTATCAGTGTAAGTAGAAAATAGTTTAATATATATATGTATAATTTATACATACTCGTTTTTCTATCATTGGTTGCATATTTAATCTCAGAACCTGCAAGTCTCAAATTAACACATTACACAGGTATTGACTGTGTCTATCACACAATATGATAGCCTAAAACCAGTGCCTCAGGGTTTACTTTGATGTGAATAAATATATAAATTATCTCAGAAAATAGTACATAGAGTTTGTCATGTTCTGAAATCAGTTCTGAATTCAAAATGTTTAGAATCTATAAAGAGCAGGAGGATATAACAGTTTATTATCAATGTCTTATTTTTTTGTTAATTGTACCAAAAAAATGTGTTTTGGTAAATGCAGTAGATATTGACATATGTAACTTCTTTCTAAATCAATTATTATGCAGTATTCAAATTATGGAGCAATACCTAAATATATACTATTGTAATCTAAATTGATAATTGTATTAGTCATAATACCAGGGTAGGTATTGTGACCAGTAAAATTATAATAATGAATAAATAATATTAGTAATGACTCAATTTCAATGACTTGATTTTTTTACAGTGAAACAAATAAACCGTCACCTAATTGCAATTGGTCAATTTATCCTCTCGATATTTGCTGGATTTTTGTTTGGATTCAAAGGAATAGAGTGGATGGTTGGGCCTTTAGAATTTGGGTTCAAGTTACTTCTGGGCATAATGTGTTCACTAATTATTGCACTTGCTGAAATATACTTCCTGGCTAAAAAGTTAAATGAGGAATTGAATGTACCAGAAACTATACAATTAGGTGGACCAACCAAATTTGTCAATGAACCTACATGTCACGGACATAAAATAAGTTTACATGACAAAGAACATAAGGACTAATATATTTATTTAGTGTACTGTTTTTGTTTCTAATGTTATACCCTATTATTGTCGAATAGTGTATTGGATATGTTGTAATAAATGGTGAATTATTTATATATTTCTTTTCATAATGTTTAAGTCGTACCTTAAAAACAACACGAAAGGTCAATCGATCTAAGTATTACACTCCATAAAGGCCATGATAGCGATTGCTATTATAATAAAACAATAGAAACCCAATAGACTGACGTCATTAAACAGTGACGTCGCATTCGCAGTCGCCAATAGATGAAGGAAGCGAATTGCACAAACTTCATTTATGTCATACATTCTGTAAACATTTATATATTAGTTGTACCTATATAAAGTTATATATGTAAAATCTCGAGTTCTAATTCAAAGTAGCCTGTCTTTAGCGTAGGTGGAAGTTTGACAAGTTTGACATGTTTACAAAAGAACTAAAGTATTTTTTTATGAAGTACCTAATCATTTGTATTATCGAAATTAGTAACCTTTGAAAAGTAAAATATATATTTGCATATGAGATCTCTTCTACACTAGTTTATTCGAAATGAGATAAATGTACGGTTTCTATTGTTGCTGGGTTGAGGAAATAATTTAATCCGGATTCTGCATTATTTCTCTTCCTATATTTATTTTTATTCACTCTAGTTTAGCTGGTAAATTGTTACCGCTATTACTTATATATCCAGCGTTCGTCTAGTATAGTCAGCAGCAGGAAAAGCGATGATAGAATGAGACTAGTGGTGGCTTTTATATATATGTGTATTGTTATGTTATTTACAGTAGTGAATGATAATAATAATATAAATGGATATTATATAAGAAAAGAAGAGATTCGGTCCGCTATGACAGTATTATTTTCTCCCTCATGTGTCGCTATTTTTTTTATTAAGTATTTTACGGCCTTGGAAAACATGTGTCGCTAGACAACGGTGTTGCCACGCGCTATCCGTAGATTCGCCACACTTGTATGTCAGTTTGACTGACATAACACTGTATCAAGGACAAGTCAGTCAACCTCAATCGTGAACATCAGCTTTCAAATTTTGCTTATAATTCTTTTTAATAATTTATTGCACAATATATACAACATTCATTCTCCAATGTTCCACTTGGTGATTCATTACATTATTCGACTATATTAATGTGCTACAACGTTTATTATCAAGTAGTAACTAATACAACGCTGTACCAACAGTATTCATCAGTTCGCCTTATATCTAAGATTAGTTGTTTTTGTGTGCTGGAATAGAAGTGACGATTGCTGACTTCAAGTAAGTTTATAAACAGTGATTTTAATGCGTAGTTGTGTAGTACTGAGATTATTTTTTTTGTACAGCTAGCTAGATTATGTGGGAATAATATTTTTTTCGTGCATGATGAAATTTTGCGATATAATATTTAAATGAATTGGTATTGACCTAAAAGCGCGTAATACTGTAAAATTGCGTTATACATATGTTTATTAGTATTTTTTCTTGCCTATTTACTAATTACCTGTAAGAAGTTATGAATTCATAGAATATACATACATACATTCATACATTCTTAGTTTGGGAAACGTAATTCTAGTCGCCTAATATACAGTTTAATAATAATGTAGTAATATACATTGTATTTACTTATTTTATCTGGGGTTAATGATTAAGTTCATAACAAGTTATTGTTAAGTAGGACATGCATCACTGGTTCTATTTATAAAGTAATTAGTTTTATAATTTTAAGTAATAAATAAATAAATAATAAATCGACAAATATAGACGTCAGTATATATAATTACTTAATATGTGGAATAAAAATCAGTAAGTAAATAGTAAACTTTGATTGCAAAAAGAATAATTAAATATGGTATAATAATAATGGCCTGCAAAAATAAGTTGTGAATAAGCTATATTTTGAATTCAATTGAATTTTTATTTTATGTCTATATATGTAAGAATTACGATAATTAAAAATTTCATTATTTTTATGCTGTATTTCAATAATTGTACTTACTTACAAGTACATTTGAATAAGCTGTATTAACGCTTTGTTGATCCATGTCAAGTTTAAGCATCTTTTCATATCTAAACATTGCTGATCTTTGACAAATTAACTCATCTTTGTATTTGAATTATATATTTCAATAGTGAATTATTTTGTTTAGAATGTTTTACTTCGATACATGTCTAAAGTTTTTCTTCCATACATTATAAAATAATAATATAGTATTATATTATTATTTTATATATTTGTATATTTCTGTAGCATGTTTCTGTTTAAAATCCCTGGTCAACAAAAAATCCATACAATGACAATAAGTGATCTAGATGTTTGAAAGTTGCATCATCATATCAGTTTAAATACTTATTAATATTGTAAAAATGTTAGTTACTTTGTTTTTCACTATCACCCTTTTTTATTAATATTGTCATACATCTAGTTCAAGGTATGGAGAAGGATGTAGGTAACTTTCATCTCAGTCATTCAATACATCTTAATCATCACCATCTTACTCAATATGTATGTATATTTACCAGGGGTAGACTGAAAATATCATGGTATTCCGTGATATCTGTGCTATTCATGTGTACAGGCGATGTTTAATGCTAATGCATATAGAAACTTGTTAGTCAACTCAAGGACATAAAATAACGGAAAATGTTTCCAGTTCTACTGCTAAAGCACATATCAGCGATTGTAAAATTAAATAGCAATGTAATAAAACCAATATGAATGAATGAAATAAAAAATTAGCCATCATGTTTCATCTTTTCTCACTTATCTACTAATATCACAAAAAAATTGCAAATCATTACAGAATGGATGACCAAGTACAATACAAAGTTTACACCTTCTGGAAAGAAGGTGATACAAGGCCTGAAGTAAGAAGGTTTGGTATTGAGAGGAGTGTCATCACCAATTTTCATTATTTGAATGCTAAACTTCAGGATGTATTCACTGGACTTAGGACGAAGAGTTACACTGTGGCTTGGAAAGGTAAAAATACAATGTTTGAACATTAATTTATGATACTAGTGACCCATTTTAGTATAGCATAGTTGTATTGTATTTAACAGAGGCTGCTAAATACAATACAACCATGTACGTAACTATACGCTTGTATTATACATCTAAAATCTTCCACAAAAAATTCTCAAAATTATAGTGAAGCTATATTAAAATCTGTAGCATGGTTCAGAAGAAATCAGCATGTATACACTACATATACACATACACTATTTCTATTACTATTCTATTCTATTTATAGATTGATAATAGGCTGTTTCAGTTTCATCAGTGACTCAAACTGAGTACTGATTTTGCCTTATAACATTCTCAAAAGTCTAGTTATTGTGTAATTTTGTAAAGATAAAATAAAAGAAATGTGTAATTACTTTAATATTGATTGTACTGACTGAGTATATTTTATAGATACACAGGTAATAAACTGTGATAAAAAGCTCCATTTTTATGCTTCTCTTAAACATATTAATATAATTTTTAGTTTAATGTAAGTATGACTGTTACTAATAATTCCTATTTTATACAAATTTAAACAAGTCTACTAATTATTTAATTTCAATCAACTGCCAATCATTAATAATTATATACAAACTATATAATTAAAACTGTCAAATTGTACTGACGAAAATGTGCGACGTGTTCTAGAGGCAGACATTTATAATGAATTTTTACCCTAATGCAATATGATTTTAAGTCGTATTTCTGATGAGAATCTGATAGTTTGATAAATTTACAGAGGTTTAGTCATCCAAATGCTATGCAATACAGCCACTTAATATTATTTAATTTCCATAGTAATATGGATAAATATAATGTTATCTTAGCAATGTTTATTATTGTACATTATAGAATTGGCTTACTATTAGATATGTATATGAATGTAGAATTTAGAATAATAAAATCTTGTAAGCAATATTGAATTTACATGATCATCAAAATATTTTGTCCCATCGACTCCACTTCAAGAATATTAAATCAAATTATGGACTTTAATTCTTTTTTATTCCTTAATGAAATGAAGCATAATAATGCTCCTTAAATTTTTTTTACAATAAATTAATTATTAAATATATATTTCGGGTTTGATTCCTCCTATAATATGTGTGACATATGTATTTACGAAAAAAAAATCTATGTATTTGTATCAGTTATCTAGTGCCCATAAAGCTCAAGCTTTAGCTAGCTCAACTTGGGTCTAGATGGTGCTGTGTGAATTGTCCTGAGATTATTATTATTATTATTTGGAATACCATAGTAAATTTAATATTATTTATGAAATGCATTGTACTTAATCATTTATATTTTTTCATCAGATGAAGAGGATGACGATATCACCATCTCTTCTGATGAAGAGATGATGGCTGCTCTAACATCTATGTTTGAGAGTCATCAACCAATAAAACTGTATGTTTACTGTAAAGATGATGTCAGGGATGATGATGATGAATGTGAGATTGTCATTTCGGCTGTACCTGACACTGGAAATGGTAAGTACATATTTTTATGACTATTACTAGATACTATTTTATTATTTTTTTCTAATAAAGGTACCAAAGACGTTGGCAGATTTAAAAATCATGACTTTACGAAAGTTCAAATTATATCTATGTATATGGATAAATTTTTAATTGGAAATGAGTTTATAATTGGATTGCATTATTAATTGAATTTGCAAAATTCAAGTTAATATTTTCCATAAAAAATATATGAAAAATGGTCTACAACAGTCTACTTACATTATATATACAGCTGTAATATATGTTTATCTACAGCTAATTTAAAGCATGAGTTCATGGAACCGTTTTTCAACAAAGTAACAGATACTTAAGCACCTATGCAAATATTATTTATAAGAATGACAATGGTAGTAGATATAGAACACGGTTCCATAGATACTCAAGATAATCGTATCAGCAATACTTTCAATTAATTAAGGCCAGTGAGACTAACAAAATATTGTATACAAAATATTGTATGAACTGTGTCACCTCTCTTTAAATTTTACTGTTGTTATTTAGTATCTAAGATCAACATTATAATATACATTTCGTAAGTTCACTGTACGGTAATACGCTCATAGTATTATAATGCAATGGAGATATACTGAAAAGATCTTCCAGAATTATCCGTCAGGAATTCTTTACGGTGGTATGCAGAGGGACGGTGTGGATGTGTATCTGAGAGTGTAGACTTTGCTAGCAGTTTGGTGGGCTTGGTGTTTTTTTTAGTATAATAAAAATATAAACTGATTTCTGTCTATACATGAAACATATATAACAAAAACTATTATTGGGGGACTTCATCACCCTAATGAAACTAAAACAATAATTGTTAGAATTTTTATAGGCTTGTCTGTTGTGCACGTTAATCTTAGAAGCGCTTTAACTGATTTGGGCACGGTTTTCAGTAATGTATTTTGATAAGTTTCACTTAAAATGTTGTGTTTGCCTTATTTCAATATGTTTAATGACACAAAAATACGCCAAATATCACAAACAAAGTACGTCGCAAGTTCAGCTACTTGAGCAATAAAGGACCAATATATAGATAACCACAACCATTTTTGACATATTTTTTAGCGCCAGCCGGGACTAGCAATGAAGGTCAGCATTATGGCGTAACTTGTGACGGATGTGATGGGCCTGTTATTGGTTTCCGCTACAAGTGTATTTCTTGCGATGATTACGATCTCTGTTCGCGCTGCGAAGGATCGGGCCTGCACCGCGAACACTGCATGTTGCGTGTTCCCATGCCTACTTTGCCGGTATGTCTTAATATAAAATTTAATTTATTTGTTGTTTAAATATTTTTTTATTAGATTCCTTTTGTTTAAAATCTTGCAAAAATTTTTGTATTTAGGTATTTATACACAGATATGTTCTGGCACAGTTTAATTTTAATTTACTTATTCTAGGTATATTCATATATTAAATAATTGTTGTCTAATATTTTAATAACTACTAAATTTTATCCAAGAATTATAAAAAAACAATTTTATTTTAGCGTACACTTATTAAAGCAGCAATTAAGAGATCTCGCCACTTCTTGAAGTCTGTGGTGGGTCCAGGTGCCGAAGAATGTGTTCGCAAGAAGCACAGACATGATAAGAGTGACGATAAGAAACGCAGAGATGAACGTAATAACGATGATCGCAATCAGCAACAAGAGCAAGGCGACAGTCACCGCCAAGGTGATTATCATCGTCGTGGTGATCGCCATTATCGCCGTCCACGTTCGAGTTGGTTGGAAACCTTCGCAACCTACATGAATGAGTTCGCAAATCTGGCTGGCGACGTTGACTTACTGGGTGATAATAATACTTCAGCCCAGAAATCTTCCCAGACAAGTTCTCAGGCGCAACCAGAAAAACAAGAACAGCCCAAAACGGCTAACGAAAGTTCTGAGTCTCCCAAACAGCCAGAGGCAAGTGGTTCGGAAAATACACAAGCCTTTGTACCACCGCAGTGTCCTTTCATGCCGGAAAACTTCAACCCTCAGGACATATCTAAACTCATTCAAATGTATATGAGTGGACAATTAAATTTGGTTGATTTTCTAACGAATCCACAACCTGCGACAAATTCCAATGATGTTGAGATGGAAGCAAGATCCGACGATAAGGGACCAGAGGCAGATAAAGTTAACGGTTCTAATGTACCAACCTCTGCCAACCAACCAACTACATCTGCAACTACTGAAGAGCCTAATAGAGATGCTTCCCCAGATAAGGCTGATGGCTGGACTGTTATTAATAAAGAAAAAGGTAATACTATTGAATGTACCATACGGTATTCACAGATAAGGTAGTTATTAGTTCGTTTGGGGTAATCAGAGGCATTATCAAATATAAATATCGACCCATTGTCTTCGAAACTGAGCGTCATCAAAGAATTTTGTTTGTCTATTTATATTTATTATGGACGCACTGGAAATGGAAATGCCGATAACTAAATAAATAAATTTATATTTTTATCACCCCAGCCAAGTTTTTTAAAATATACTTCGCGAAACGTGGTCCTGTCAATTGTTGCAACAACCACGACGCCGAGAGTTAACTATGTGTCTGACTACAAACCCTGAAGGATGAGTTCTCTCCTAATTACTGTATTTACTCATGGCAAAACAGCGGAATGAATTTTAATAAAGTTTAATATTAATATTGGTTGTGACAACAATGAATATATTATCTTACAAAAAAGCGGACAAAGTCGCAATTTTATAATATATATGTATAATTAATATTATATATATGTGTATTAATTATAGATTTATTGGATGAAGTGAATGCTCCACTTGAACCTACTGTAAATGTGGCGGCTCCGATTGGGTTCAACTTGCCTGCAGAGTTCCAGCAACATGTTAAGATCACCGATGGTACAAATCTGTACCCACCATTGAACTCTGCAACTGCTGGTATGTCAATCATTAAAAAGTATATGTGTATTAGGATTTGTTTGTATGTTTACATTTTATGCACTGTCATACCATTAATTACATTGTGAGAAAACAATCTCAACTTGTTTTATAGAATTCGCACTTTATATTATAGCAGTATATAAAGTGTGATGCAGATGCTACCAGAAGTAACACTCCATCATCGAGCCTGTCAATACATATATTTGTATTCATACCATTTGCTATAATCTCATTTGTGGATTTATGTAAATATACATATGTACCAATTGTTATGAATTTCACTGTCATCATTTGTCATGTCGTTTCATTTTTTTTAATATCTAGTGTTGAATCCCAAAGAGGCAGAAGTCAATGTTGCGCAACCTTCGGCTCCAATTGAACCACAGGCAAAAGCGGCTGCCACATCAACCGCAGCACAGCCTGCTCCAGCAAAGCCAGCTCAAACCCCGGCACCGAAACCTCGACAGCGCCACCCTAGTAAGTCCCTTGTCTCTTAAATTTTAAATGTAAACTAAACAGAAAATTGATACTAAATAAAATGATTTTGCTAGTTTTATATCATATTGTAGAACGAAATAGATACGTGTTCGTTTTACTGTAAAGAATTATACATTACTAGCTACTCGCCCCGGCTTCGCACGGGTGTACATGTATCATATATACGTTCTTCTAGAATCACTATCTATAAAACAAAACGCTTCAAAATCTGTTGCGTAGTTTTAAAGACTTAAGCATACATAGGTACAGACAGTGACAGTGAATTTATTTTATACTATGTGATTATATTTATATTATTAACCAGCTAGTGCCATAAAATTATTCGTGTTAAGAATAAAAATGTATATTAAACACGAAAGTTACAAAAAAGAAATAGAGATATTGAAATAATAATTATTATTATTGCATATACAAATACAAAACTAAAGAACACCGTTTTTAAATAAAAATAATAAATACAGATACCAGTCAATAACAACCAAGATATGTAGACATGACGAAATTGATACAACATTATCAAATCATATTTTTATCGTTTTTATTTTTTTATCATTTCTTTCTACTAAAGATGCCGTTTAGTATTATTATTATTCTAAAACATATTATGAATCCACAAACTACATCGATACTTTTGTTTTACATTGAAAAGAGTATTATAACAAATTCAAAAGTAGACACATCTTTATCATGGCAATTGTTATTGTTTTAATGGATATTATAATGGAATGTTGCAACCTGTGTTACTGTATTACTGCCTAAATGCTGGCGGGGCTAGATGAGATATGAGGAGTCTGGCTATTAAATTTAACGTGGTGAAAACACTGGGAATTAACCACAATGGTTTTCAGAGCAACCATACCTGAAATTCATGAATGAAAAAATTATCGATAAAGCGTTTATCCACCTATCTATATAAAATGTACTGAAATTTCTGGCGACGAGGTCTAGTGATCGCGGCCTGAGAGCCAGATCATTAGTAATGGGTTAACTAGCACCTCCCTGGCAATGTTATTAATGTTCTGTTGCTGTAGTAGTGTAGTGAGTCTTATTAAAAAAGATGTAGACTGTTTTTACCAATGGGCTTTTTGTAGCAATAATATTTTGAATTTTGTTTTTCTTGTACCAATGTACATTGTACTTATGCTTTGTCCCTCTGGTAACCTTTTTAAATATCCTGGTGATGCATAGGGTGGTGTTAACCTTATATTTATACTCCATGAATCAACAATGACTATTTATAATATTCTTGCCTCCAGTTCACACTGAGATGCTATTATTCATGTTATAAGTAAAGTACATTCCTGTTGCGATAAAAATGTTATGTATTAAGATTTTTTTCTGTCTACCATCGTTTATTAACATGACATTACGATACTACTCGTGCGTTACCATTCTGCAGGACTAGGACGTCATACATCATACCCTATAAATTCACTCTTATCTTACTACTCTTCAAACAAGACTTATTTTACAAAGCAAGCTACTTGTTTGCTGATATAGGTGAAACAGCGGTGACGTGCCCACGCTGTAGTTGTAGTTCTTATTCTTATTATAATTTTAATTATTTCCAGTACCTCATATTGAAGCAGCAATTGCATGCATGGTTGGTATGGGTTTCCCAGCTGAGGCTTGGCTGATTCAACTCATTGAAAGCAAGGATGGCAACATACCTGCTGTTTTGGACCTGATGACACCTAATCCGAAGTAAATGTTATATACTTGCTAAAGATGGCAGTAGTTTAAGATTGTATACTACATTAGTTTATTATTACCACAATAACAATGTTAATTTTAATGTAAATCTCTTTCCACTTTGTGATGGCGTCTAGAGGGTACCGTGTGTAGGTAGATCTGACAGTACAAATTGTTAACAAAGTGTTCCATGTCCAAATAATTGAAAACCACCCAACCTCACAATGCAGTACTGAAATTAATATGAAAGATATGCATTTATTTTCTGTGCAGAATATGCTTTTATTTCGTGTTTTAGTTTGTTATTGTCAGTGGTGATTAGTGACCGAACGTTAGTCAGAAAAATTACGTTTGTAAATAATGATTGTTAGTAATCAGGAATTGAACGTAATTGTTTTGTTTATGATAATAAATAAGAATAATGCACTCTTACATAATTTTAAAATATATGCTCATATTTTTGCTATCATATAAATAACGGCCTATAAAATTAAACATATATAGATATAACAGAAAGAGTATAATGACCTAAATCCAAGCAACAAATTAAATTTCTTTTTGAATTCCTTCGTGGACATTGTTCTTAAATTTCAGGATAAATTTATCGTTATATCTTTTATGAAATATAGTTCGTATATTTAAGTTTCATATATATAATTTAGTTTCATATATTTAAGTTAAATAGCCAATAAACTCTTCCTGTTGCATAAACATAATTTTACAATAATGCCTTTTTAATAAAGTCTTATCTGACTAATTTCATAGTTTTAAGTTCTCTCCATTGTTTAGTAGAAATAAATATATTTCTAGTTTTCGTTGTACACGTACCTTAATAATGGTAATAAGAAGTACGTTATATTTTAAGTTTATAACTAAAATAAATATGTCTATATTGATGACCTGTATAAGTGGTCTATATTATTAATTATTATCTATTACTTGTATCCAGAATGATTGGCTACAGTGAAAATGTGATATTTGGATGTGTGATAAGTATTTTCTAGTTAGAAATAGAAAATAATGATTTATATCTTGGTATTTCAATAAAGGTTATTGGGAAAAAAAGCTTTTCATTGTAATAATAGTTTTATTTTAAGAAGCCATATGAATGTTTTTTAGAACCAATATTTTCTTGTCTTTCTCGCAAAAGTGCTTTTCCCAATGCTTCATCAAGGGATTTTGCTGCTACTCTGAAAATATATAAAACGTACATGAGCTGAAAAGTTACTGTTGTCAAGTATTAGTATTCAAAAATATGAAAATATATATTTTTTTGCATATACCCAGATGAGTATACCTATTAAGGCACTACGTTAGCATAGCGTAACAATAATGTAATTAAGTGGATTAATTATAATATATATAAATTAATTGTAGTTTTACCAGTGGTTTACATTAATATTAGAACATACTGTATACAGCATCATTATTAACCCTTAGTACGTTTTGACACATATCTGTGCACTCCTCTTAAATCGTATAACCATCTTGTAACAGATCTGCAAAACCGTGACTTCTATTTAAATAAATTTTATCCTTATTTAAAACAAAATAAGTTTGAAACGCATTTGAGATACAACTGGCGCGCGCATTCCGCCACTTCACTGTCGGTCGCTGCGACAGACGACGGACATTCGAAAGGTTAATATGCTAAACACACTGGGAGTCTTTGGACAGGCTTTACTATTTACACCCAACCGACGCGGAGCCTTAGAGTTATTGACAAGGAAGAATTTACTATTATACATATATTCTAATTTTATAATATCTTTGGTAACTCTGTAAACTATAGTTTTGTAACTTACAAGCCTTGGTTAATAGCAGCCTTTAATGTTTGTGGGGCAACACTGCCAGGTCCATTCAAGCCAATTGTGCTACATTTAGCTTCAATATTTGGGAGTGTGTTAGCTTCCTCTTGATTGCAATAGAACTTAGAATTACCAGTGACTCCAACTACTAAAGATATCACACTACAGCTTTCTTCTTCTGCTGAAGGGTCAACCACACATTTGTCACCAATTTTACACAATGTTACCTGTAAATAGTGACAAAGTGTGTAGTTCTTACATGAACTGTGATCCTTCTATAACTAAGATAAAAAAAACATTGAATAGAAATCTGGTTGAAAGAAAAAGTAATTTATATTTATCATCAGTTTTTATTTCGCAATTTGCATCAGATCCATTGGCAACAACTGACAATAACACAAGCTATAAACTTAAAAGAAGCATGTATAGACATGCCTTATTATTTGTACCATACCCATAGGGGTATGGTACAAATAATAAATATAATCTCACCAATAGAGGAGCAGATCCAACATTTAATAATTTGCTATCATAAGGATCATCTGACAACTGTAGATCCACATTACCACCATCCATGAGTGCTGCCTTTACAAATGGTATGCTCGTATTGAATAATGCAGCTTTGACGGCCAATGATACAGCATCACAGAGGTTGCCTCCACATTCTAATATCTGAAGTACAACAATAAAATTTTCTTACAAGTCTTTCTTTTACTTATTTTTTTATAACCCTAGTATAGTTCACACAGCGCCATATAGTATGGCTAAACAGAGCTTGTGTAGAGATAGAAATAGTTAATTTTTTTTTTGTAAAAGAATATATCCAAACCATATAAACAATAATACTTATGGATAAAGATGTTTGCATATCATGTGGGGAATCGAACTTGCGACCATGAAGTAATAAACTTTTATACCACTGTGGCCCTTTCAGTTTGCAGGGGAATAGAATAAAAGGGGAGAGGGAATAAAAGAATAAATAGCTTTACACAATACTACTTACCAAGATGTCAATATATAGTTTCCAGCATTGTTTACCTTCAAATATGCAAAGTTGCTTTAGATCAAAAGCTTGTGATGAATGATAAGCTTTCTGCATCATGTTGGATATTGTGGTTGCTAACTGTTCACCACCTCTACCTTCAAATTCTGGGGTGGCATTAGCTGAACTGTATCAAAGAATAATGCAGTTAATTTAAATGCTATAATGATATATAAAGAATATTATTTTTCGTTCTAAAGTTAATTAAAAATCAAAATGATACTATCATATCTATAATACTTATTATTCATCTGCCCATTAAGATAGTGGTCATAACTATAATAGAATTGTAGTCTCTAAATGAGTAATTTAAAAATAAAACTGATACTGTGCATTTTTATAAATATATTATACCACTCCTGTTATAAAAACAGGTTAAAAATAAAAAAAAATTCACTATTGTACAAAATTTACAGAATACTGTCATTTTGTAAAAATAATGACTAAAATGTTATATTTATAGGACAATCAATATAATTGTATAGTAGCCATAGTGTTATACTAGCACAACTTTGCAAAATATGTTTCAAAATTATTATTGACCAAGTAGCTTACCAATCAACGAAGAATTCAAGTTTCCCCAATCCTGGTTTATCAGGGTTTGGTACATCTATTTCTGTTTTTACCCCAACAAGTATATCTGTGTTGGCTAGTCGTAGCCTGGCAGATCCGCTAGCATGGCTAACCACATCAGTTTCAAGTTCCATATGTCTATAATCAATGTTTGATCGCCCATCAATACGATAGTCATCCTGCGAACATTTTATTTACTATCAATTACAATAATAGTAATAAATTAGAAAAAATTACACCATGCCATCTAGTCTCAAGCTGAGCAAGTTTGTATCATAGGTACCAGACAACTGATAATAATAATACAGTAGAATGTGTTATAAAAACTCAATAATTCTATCCAATATTGTGATTAATATATTGACTATTTTGATTTGTTACAGTGAATTAATTACACATCATCACAAATTAGTATGTCTAATATATGAAAATAACTTATTTAGTTATATTAAAGTTATTGAATAATAAATACAACATTATTCAATAATATCCTGTTATTTGATCAAATTTATTATTATTATTTATAATGAATATATTGCAATGTATTCTATTCTTAGGATTCGTATTAAATATATAAATAATATTTTATACCAGTCACATAAATATATTTTTTTATAATATAAATAAAAGGAAGAATATCCTTCTGGCCAATTAAAATTTAGAAAAATACTGTTACAAAACTTGGTGATATATCCAAGCCAAAACCCTCAAGATTCAGATAAAACTGTTACTACATATTTGAATTTAGTGAATACTTTATGATATTTAAAAAATTGTTTACTTTATACCTCTTAGTTCTGTTGAAACAGAGTATAGCACCAATGAGGTTTGAAGAACACAGTTGTTTTGAAATGATGCATCTAGCATTTCACAATGCAGATAAAGAAAAGGTGAAAGGCATGTAAAAAGAATTTATAAATAATAAATCCATAATTAGAGAAATGTTTCAATCTATAATTAATAATAACACATAATTAAACCACATGGGGGAAAGGAATTGTTGGTAATTTGGAATAATAATCCCATTTCATCAGTAATGTACCATGTCAGATCCATCTCGCGGGTACCTGTGGAAACCATCGTGATAAAGTCCTGGTGTATTAACCATCATCAGGTCTAACGGACCTGACCTCATGCTCATCTTGGCATCCTCAACTGGTGCCCCGCCAGCGTAAACTGTTTGCGCTGACGGGTGTACCAAAATATCATCCAATTAAGCAAAAAAATTAAGCCGCATATAACGAGGGGTTATGGTGTGTTGTAATTTAGTTCAACTTACTTGTACGCCGTGAAGAATATAAACTTTTTCAGTTGGACTTAATAGTAACCCAGCCATGATTGATTATTTTCACTTTGTATTATGGCATTAAGCAATATAAAAACAAAACGATATAAATTTAATAAAAACAACGTTTATTTACTTCACATAGCATAGAGTACTTAGTTAACTTCGACAGTCAGCACAGACTAATGAAGATCATAAATGACACATTTTTGACTTTTGTTTTATTTAGTGTCAGGTCATTTGTCTATCAGTATAAATTTAAATAAATGGAGATTAGAATATACCTAGGATGTGTTGTCTTTATTTTTAGCATTTCCAAATTAAACAGTCAGTTAACTTTTACGTACATAGTAAATAAAACCGTAAACACACCACTGTATGTCCTTAACCATGTCTTTGACAAAATCATCATTTCATTTGGTTTGAAGCAGCAGCAAGATGGGGGACCTTCACAAATATAAAAGAAATTATTGAATAGACGTTACAAGCTATAAGTTTAAAGTTCTTTCAGTCCTTATTTAAGGATAATATGACAGCACTACAATTTTTTGACAACGCCATCTAGTATCCCCTGATTTAACTAAGTTACCTGTTAATGTAATATACTAAATAAGAACACTACATAAGTGTGACTTTAAGGTTACATGAAAAATATATGACATTAGAAGCGAGATTAATATAGCACCGTTTACATTTTGTACAACGCCCTCTAGTGAGTAGCAGACATAAATGTTAAAATTAATTCCCTAAAGACAATTACAAATTCTAAATAAACATATAAATGGGTTTTAAATTCTAAATGTTTTTTAAAAATAATAGTTAGGTACACCCCGGTGAATAGCGTTGTTTATAGCAAAAAAAACTAGCTACGTGTCGTATGTACATGTATAATGCGTACAAAAAAACAAATGATTTCATTATTCGACATAACAACTTTACATTTAATTGGAGATTCTATGAATTTTTTTGCGAAACAATAGTTTCGTCTTGAACAGATTTTCGAACTCGATTTCGTTTTGAGCTTATTTATTTCATTTTGAGGTTGGACGGGAAAAAGTTGTTTAAAACCAAAAGTTTACGTCAAGAAATGGTAATAAAACGTTTTACCTACGCTATAAATAGTCGTTAAAACATCTTAGACAATAATTGGTTGTTAGATATTGTCTTCCAACCTACGCTCAAGTAGTAGTCAGTTCTCGATTTATAGCTGTTATTGAGGGGGATCTCGCAACATCCTCTTTTAAATTGCGAGTTATCGTAATTGTTTCATTGTAACAGATTGAGTTGACATCGTTGGTTATATGCCATTTGAATACTGGTTGCCTTAGGAGATATCTCTAGTTATGATATCAGATCCATTGCAATAAGATTGAGTAATGGAGAAGGCAGGGGAAGTAAATGAGATGGTGCATCAGATGCAGAAGTTTTCGTGGGTGGACTATATAGTATTTGTGTTTATGTTAGCAATTAGTGCCGTTGTGGGGGTGTATTGGGGTTTTATGAAAAAGCAGACCACACAAAATGATTACTTGCTTGGTGGTAGGAATATGAAAGTTGTTCCTGTGGCTATGTCACTCGTTGCTAGGTGAGTAAGTAATGTTCTAACCAGAATGTAGGTCCAAAAATTTTCAATATCCGCTTTTTGGTGATACATATTTTAGTTTGGTATATAGATAATGTTTGTTATGGTTAAATGTTATATTCTACATATACACTTTTCTAAATATATCTACTTTTGACATGTATATGCAACTTCTTGTTCTAAATATTATACACTATTAATAGCTAGTAGATCATACTGGCAATTTACCCTATCCAATGATTTTTTGCCATATAAATTATTTCTAGTTAAATTTTATATTTGTCACACTGGCCATACCCATATCACTTAGGGGTATAAAAACGCCTACAATCTCTCGCAGAGTTACCAAATATACCTACACCGAAAATTTTCGACCCCGCTGTTTCGAAGGAGTTCGATAACAGAGATTGCTGTGTGTACGAAATTTTATATACATATTCGATTATATCACGATTGAGGCAAATACATCCATTCGAAATATGCGATTTCATTGTATTATATCTCAGTTACGAAGGCTGTCTGTTTGGGTCTTACCATGATGAACATATATTTTGTTTTAATATCAGAGAACTATGTAGAGCAGCTATACTACATAGTATTCGCTGACATGACTAATATACATTTTGAACAGCAGAAACACAAGGACAGTATATCTTACATAGATTCGCAGATAACAGTAGATAACGTTAGATACGAATAAAACTTATAAATATTCTATAGTTGGAATACATAGAATACTCTTTTTGTCGATGGACCACTTCAAAAGGCGGTTGAGTATTGGGAAAATAGAAGGACGTTAGATATATATGAACAAAAAATAACTAATCTGCATAATTAAGTCATATTATAAAATTTAATTCATGAAATGTTTTGTTAGTTTTGTCTCAGGTATAACATTGTTGGGTTCGCCGACTGAGGTATATATGCATGGGACACAGTACGCTTATATTATGGGCGGAATATTCCTGATGTCGATAGTTATGACTCAGGTCTATTTACCAGTATTCCACGAGCTTAAGATCACGTCTAATTATGAGGTAATATGTGGAATAGTCGGAGTTTATCTTTTATTATTATACAGTAGCCAATAATTTTAATTTAAGCTGTTTATGTTTTAAATGTGATAATGTTTTATTGCAGTACTTATCATTGAGATTCGATAACAGGGTTCGACTATTTGGATCAGTTTTATTTGCATTTACTTTGGTAAGTAAATGTAGAAATATGAACATAATTGACATATATTCACTAGAGATAGGCTTGCCTCAATAACCGTTAATGAACTTTACGAGATATTATAGGTACTGAAACTGTTTTTCAATCGGAGAATTTTCTTTTTCGATAAAGCTTCCATTTGTAAAGCATATTTTCCAAACAAAACTTCATGACCTTTATATAATTCCACAAAAATAACTCATTATTATAAAAAAAATGTATGAAACCACAACGAATTAATTTTCCACTTATTACTTTATTTAGTTCAATGTTCAGACTCTTTTATGAATGTTAGTATAATATTATATATTATATCAAATATTCGTACATAATTTAACTATACATTCGTTTAAATTTAATAATTTAGATACCCACATAAATTATTTTTCAGGTAGGTTGGTTACCAATTGTTATTTATGTACCAGCACTGGCTTTCAATCAAGGTAATTTATTATAATGTATTTAATGATAAAGCTTATATATACACATTCTGAATGTTAGAGTAAAATGAAAATAAAATTAAGTTTAAGGTAGGTATTTGAGTCTTATATATTATGGCGTGAGTATGTCATAAAATTGGTGTGGTTTGCCTATTGTATTATTTTAAGAAATTGTAATGGCAAACAAACTTTAAATAATGGCAATTTCTTTTTAAAAGAAACCAAATTTTATACTGAAAATTAAAGGAACGAAACCGATATTTATCATAAATATAGGCGCATACATACATATCATTACATAGTATAAAAGAAAGTCGCGGTCGCTGTCTTTAAAACTAAGGAACGGATTTTAAGCGTTTTCTTAATATATAGTATATATATAAAATTACAATTGTTGATCAAGTAATCAAAATCATAAAATTATTTAAAAAAAAGAGCGTAATATTTGTAGTTAATGACTTAAATTCCTATCTAAAAGTACTGTGTAGGCAGTATGCATTATGCTCTTCACCTGTCTAAATGGATGAATTTTAAAACAACAATAAATTAAATTCTTTTCGCGCTCTTGTAGATACATGATATCATTAAACAATTTTAACAAGTTTTTGATGATTATAAATTAATCACTTATAGTGGTTTATTTTCTAGCTAGCTACTCGCTCCGGCTTTGCACGGGTGTACAGTACATGTGTTATAAACCTTCCTCTCGAATCACTCTATCTATTAAAAAAACGCTTCAAAATCCGTTGCGTAGTTTTAAAGATTTAAGCATACATAGGGACAGACAGCGAAAGCGAGTTTATTTTATACTATATAATAATGATGATGTCGTCGTAGATATGGTATAATAATCAGTATTTTGTCACGCTGGTGAATTTAATATATGATTCCAGTCACTCATGCGTTGCCATTTCGGAGAACGAAGATGTGATGACAACATAGGTACTTGTAATTTGACTGCCTAATTCTTTATCAAACCACTTGTTACAAAAACAGCTACTAGGTAGTTGTTATAGATGCGATAGGGGTATCTACAGCATCTATATCCTCGCACGCAGACGACTTTACATATTTTTTGTAAAGGTGCTTATTTGCTTATTTATAAAGTTATAGGTTTCTATATTTAATACAGTAATTTGCTGCAGGTAGATACATATTAGATTAAAGGTTACAAATGTATTGTTATTATATTTTGTTTAAAATGTTACAGTAACTGGCGTTGACATACATGTTATTACACCAATCGTATGCTTAGTATGCATTTTTTATACAAGCGCGGTAAGTATATAAATTCATCAAAATTCTACTATATTTGTGTTGATATATGAGCTAAATATGCTAAAAGTTGTTTGTAGGGTTTAAGAACTGTACTATGTTGCATTTTCATAAATAATATATAAAATTAATAAATAGTCTTAGAACAGTTTTAAAATTGCGTGGTCACGTGATCGATATAAGATGACAGTAATCTTAAATGTTATTTAGAAGTATGAAGTTGATCAAAAACAAAACTTATTTTTGGATTTGGAATTGCCTGATAGTACCAATTCCAATATTTTTAATATTAATTCTTTCGTAAACCTATATTTTAAATCTTTAAATTCATTAACGAAAAATGTATTTATGTACACTTGAATTAATATTTTAGGGAGGACTTCAAGCAGTGGTATGGACAGATGTAATACAAATCACAGCTATGTTTGGGGCAATGGCATTGGTTGCGATTAAAGGTACAATCGATGTCGGGGGTATAGATGTTGTTTGGCAAAGAAATTGGGACAGTGGCCGCATAGAACTGCCCAAGTATGTTCTTTTTTTATTATATTTTTATGTTGACAGCACAAGATTACACTATGGATGTCTTTATAAGACATATAATATATATTATTATATAGATATATTTCCCACATTTAAACAATCTTCGCCCTTGGCGCATGCACTCTGTGTGTATTTTCTTGATGCATTTTTTTTATGGAAGTGAAATAACCAATCTGACGGCTCATCTGATGGTAAGTGGTAATGATAATGGTTTTTTTTATTAATGATAATGGAATAGTGCTCTCGCCTGAGGTAATGGTTTATGCTTGCGGGGCCTAATTTACTACTAAGTTAAGTTAAGCCGATCTTGTGACTCGCTTTGAGAGGATGATAATTATTTTTATGATAAACGGTTACAGTAAACTATAGACTCTTGAAAAGTCAAGGTTAACTCGTGCGCGATGTCTAAGAATCGACATCCTATTATACCTTTCTGGAAAAACCCTATGCTGTAGTCTCTGGAGAAAACCTCGGCAGGTAGTTTTTTATTCCACAATCTGAGAGTGCCTAGGAGGAAACTCCTCTGAAACTGCATTGTCCGTGGCCACTTATAATTTTTTATTACTATGTATATAAGAAAGATTGGCTAACTCGTATTTATAGTCGAGCAATCTAGCAATTGTCATCCATTTGAATCATTTATATCATCTGCAAGCACTTATATAGACAATTGAAATAGAGTCTCTTATAAATACGTTGAGATATGAGAATGTATTTAAATTTATATGATTTCAAAGTAAGAATATTACGTTTTTTTTTTTGTTTTTCTAGCATGTTTTTATGGAATATAATAGAACAAACCAACAGTACATAATGAGAGTGGGAAATAAAATTAGAAAATAATATTTTAATTGACTAAAGTTACTATACAGGTTTAAAAATTCTTATAATAACAGTTAATTTTCTTTACGTTACCTTAGACTCTAAGGTAACACGTAATGATTAAGATCATTGACTTTTCCTACAGTTGGGATCCTAGTCCTCTAGCACGGCACACAATATGGAATTTGGTAGTTGGAGGGTTGATTTATTGGCTGCAAGCTAACGCCGTGAATCAAACTATGGTGCAACGATATCTAGCGTTACCTACTTTACGTGGAGCGAAATGGTATAAACTAATTAATATCATAATTATATCTACCAAAAATAAGCATGAAATGACGTACCTCAGTTGCGTTAACTGTATATGCGGCACCAGTGGTGAATGATAGGAAGAATTTGAAGTCAGGTCAAGTTAAGTTCCTCATGGCAATTTCACCAGAAGTTAGCCATGATGTTTTATAAAGGGACCTCGTTGAGGACTAGTCGTCATTACTAATACTTACCTCTCCCCGTATTACAAACATATAGCGATTATTATTATATTGTATAGCCCGCTAAATATAATAATAAGTTATATAAATACTAGTCTCTAAAGCAAATCATCAATCGGGGTGGGGGAAGATTGCTTGCAAACCAATTCCAAAGAAAATTTTCTTAGTGAAATAATAATAACTCTTTATTGCAGACAGATAAACAAAGAACAATAAAAATATTTGAAACTGGTTTTTCATGAGTATAAATGGCTCTTGGCTTGGTATATGATCCTTTACGACAGATGTTATGTATGAATGTATTTTTGTCTAAATTGTATAAGGGTAAAGTTAGTCAGTATTGCATAACTGTTAATACTTATAATTTATTGCAGGGCAGTTGTATTATTCAGTATAGGTATATCAGTGTTATATTGTTTCTGCCTATATTGTGGCTTGCTGATATATGCTCGTTTTTACGACTGTGATCCTTTACAGACAAAGGTATGTAACGCTGTGATTACTTACAAATATTCATAAAATAATTAAAAACAGAATTTTAAATTATCGGTAATTTCAGTTAGCTAAAGCCAAAGATCAACTGTTACCACTGCTAGTGATGGACGTTTTAGGAGAAATACCAGGGCTGCCTGGAGTGTTTGTGGCTGGCATTTTTAGTGCAGCTCTGAGGTATGTCAGTCGTCCAATTTAAACTTTACAATGTTATATATTTATGTATTATAATTATGTGGAGTATAATCTTCGCCATGGCCATGGTGGCCACTGTTTAGGTACAAACATTTATATTCATGTGTGTGATTGTTTGTAACGGTCGGAGTATTTTCAATGTATGTATTTAAAAAAAATGTATCTAAGTATTTATATCAGTTATATAGTAACCATAAAACAAGCCCTGCTTACCACGGCACGAAATGGCGCTGTGTGAATTATTCAGGGACATTATTATAATTTAATTTGTATTAATTCGATTTGTAATATATTTCACTAAAGCTGTACATTGTTCTTTATAGTTGTTACTCGTAGGCCTATATGTGTCTATCTAATATATACTACTCGTATCTACGTTAAAATGGGTTTGGTATTAAAAGATGCAAATTTACATGACTTAAAAATATGTTCATGAGAGCTAGTGGATATAACAGTAGGAGACATTATATAATTGTTGCAGTGAAACAAATTTTAGTCAAGCAAATATAAATTAATTATAAATTAGCAGTGCTAAATTTATACATACTAAAAATATATTATTTTTCAGTTCATTATCAACAAGTTTGAATTCCATGTCCGCTGTGGTTCTAGAAGATTTCTATAAGCCATTTCAGAGGAAGCCACTTACAGACCAGCAAGCTGCTTGGCTCATGAGAGGAGTCGTTGTTCTGCTTGGTGTTGTTTGTGTAGGTAAATAAATGACCGAACTATATACCGAATATACTATATACCTAATGTTGTGTGTAATTGTGGAAAGTGAAAATTACCTATAGTCATGAATAGCGGCATAGACATCGCTGTACAAGCTGGGTCATAGTTCATTTCCTACGCGCCATTTTGAGGTTATAACTATTCGTTAATTTCACTATCATAACAAATTATACGGTAGAAACTGAAGCAGGAGAAGGAGAAATATTTATTTCTCCTTTATTCGAAATAGATGTAGTGTCCATATCTGCTTTATATATTGTATTTTATATATATTTTTTTAATTATCTATTACTATGTTCAAACCTTATAATATTTTAACTTGGTAGTAAAAGTATTGCAAACGGTAAGTATCTAATATAAGTAAGTAGTCAGAGTACAGCACAGGTTCCGAAGTAACGAGTCGGTAAATGTTAATTCTTGTACTTACTAGTAACTTCTGATACTGCTTAGTGAATGTATAACTACATTCTATAACTAGTAACGTAACGATACTATAGTAACGACTTTATCTACTTTTGTAATTAGTACGTAATAGTAGTACGTACTTCATTCCTAGTTACCATTACAGCCCTACTTCGTAGGTGTTATATTTCTAGTTATTAGTACCTATCAATTTTCATTTGTCATACTTTATTTCAGCATTAGTATTTATCGTCGAGAAAATGGGGACGATACTACAATTGACTATGACGTTAGAAGCCATGACCATGGGCCCTCAACTTGGCGTTTTTACAATGGGTATATTAATGCCGTGGGTTGATTCAACTGTAAGATTCATTTTATCATATTTTGAGTTCATGATATTGTATTCACAGGTTTAAATATCACGATAATTATTAATAAACATCTAAAAATATATTTTAGGTGTTTATTTATAGTTATATAAATGTACCTAATCAATGTCCTATAAGCTATATATATTGCAGTATATATTTCAAACTTTATCAACGATATCTTCAAGGTTTTAGTTGTTCATTACATTTAGTATCCATTCGTATTCGTATAATATCAAGTGAGAATTATTGTAGGTACTTAAATATTATTTCGTGTGTAAAACAATTGTACCTATATATATAAATATATGTTGTCGACATGCTTAATTTAAGCGTACTTTTACATTAGTTTTAATATGTGCATATATTAAAACTAGCGTAAAAGTAGTTAGTAACTGTTTGATGGAATTACTTGCAGTAATGTAAATTTTATAAAACTCGGTTAAGTAATTTCCCTCGGGAAACATTGTACTAATAGAAGGATGTAACCATTAGTTTATATGTAAAGATTTGGATGTCTGTGATTCGTTGGATGTGAAATTAAACAAAGTAATACTATATATGTATAATTATACACTCGAATTAGATGAACTTACTATGTAGTCCGAGGCACTCTAACGGATGCGTTGCACTCACCCTGAAGAAACCGGATGAAGTCGGAATTAAAAATTATAGTTAAAGACGAAAATATAGGAAAACCATCCATACCTATACAGTTATAAAAATATAATAACGAAAAAGGAACATAAGTTTCAAAGAATAATACTAAATGAAACTCCATGCAACAGGGCGCATTGGTTGGCGGTGTAAGTGGACTGGCATTGATGTCTTGGTGGTGTCTCACTGCTCAGATGGCAATAGCACGTGGTTACATCTCGCATCCTCACAAAACGCTGATCACAGAGGGCTGTACATACAATTATACTATATCATATGATGGAGCCGGCGTTATCTCGGAGTATGTTATAATATTGCTTTAATAATTTATTCTCCATTTTATTCCATTCTAATCTATTCCTCTATGAAATGTTAAAATTTTCAGTTACGCATAGTTTACGCGAGAAAAATGATATGCGCGATTTTTATTGTTTGCCAATTTTTCTTATTAAAAGAACTGTACTCGAACATAAAGAAATATAAAAAAATAAAAATAGCGGAATTGGTAAAGCCGATCTCGTGTTAGCAACACATTTAGCGATTCAGTTTTATTTATGTACATATATATATAAATGTAGATAATAATGTACGCCACATATTGCCGTTCGTTGTGAAAATATAACAATTCAAATTTTGGTCCGATAAACCGATTCCATTCGTAATCTCTGCAACATTAGTAGATACATGAATATTGAATAACAGATATAATACATATCTTTTATTCAATATTCATGTGTCTACTAATTTTGTATAGATTACGAATGGAATCAGTTATTTTGTGAAACAAAATCTTTATGTATTAATTTTCAGATGTTTACAGTACAGTTACATTTCAAAATTTAGAATTAATATAATCATTTGTAATGAATATGACAAAGCAAGTATTGTATCCGTATGTCTGTTACTCCGCTTACTTCTTCTAAACCACGAACATATAATATTTCGATATAATTTTCACTTTAAGTAATTTCGAGAATTTCTTCTGGATATTTTCTATGAATATGTTATATTATAACCTCAGTATATATACACTGTACACGAATGCAAATCCGCCCTACGAACGTTAATTAAATGTAATTAATGGAATCTTAACAGATAATCTGTTAAGATTCCATTAATTACTTATTAGACAATTTATTTACAATTTTCATTTTATTGTGATGGCAGATATGCTGACGACCCACCTAAAGGTAAATAGTAACTGTCCTTTCTATACACAAACAGCACTATGGACATCATCACGTTACCTTGTGATACTTACGCGTCTCCATTGCTGAGGATTAAAATGTCATCTCCTCTTATCCTTTAATTGCACTGCTTGATCTCAATTTACAACTGAAACATAACCTTACAAACCGAACTCTTCTCTCTGAAATAGGCGAGACTGAGGCGAGGTACCTATGAAGACGACTTTTTACGAAATCTAGCAAAATCTAAAACGGCAGAAAAATGATTTTTTTTTTGTTATTTGAACAGTGAGGATGTGAACCCGGTACTACGTGTATCTTATATGTGGTACACGCTAGCAGGAGCGGTGGTTACCATGAGTATGGGAATAGTAGTGTCACAAATAAACCGCGCCCGAGGAAAAGCATATGTGCCACCCGCACCCAAGTTACTAGCACCACAACTGAGATGGTTGTATCGAGAGCCTCCGCATCCCACTGACGAGCTGTACATAAGAGCTTATGAACATAATAAGGTTGTGAAATTTGGACCTAATGATATCGCATACATTAGGACTAAAATTACTTAACAGACGATCACGCTAATACAAAGTTATGTTACATTGAAGTAGTAATTTGGATAATTGCCACATGTACATCATTTATATATATAAATGATTCGATTAATTTAAATATTAATTAAAACAAATTACAAGTATGATTTTATTTTTACGGAATCTTATTGCTAAACTGTTTTTATATTAACTCTACGTAATTTTAGTCCTTCTGTGTTTCAGGATTAAATTTTATTGTTCACAGTTATGGATTGTTACTACACGTTGGGTAGTTAAAGACATTGTTAACGGTCGAGGTCGTGTAGTGTCGATACCCACATTTCGCTGGGTAGACATAGTCAGTCATTTGACACACAAACTGTTTTCGTACCTAATTTGAACTCAGGACTATTCGGCTTATGTCGTGATAGTAGCCACAAGGCCTCGAAGCTCTATTATTTTATTATTTGTGAATTAAATTTGCCACCTGGGCTTACAGTTGCAAAGATATCTATAGTAATGTTATAATGCATGTTACAAGACGAGACTTTTCCTTAGTGATATATTTAGTAAACAGTCTAGTAGGTATATATTTTTTATCAAAATTTGTCGATTAAAAATAAGATAAACCAAACACAATATCGATTCTCATGTAGTAGGTACTAGAGCCAGTCATGATTTAGCCTCATTTGCTCAATATATAATATCTTACAAACAATATAAAGAAAAAATATATTTCTGTATGTTTGTTTACAATAAATAGGTAAATTAAAAAAGTACTTATGGTTACATTGTTAGTGAATAAGATATTCTATATTTATGCGGGCAGAATCGCAGGTAATTGGATTGAATATAAAAATAAATATTAATTTACCTTTTCAATGTTCCAGGAACCGAGCCAAATGAATCATGAATCTACATCAATAAACATGAAGCCTATGAATGAAAGAGAAAGCATTAATTCATAAGATTTTAATTAAATTATGTTCTCTGTTTATGTATACAGTGAGTTTTTTATTATTAATGAAAGTTATACATGAAAGGAAATAAATGCCTTGGTCTTTTTTTGTGATTTGTAAATAAAATAACGCCCCTTTGAAGTTTTAAAAAATTGTATAAAGTAGTCTTAAACATGAATTGGATCGGATATAAGAGTGGAGAGCGAAAAGTTATTAATAGGCCCTTAGTTTCTTTAATAATAATCCCTTCTTACCTCTTTATTGCTAGCAAGGAATATAGACCTCCACACGGTCTGATTGGTGATTATTGTGATTAGATCCTTGTGAAGTCGACTGATTTCATCCTCATCGTATTCACAAAACAGTTGAGTATTTTGAAATTTCTAACATACTCGTACAAACTTAACTTTCTTAGACATATGTTAGCTATTCATTCACTGAAGAGAAACCAAATATAAGACTCGACGCCTTATGACAGAACTGCCTGGCGGCGACTATGAATAGGAGGGTCGTCTTTGAATGAAATGGGAAGATACTAGACAGAGACATATGTTATCTATTATACATATGAGCGGTTTTCGGTATACGAGTAGGTATAGCAGTAAGTTACAATCGTACCTTATTATCTTATTATTATTTCTACTTTGTGATAAGAAAAAAAAAATGCACGGAAATTAATCACAATTTATATAACATAGATAAAAAAAAGGTATGTCAAGGATATTGACAAGGCATTGGGAATATTACTTAACTAAATATAAATATAAAAAATGATTAATTTCTTTTAAATTGTTTTCTCTCTTTTTTTGGCTTTTTACAGTGAAATATTAGAGTGCCATGCCATAATGGTTTACAATCCTGATTTATACCTAAGAGGTTGTTGTTGAAGTCCAAATCTGGCTCAAAATTCTTTTGTTTATGTCCGTTTATATTTTTCACTAAAGATTCGCTAAAGAAAATATCGATATTAATCGAAAATGAATCGCCTTCTTTGGACTTTTATAAGTATTTTTAGACTGTCCATCTCGGGTTTTAGGGAAAACTGACAAATCTCAATTCATTATTGAGTACATTTTATTATCATCATTGCCTTGCTTTTATCCCATTATTTGATGTCGGCGCAGTATGTCATTCATTGATTGAGTACATTTTATATTATAAATTATTTCCTGTCTTAGTACACAGACGTAAGATAATGTTATGATAAATGCTATCTATATAACTGATTAAAATTATAAATTAGATTTATTAATATATATGATTGTCAATTATATTGCGCCGCATGCTAAATTTTGTGTTTACCCCGCGGTAGACTGATAGAGAATAAGCCCTTTGATATTAAGCCCCTAAATGCACATTTATATAGATGTGCATTATTAAATAACTAAAACCTATTGGTACGTGTTTATGTCAGTTATCATGGCTACGAAGGTGAAAAAAAATTAGTACCTACCACATCACGGTGCCGGAAAATGGTGACTTGAAATAATACAGTAGGTATATTGAGACACAGAGCTTCCACGGTCATCACCTTATCATGTGCATCCGTGGTATTACTCATGCGTTACTGCTTGCTACTTACTTACTTACTTGCTTTTTATCCTGTAATTTCACTGCCCGATCCTATCCTTCACCCGAAACAGCAAGCTTCTTGGAGGCTGATATATAAAGAACTTTACCAAATTGCCGTTTGTAAAAGTATACCTTTGTAATTTGTAATTGTACCGACCTTTTTTAATGGATGATAATAGTATGGTTCATACGCTAACGGTTTACGCCGGCGGGGCACCAGTGGAGCAAGATATGTTTCGCATGATGTCAGGTCAGTTAGCCCATGGTTGTAAATTCACCAGGATTTTATCACGATGGTTGACAGGGAGAATAGCGTGAAGGTCAACCTGACATTGTACATTGCTAGCAATCAGTCCACATTACTAACAAATCCCTTCCCATCTGTACTAACTTATTCAACAGAGGTTATATGTATATATGTGTTTCAAATAAAGTAAGAAATTTTAGCCTTTACATTAGGGAAAAAGAACAGATATACCTAATAGTGATATTAACATTCGATAACGATTTTAATTATTTTGATTTACTTGTTATCTGATGGGTTTATCGCATTTAGAAGGATGTAATGTGATAAAAACATTTTATATAAAACCGTCGAAGTTGGAAATGACAGTTATTTAGTTTTAATCGTCAACATGAGGGCTCTGTTGAAATTATCTGTGCTTGTGTGTGTCGCAACTGCAGGTTTGTGTTAAATATTCATTGATTTCTATTTGTTACTTGTAGGTAACTTTTAAAAGGTAGCCAGAAAGGATAACTTCAGGGCGAATGACAAAATTAGGCATTTTGAATTAGACATCCTATTACATTATATCGAATAAAGAACCAGAGGCTGCAAGTAATTTAGAAGCAAACATTATTATATTATACTTTATTATTAACAAGTATTCACTATTATTTTCTTAACCGTCTTTAAAAAAAAATTCAATGTCAGTTGTACGTACTACTATTTATATTAAGAAAATAAAATGCAAATTAGTGTGGCATTTTTAGTGTTTATATTAACTTTACCGAAAGAAAATGGAGGCCGGGTGTAGAGAGCACTTCAGACCCGCGGAATGACTACAATGGATATAATGATAAGACTTTATTCAGAGCTTGAGGTGAAATACAAATAGACAAAATAATGATGCACTCAATTTTATTTGGTCAGGATTGTTAGTTGAAAATTTAAATAGTCATAATGATGTGACTCGGCTAGATTCAAACGCTCGACCGATGAGTCTTTTAATAATGTATTGATGACGATGTTGTATCTATAAAGATGACTATGATTTATGTAGCTATAGAAGTACATGAAATAAAAATATATTAAATTAACATACAAAAACTTTAATTTCAGCCTTCGGCTACAGTTTGACGCCCACAGATGTCGTCTTTCATTTTTTCAGCAGGTTAGTATATACACCGATAAGATAATATTACATAACACGCTAAAGAATTTGAAGGGTTATTTATTGGTGTGACTGGCGATACTTTCTGCCATAGAGCATATAGAAAAAAGTGCGACGGAGTATTTATTTACAAACATTACAAACATAAACTAATTAGAATGTAAGTCTTCTAAATATATATAACTCAAAGGTGACTGACGTAGTGATCTATCAATGCACAGCCCAAACCACTGGACGGATCGGGCTGAAATTTGGCATGCAGGTAGATGTTAAGACGTAGGCATCCGCTAAGAAAGGATTTTGATAAATGCCATCCCTAAGGGGGTTTCATTAAAGCGATCGTAGTCACGGGAAAAGCTAGTATAACAATAATAAAGAATATATAATATTAAGTTCTTTATATCTAAATTAATGTAAATAAAAACGAATCGCAACGAACGTTGTTAAGTAATTTAGCCATTTACTTTAATAAAATTTTATTTTGAATTTCGGAGAATGTTAGAAGAAGAAAATAATTAGAAAAAAAATATTGCGATATGCAAAAAAAATACTGCAAATTATATGAAATACGTAGTCGTTATTTGATATAATTTGTAGTATCTATTAAAAAAATCACTGAAGAATAGAGCAAAGTGGAGAAGAATGGGTTTGAACATTATTAATTATTAATCTTAATTATTAGCCGCTACTATTAATTTTGATTTATATGTATATTCAGAGAATGAATGATAATAATCCTAAGTATTATAACTGTAACAAAATTGTACATACATATGAATAGCATTTTTAACTGGTAGGTACTGAAGTATTTTATACTTTTTGTACATTTGGCAGTTGGTGTTTACAAAATCCTAAATGCTAAACAACATTTATTTAAAAGAGATGAATCTGATTTCTGAATGAGCGGTAGAATAAAAAGAATATTATATGACAACAATTTTTTTCAATAAAACTGCTATAAGTTTATTTGAATAAAGATTATTTCTAATTATTTATATGCTACTTATTTTTTTTAATTAATTTACAGGAATAATCCGACCGTAAGCCAGGCGGTGTACCCCAACATTAATTCCATTATGACATCCAACATCGACGTACAGAAACCAATCGTTATAACTATACACAATTACGTGGAAAATGTAACAGGAAACTTCAATGCATTCGTTGTTCCAGGTAAAGATTTGTTCATAAAAAAAACCTTATGCGATATGTTGTATGTGTATGACATTACAAGATAAGTGAGATGAGTCCTCCGGAATGACAATGCATCAGTGGTAGAAAGAGGTTACATGATGTTCGCTGTGCTGTTTATGTATAGATATAGGTGACTGTTACAGCTCACCCTCAGGTGGGCTGTCAGCTGGTTTGTCATTCTAATTGCGTATATGTATTAGATAGTTCTCACACTGTTTGGGTCGGAGCTTGTAGGAAAGTGCGTATCTATTCTATATATATATTATAATGTGTGCTCAATGCAGAATGCATTGGGACATCCGTTGATTGGGTATTAAAGCACTAGATTTTTAAGTTAATAGATATTGTTTATTTTTATGTTACAGCATTTTTGGATACTGCTGATGAAAACGTTATCGCAGTCGATTGGAGCCCTGGTGCTAACCTCTACTCCCAAGGTCTTGGTAACGCTCCCCAGTGCGGTGAGGTGGTAGCGTCCTTTGTGAATATCCTGATTCAGCAATTGGGTTTCAATGCTAATCTTTTGCGCATTGTTGGCGTGGGATTAGGTGGACATATTGCTGGTATCGCTGCTAGAAACATTGTCTCACCAGTACCTTATATTGTAGGTGAGTTTTGTTAGTTGCCAGAGAACAGAATTGATTTGCAACCAAAAAATATCGATTTCAATTGTTAACCAACACGGCTTGGATATATTTTTAACTACAGGCATTTTAACTGCAGGCAGTTCGTAGGGAAAATTCTATTGACCACTGATAATCCTAATTTGATCAAGCTGAATCATATATTTTTACTAAATTAAAAAAAACATAGTGAATTAGTAATAACTTTTTAAATATAACCTATAAAGGTAATTGTGCTTCATAATATAAATATATAACCCTGGATAACTCCTACATTATTAGATACATTTAATTGCGAATATATATATAATATATATAGAAAATTTATAAATATATATACAATACATACTTTCTTTAATATATTTGTAGTGCTATGATTGGAATTTACCTATTGGGAAGTAACGAGTATGCTAAGGTAGATGCCATAGTACATTGCATGCCATATCTTAAGATATTAGTGTATATACACTGACTACATTTTAATATTTGTAATACATAGTGACATTATTCACAATTCCAAACATTTTACAGCAGGTAGTTTTTGTTTTAAGTTTAGAGTAAAGAGGAGGTGAAATAATTAAAGTTTAAATTATACTATGTCTTTGATGTATGTTACACAATATCTTCATCAATTTATGAATAATAATAACAATATCTTTGGACAATTCACACAGTGCCATCTAGTCTCAAGCTAAGAAAAGCTTATGGGTACTAAGAGTAAAGCAGTGTGCTAGACCGCTAGACTGAGGCCGTCAATCAAGAATCTATTCTGATAATTATTTTTAAATGGTATAGAGAATTTATAAATCACAATTTGACATATTGTTCGGAATATTTTATACAAGCTGCAATAATTATAAATCTATTACATCGTAACCATCCTGCCCCAATCTCATTGTTTTTGACATCGGTGTAATATGTGTTATATTATGTTATTTATTTCAATAATCTTTATTACACCAGATAAATTGCATTAATTAAAATTAACAGAGTAATTAAAATTAAGAGGGTACAAAACATACATAACATAACACCAACGTTCAAAGTTATCTGTGATATTACTATGAATTACGTCTTTTGATTTCACTATTTGCCGCCTGCTTTACGAGTACCGACTCTGGGAATGCATTTATTGATGATTAAGCCGTCACGGTTTCCACGAAGGGTAGGGATAAAAAGACGTGGGGGTCAGAAACTTACAAGTGAATAAGTGGAAGTGGGCAATTGTGAAGATATGAGACAAGCAGGGGCACTGCAGTTATGTAGCGGATATTAGTACTCGTAGAAACTGTAGTAGGTCGGGCGTCTGGGTCATTCTACGTATATCTGAATGTATATGTCCTTATTGTAGGAATTCAAAACGGCTACCGCTGATAATAAACCATGTTATACATGTAATTAACTATAAATGTTTTTATACCCGATGTTAGATAATTATGTTACAGTGGGAAAATAATATTTTTATATTTTTTATCTAGCAAAACCGATTTAAGTGGAGTTTTAGATTTCAGATTTGTTACATGTATATAGTAAGATTTCCATAATATAATATTTGTTTCAGTCCAATGGGTTCACAAGCATAATATTATCATATAATTTATTGTTAGTCTGAATATCATACGCGCATATCATTTAGTGTTGAATATGATAATATAAGTATGTATAAAATTTGTATGTGATAAAATATAGAAATATCAGCTAATATTGAATGTATAGAGATTGAAGAGATTCTTTGATAAACTTTGTTTTAAATTATACATTATTTTACTATTTCAGCTCTGGATCCATCCCTGGTTGGTTGGACTCATCATCCCGATATCCTGAAAGCCAGTGACGCTGGTGTTGTTGAAGTACTTCACACAACCGCCGGCGTATATGGCTATGACTATCCTCTGGGCGACATTGACTTTTACCCAAATGGTGGAGCATTCCAGAATGGCTGTGGTAGTGACCGGACTTGCTCCCACACCCTTGCCTACGCCTTCTACGCCGAGTCATTTACGAGTCAAGAGGAGGGTGCTAACGAGTTCGTTGGCACTGCTTGTACCAATTATGAGAGTGCTATTGCCTCAACTTGTGACGGGCAGAGGGACGCCATTTTCGGAGGCAGAAGAGATAAGTCAGGGTGAGTATTGTTACTCTATTCTTGAAGACAATTAAAATAAATGCTAATTATGAAAATAACATGGGAGGTATTGTGAGGAATTGTGACCAACGGATCGATATCTGTTGCTGGATTTTATCTTCTCACAACCCGTCAGAATTAACATACTATCTTGATTATCTAGATGTTTGGTGATGATGTACTGTTACGTGGAATCAGCTCTCAGTAGTGGCATTTTTTAATACAGGCGACATTGAAAATTTAAGCAATAGTACATTCCTACTTAAAAGGATGCCCGCCTTTTAAGGAGGAATATGCTATTTCTTAAATTGAACTCACTTGCAATACCCCTGGATTTATGGGTACTAATAGCTAGCGGCAATCACTTACCATCAGGTGTGCTGGAAACTCGTTTTAAAGTTAAAAGTTATTTAAATGCTAAGCTTTATATTTCTATTTATATGTTAACATTTTAATGTAAATTATTTTTTTTAATAATGGTATAATTTTTGGGCGCTTTAAAACATTGCTATTACTTAGAGTTTAGATATTTAAGGAATTATTATATTAAAATATACCTAATTACATTCCACAAATATATTTTTCCATAAAATTCGAAAAATATTAAAATATTCGTTATTTATAGGTCTGTAATAAAAAGTAATTATAATTTTTTATTAAATACTAAGTTATATTATGTTTAAATTATACTTTTTCTATAATTTGTAGATTTAACTAGTTATATTTATTATTTAAACTTCTATATAAGATTTGTCCAAGAATAGTCATAAACTAGTATCATTATCTTAAATAGTATAGTTATATTTATACTACCAGGATAGCATACAAACAGGATTTAGGTGTTTCCATTAACGGATAATTAGAGAGAATCAGAAGATACTAGATAAAAATAAAAATTACTAACGTAGTAATTGTGCAGATATATTATGTCTGCGTCTAATTGAGTATTTTGTAAGTAATATGTACATTTTTGTTTCAGTATATCCGGTATTTACAACTTCCTTACGAATCCCACCTCGCCTTTCGCCAGAGGTTAAGAAGTAATAGGGATAAATAATTATTACTTCACAATATAGAATCGGTCAATTTAAGTGCAGTTAATATTAAAATGCATTTATGATAAGAACATTGTTATTGTTAATAAATGTGTAACTCTCAACGTTGTGATTATTTTCCTAGTAGGCCTTGTTTTTTGTCGTATCTGTTTATATATCTTCACGAAAGGTCCTTTACAGGTTAGTTAGAGATAGTAGTTTATTAGGTTTCTGCTATCTTTTTTATCGCACATAGAAATTACTTTCGTAACTTGTTTAATGTATACACATAATTCTGACATTGTTTCTGTTTGGAAGAATATTTACATTAGGATGGCTATATGGCTAGTGAAAGGGAAGGGAATGGGTATTTACATTTAGATAGAAGGTTTATAATAATAATAATAATCTCAGGACAATTCACACAGCGCCATCTAGACCCAAGTTAAGCTAGCTAAAGCTTGTGTTATGGGTACTAGACAACTGATACAAATACATAGATAATTTTTTTTTTCGTAAATACATATATATTATACATAGAAAACACCCAGACCGATACAAATAAAATAATCATACTCATGAATACAAATGTTTGTGCCGTACGAGGAATCGAACCCGCGACCATCGGTCGTAAAGCGGTGTGCTAGACCGCTAGACCACCGAGGCCGTCAATCAGGTTTGTAATGGGATCTATGTGCATGCAGCTGAATTGCAGGATAGGTCTGAACATCTAGTGGCAGATCCTCTAGTTAGTAGTAGTATGTAATATTATGTTATCTGTGGTAGTAGTTACTCTAGGTAGTTGTCACTAGAAAGCAATGTGTTAAGCTATTATGTGCAATGTGTATTACCATCCAAAAAAGAACCAAGGTAGAGTATTGTCTCTTCCGCACTTCTCTATTAATAGCCTAACACCGTGCACAAACGGAATAACGATTTTACCGTAAGACTAGAAATTATTTTAGTATTACATCATACTATGTTCAGTACGAAATCATTGTGGTTCAATGGTTTACAATCCTGACTTACACCTAAGGGGACATGAGTTGAACTCTGGCTGAAAATAAAAAAAAACAATTGGTGTGTATTATTAACATACTCTCCAGTAAAGGATACAACTATATTAAATAAAAAAAATTATCCGTGACAGGCGGCAGGCTCGCCCCGTGTCACCTTAGACACAGATATACCTATTAAAATGCAGTAATATCAAGTGTTATCAAGTACGACATCAATAGTTGATAATGGGTCTGACTACCCCAGCTAGGATAACAGCCACGACGATATATTATTTATTTAAAAATATGAACAAATATTTTATTATTTTAGGTTTGCGTATTAATAAGTTCGCTGTGAACTTGGCAAGCTCTGTACGTCATTGCAAATCGGTAGGTACATTAAACCTACATAACCTCAGGATTGACCCTCATAACTTCATATAGATTCTATCATAATGCTTCGCTCTTATTATTTAAAAATTAAAAAATATTTTTGAAATTCGAACCAGTAAATCTTGCGATACGTTGAACTAACCAACCTAATAAACTTTTCAAATTTTTAATAATTTATTATTTAGTGAATTAAAAGGTGTGGTTTCCTTCTAATATTCTAAATTTGAAACTACAACCTCGTCTTGTTACATTTACTTCGTTTTTGTAACATTTTTCATTGCTATTCCACTTATATTAGTGATAGCTTGATGTTGTATAGCATATTGATAAATGTGCTATCCAAGACTAAAATATACAGAGAAACAATAAACATTTTTTGAAGTCAGGCCAAAAGGGTAAAGTCCACTAAGTGTCATAGTTCGACATTTCTATTAATAGAAATATATATATATATATATATATATATACAATCAGTCCATTTATAGAAATCATTTATTTCATTGTTAACAATCACTTATAGTATGTCAGTCATTATGTGTGATCTGTAGCAACACAAAAATCTTAATATTAGATTTTTGAGAACCAAACACTGATTTTAATGTTCAACGCATTTTATGAGAAAATACTAATGAAAGAAAAAGCGCAATAAAAATGTGCGACTGTCTGTGCGGTGTATTATGTGGGCAATGTTTAATAATTAATAGAAATATTATAAATCAGAATATTTAAAAAATATAATATATAATTAATGAGTAAATATTTCTCCATTCAGAAATTGCAAACAAAAATTCATAAATTCTATATAGTGCCTATTATTTCTTTTTGTAATATGTGATCTCTTTAATATTTATTCAATAAATGCCTCAGTTCAGTGCACATGTAATATATATAGATTAGTTCAAGCGAATGAAACTACATGTATATTTCTCATAAATGAAGAGAAATTTTGTTTCAGCAAGGATATGATATCTGTACATTATATTATTATTACAAATACAATTGTAACAAACATGAACTTTTAGCACAGAATGCCTAACAGTCACAAATGATGAGTGTATTTTTTTCGGTACGTTTAGTACAGAACGCTTGGCGGAATTGAATCTATGACGGATGAAGTGTGCAAGATTTAGGATCTGCGCTTAATTTTATCTGTCTGATAGTACGATAAGTTTAACTAATGTCATTAGAATTCTGAGTTTTATATTTATACTATAATTAGAAATAGGCGAACCACAATTCATTTAATTTCATTTACAAATTACTATTATAAGTAAAGAATATGTGTTAGAACACCGAACGTTTGTGATAAATACAGTACTCACTGCATTTACAGACAGTGATTAGCTGATTAATTTAGAAATTGATATTATTTTTAATCCAACAAAAGATAATTATGGCGTGAGGATGAGGTGATCACATGATAAAGATACTGTTGATATTAAAAACTGTTCTAGAAATTTTACATTTCCTGTTTAGTTATACAGGATGGATTTTTGTAGAGTAGCTGAAAAATTGTAATATAATTATTACAATAATAAAGAAATGTACATGTATATAGAAAATAAATTTGACCGCACAATGTCCGTATTATGTATCAATTTTTACTTTAAATAGGCCAATTGTATTGAGCCTAGTATTGACTTTGATATAAAATGGATGTTTTAAAAATATAAGATGATAACATGACTAAGTATAGAAATGGCATTTCTAGGCAGAAATAACATTGTACTTTCATGCAAATGCATTAGTACGCGATGTAGTTATATGTAGAATGACGCTAAGGAATTAACTTTTACTGGAAAAGTTAGCCGTTCGTTCATTGTTTTTTTTAATTGGGGGTTTGGGCTATTGTCAGGTGCTTGGACCTGTAGCAGTTGGACCTTTATTATGCTCGCCCTTTTTCAGAGTTTGCTAGCTAGACCCATCAGCAACAAGAATTGAAGGATATTCATAGGAGTGATAGTTTTTATTTCCTCAGGATAGAGTGTAAACTTTCCAAAGGAGATATTACGTTTATCCATGAGAGGGCTATAACCACATATGTATGATGGTGTAGTGGCGTTTACTCTTCAGTTTGGAAATATCTGCAGATTTTTATTGTACACAGGCCTAGGTTTGCTATATGTTTGTTCAATTTGCAGTGTCCTGTGAAGGACCTGTGTTGTTTTTAATCAATATCAATAGTCTATTGGAGTATTTGTTCGAGTAGCCTATTAATAATATGTTTGATTTGTGTATACAATAAAATTACAATATTTTAAAAAGAGCAATACAGAGTATAACAATTGAGGTTGGTTCTAGGGAATCAAATGGCAGAAAGTTGCGTAATACAATATGAGGATCCTGATAACCTAAACTAGGTATTACACCTGTGCTGTAGGTATAACAACTCATGTAATATTAAATAAAATATAGAATTATTTAATTCTGTAAAAAATAAGCAAACCCACTGATAAGTATATTTGCAGACATTATCCGATAATGTTTAATATAGAAATAAGACTTCTAATATCATCTATCCATCACGCATGGATGAACTGATTACGATGTCTATGGAATGACAGCAATAAAAGTATTGACTCCCTAAACATTTATTTATAAAAAAATCTAATCTGAATGCTCTCTATCATCCATTTTGAAATATTTTCTGTAAGTACTTTTAAAATGAAAGAACATTGTTTTACTTACGTTAATTAATTAGGCGAAATAGCGACGTATAAAGTACATCTTAGAGTTATCGAGTTTCTAACATGTCTGTGACTAACTACTCGCCCCGGCTTCGCCCGGGTGTACATGTATAATCCTTCCTCTAGAATCATTCTAACTATTAAGAAAACCACTCCAATATCCGTTGCATAATTTTAAAGATTTAGGCATATATAGGGACGGACAGATAGCGACAGCGTTTTATTTTATACTATGTAATGATATCGTACTAAAAATAAAACAAAACAGTCAGACAGGTTTATTTTTGCTTATATAATATACGTTAGTGATTACTTATCATTGTGATCGATTCGTGTACTAATAATTTTGCTTACAAAATTGTTACAACACGTATCTTGCCTTACTGTGTCAGTAATGATTAAGGTGATTATCATGCACAAATGTATGGTATAATTTTAGCAATCAATATTAAGTACCATGTTTATTTATTCTCTTTAATTTTTTTTTCAAATTATAATTAATATCTATCATTCGATGTACCATCGATTGATGTATATACCACCATCATTATTATTACATAGTATAAAACAAAGTCGCTGTCGCTGTCTGTCCCTATGTATGCTCAATATTTTAAAAACGGATTTTGACGCGGTTTTTTTTATAGATAGAATAATTCTAGAGGAAGGTTTATATATATATATAATACATGTACACCTGTGCGAGTAGCAAGTAGTTGTTAAAAAAAATATATCCTATCATAATAGTCCTATTTGATCCACCCATAAAAGATTATGAGACAGGAATGGCGCAATTAAATCATAAATCAAATTCACCTATTTAACCTCAAAAAAGAAGTCATCTCAGTATAATCACATATCGGATAGTCATTTTAAAATCTGTATTAGCGAGGTACTTAGTTATTTTTTAATTTCACTGATTTAGGATTAAAATCCGTTCTCTAGCTATACATTTGTTTTTAGTTAGTCACAGTTGTTTATTTATTATTATCATGATATCTATATCGGCGGGTTTACAAATATTAAAGTAGGTAGGTATATTGAAAAACCCTGAATTTCGTCGGAAACTCAATGGTTGCCAACTAAACTCTCTTGCAACGGTAATGTTTCACAAGATAATCTCGCTACTACATTAACTTATCACTAATAAGGGATTAGATGTCATTAAATTATCAAAAAATGTGTTTGATTGATATTCTTTGACAATAGTGGATATAAATACTTGGTCTAGAAAAACATAATTAATTACACTGACGAATAACTTGAGTCATGAAGGTCCTCGTTCTTCTCGTGGCAAGCATAGCATGTTGGTGATTCATTTAAATATCCTTAGACTATATTTTTGCTCAATTTGTAATTATAATTAGCGTTAATTATTTATTATTAAGTTTTGTGTTATTTTTTATTAATTAAGTAAAACAATGTTTCAAGTGTGTGCTGGCAATGCCGTCCCTCTGGTTCCTGGCGATAACAGCCACTACGTAGAGGGCGAGAGCCGCTACTTCTGGATGCCGGATGGAGAGGGCGTGCCCCATTTGGTAGACCTTGAAGAGCCTGTCGATCAGGATATGCTGAGTATACGTAATGGTGCAAATAATCAGTATTGGCTGTTCACTAGGTACGTTCAACATTTAATAAACTTTTTCTAATTTCTTTTACAACTTGTGAAGATTGAAAATAATATCAAAAATGGAATTAGGATTAATAAATATATTACATAAAATCTATTATTGTTATTTTGAAGTAGTGTATAAAATGTAATATGGTAGGTAAGCGACTGCAGTATAAAATTTTCTATTATTTTTCTAGACAAAACCCGAACAATGCACAGGTTATAGTAAATGGCAATGCAAATAGTATCTGGAACTCGAACTATGCCAGCGGCAGACCTTTAAAGGTCATTGTCCACGGATGGAATAGCGATGGCAACTCGGCCATAAATCCTCTTGTCACCTCTGCTTTCCTTGCTGCGCAAGACGCGAACGTCATCGTGGTAGATTGGCGTGCTCTGGCTAATTCAAACTATTTGACTGCCACTAATGGTGTGCCTGGAGTTGGACAGTTTCTTGGCAATTTCCTCGTGTGGCTTATCAATACTGCTGGTGGAAACTGGAACAACGTACATCTGGTAGGATTTAGCTTGGGTGCTCACGTTGTAGGAAATGCAGGTCGACAGGCTGGTGGACGGCCGGCTCGTGTAACTGGTTAGTTCATTTTATATTATGAAATATCTCAGAATTTATATTAGCTATTATTGTTTGCTTGTCACTTTATTTCAAATTCATTGACTGGCGGGAATAACGATGAAGGCATCATCAGTAATACCTAATTAAGGTCACTATTCAGTGGCCTCTTTGTGCGAGAGAAATAAAATAAGGAAGTCAGTAACAGCACGTAGTTCGAATTATTACACACATTTATCATTAAATGTTGAAAGAAAATTAAGAAGTCTAAACGTCAAATCTATTATTTTAGGTTTAGATCCAGCCGGTCCTAACTGGGTTGGAAATTCCAATGCTTTGAACAGGAATGCTGGACAATATGTTGAAGCTATCCACACTGACGGTGGCCTTCTTGGTATATTTAACCCAATCGCAGACGCCGATTTTTACCCTAACGGTGGCAGGAACCCTCAGCCTGGCTGCTGGGTTAGCACTTGTTCTCACAGTCGCGCATATGAACTATTTGCATCCAGTGTGCGTACTAATCACTTCCAAGGTAGACAATGTGGCAACATCAACCAGGCAGAGAATAATCAGTGTGGCGGTAGTACTCTAAACATGGGCAATGGAGTCATCTCTAAGAGAGGGTGAGATTTATATAAATTTCTACTTTAAAAACCTTGTCTTAAAAAATCGTCTAGGTACCGCTGTCTATCTAATTCAGCCAAATAGATTGCGTTGTAGGCTATATTTCCGTTGAAGATAAGCAGTGAAATTGCAGGATAAAAGACATTACATAGCAGTCTTCCTTTGGCAACACATGCGTGGTATCGCAGGCGTTATCTAATAACGTAATGTCTGCAGTGATGTACACGTACATACTCGTAGGCTCCCTCCGATCGTTCCCCCATCCCTCCTCCGATCAATCCCCCGTCCAATTAAATCGGGGATCTATATTACGACGACCTGAGTCGAGGTTCCAACCCCTAGTGATGCCCTCAGATTAAAGTCGTAGCCGTCAGGCAGGAGTTGGCCTTCAGCCGCTTCATAAATCCTTCCGCGGGTTTGGAGTGCCATCTGCACTCGCCCCCTATCGTCCGGTGAAGCTGTAAAGGCCAGCTGCGGCCAACAGCATTAGAGTAGTCCGAAAAAAATATATATATACTCATAGGCGACTGATAACGATAACGATCTACCTGGTAATAGATGATCGTCCGTTTTGCTATAAGATCAATTATATTATTTCATCATTGTACATCCATGTATTTTCAATTGATATTGCATATACGTTATATTTTTTATTGATTCTGAAACGCTTCTAATAAACGCATTTTTTTTTCAGATCCGGCCTCTACGGACTTTCTACTGGAGGATCATGGCCATTTTAATGATTAAATTACATATTGCTAAAAAAAATGTTTTTCATTACATAAGAAAATATATTGTTAAGTAACAGTTAGTTCCTACCGCTGCACACAAAATTCCGTCCTTATTGAAAAAAATATCTTCGACCAAAGTTAAAGTTAAGGAAAAATAATACTTATTTCTTGATTCAGATATATAACGTAGGTACAAACATCTCAAAGTACATGACGCATGTTACTCCTAAGCAATAGTTATTTCTATTGGTTTCAGAAGGATAATTTCCTAGAGTACTATATTTTATAATATACTCGCATTTATTTATATTTCAGTCATAACTCTTTCATGCGCAGGTGGTTTATTCATAAGTTAACATCCCTATTGCAAAAAAAAAAATTTAGGCATCTATTTTCGGTATAAAATAGTTTCTTTAGGAATTATTTTGCTAATTTAAAGAAAGAGACAAAACACTGTAATGGTAATTTAGGTTTGAATGATAAATGGACTCAGTATTTTATAAATTTGTTGGTAAAAGATAATAATAAGTATTGTACACCTACATGAATAACACAATTAATTGCTTACCTTATAATTATGGACTAGTTTATGTACGAGATATTCCTTTGTGATCTCACTTCATATCTAAAGTCTATCTAAATTCATCTTATCCTATCACTGTGTTGATCAGGCTGATAGAAGATTTTATTATATTTTTATATGGACGGGTTTGGTGGTCTACCGTTTTAACACACCTCCATAATTCCGATGGTTGCAGGTTGGATTCCTTGCACTGTACAAATATCTGTGTTGATGAGTATGAATCTTTGTAGCGTCTGGGTGTTTTCTATGTATGTAATTACAAAAAAATGTATCCATGTATTTATCTAACAATTTTATATTTTTATGTATTATATAATATATTTATATATCAATTATATAACCTATAACATAAACTCTGTTTAGCTTGGTACTAGATTGAGCCCTGTGATTTGTCCAGTGTAATTATTATTATTTTGAATTTAATTTGTCTTGCACTGATATATTTTATACAATTGTCATCTCTCATTACTATATCAAGGAGGTATGTTACATTTAGTCTACTCTCTTAATATACACAATAATTCTAGAAAGTTCTTCAGGAGACTAATTATATATACGTATATTAAATAAATATTATTGGTGTTATTGTTATTGGTGCATCTGTCACAATATTTATTAGACATGAATGTTCCGTATACAAAAATATATAACAAAATTCTTAATAGTAAATAATAATGTAAATATGAATTATAAAACTATATAGCTAGTACGTCAGTAATAATTATCATCCATTCTCTAGCAGTTTGAATTTAAAACTATTAAAAGTTTAAGGAACCTCATCAATTCAATTCTAAACTTAAAATTATTAACTTTAAAATTGAATTATACCTACAGAAAGCAGCATAGTGTTCCTTAAGAAATATTTATCTTAAAGATTAAATAATGGTTAAAATTATTAAAATCATTGAATGAATACCTTATCATTTATTGAATGTAATTTAACTATATTTTAATAATAAAAATATAAAACTTTCTCTGTTGTTATTGATTTCCTATACCTAAAATAATATAACTTATTTTCATTTATCTTAAGTTTGTTTTCAAAATAACCTAGTGCCTCATTACAATATTTGTCGTGTATGTTTGCAATGTAGTAAACACAAATAGAGTTGGTATAAATTGATAAATATTGGGCTCAAAAAACTTATTATCCAGGGCTAAAAAATATGACTGAAAAAAAAACCAGAGTCTTTTTTTGTTTTCTCAGATACCGTCAGAGTTGTTATGAATACTAAGCTGTAGATTATTAATCCATATGGCTTCAGAATATTTTTTTAAACTATTCGAATGTAGAGACAACTCCGTTGTCTCAATTTTTAGAAAGGCAAACAAAACAGTGGTACCTGTGGCCTATATATGTACATACATTGCACAAGGAACAACAATAAATAAAGAAAAACAAAGATATTGTGTCATCATTATGAGTTACATCTCACGTGCGTTGGCATTCCGGAGGAATAAGATGTCATGCCTCTATCATATTCTGTAATTTTACAGCCTAATCTCACAGGACAACCAATTCAATTTTCTTCTTAAATAGTGTTTTCTGTAGATAATCCTTTACATTTGTTTTGTAACACAGAATCAAAACTGCGAGTAATTTACGGAGAACACGCTATGCCAAGTTGCTATAAGCAACTCCGAATGTATTTACCTATATACATTTCATATTGTTCTCGTTATCTTAAATCTAAATAATGTATGTAAAGTATTCAGTTTTAAGATAACGAGTAGAGATAAGATTCTTTAAAAATGAAAAATAAATATAGGTATATACCTAACAGTGGAGCATAATTTGCTTTTCTTTTTTTTAAGTAATTGAAACAATACCATTTTTTGCACCAAATAAATGACATGTTACAAATTCTAAAAAAAAAACACATTATACTGACGAGGTCATCGATTAAATATAAATAGATAATTTAGATGGATTATTTCACGTATATATAGATTACAATACAAATTATAAGAGATTAAACAGTCTTATCGGAAAATATTGATTTGTAAAACTAAAAAAGCATATATAAAAATGAGTAATCAGTATTAGATACGAAATCAAAGCCACTGTCAACTTCAGTGATGAAGGTCTTTGCGGTTTTTGTTGCGTCTATAACATGTTAGTATTTTGTTAAAATTGCATTACCTACTGTTTAAAAAAAATTGTAGCAATTGATATTTGTATTTGAAACATGAATTTCTTAATCTAATATATAAAATATAATAAATTTGATTACAGATATACATAGCATAATTATTATTAATAGAATATTTATTCTAAGATATTGTTATATCTTTGTATATATTTGTTAATACTGTTTAAATTATTATCCATCGTAGTCTACTTTATCTAATATGTATATGTATATATGTATGATGTAATTTGTAAAGGTGTAAATATTTACAAATTAAGTACATAATATTTAATGTCTTATGTTTTAAGTGTGTGCCGGGAATGCCATCCCTTTGGTTCCTGGTGACAACAGTCACTATGTAGAGGGCGAAAGTCGCTACATCTGGATGCTGGATGAAGACAGTGTACCGCAACTTGTTGATTTGGCAGAGCCTGTGGATGAGACTTTGGTGAATTCTCGTAATGAAGATAGTAATCAGTACTGGCTATATACCAGGTATTTTATTTACTTTATAATATACATTTATATAAGAATAATAATTCTAACTAATAATATTATTATAAACATTATAAAACATTTATTTATTTATTGTCAAATAAGACAGATGTGCTGTGACATCTAAATTATCTAATTATATTTAAGCATTACTCGACCTTGACTATGTAGGGGAAAAATCGAACTCTGGTAATATTTGAATACTATGTTTTTATTTTAGTATTTCATTATAGAAAAAAAATAAGTCAACTATATTTTTCAAGTTATTGTAAGCACTTTTTACATAACTGTACTTATATTTAAAAATCAAACTGTTTTTAAGATTTTTATAAGTATATATATTTACAAGTAATATATTTAAATATATGTATATATTTATAGTTTAAAATAATATTTTTATGTTGAGTATTATATATTTTTTATATATATTTTCAGGTTGAATCCTAACACCGCTCAAGTTTTAGTGAATGGCAATGCTAATACTGTATGGAACTCTAACTACGACGGCAGCAAACCTATTAAAGTTATTGCCCATGGATGGCAGGGCAGCGGAAACTCAGGAGTGAACTCTCTCGTCTCGTCTGCCTTTCTTGAAATAGAAGATGTTAATATCATCGTAGTAGACTGGCGTGTAGTAGCCAATAATAATTATGTTATTGCTGTTGTCGGTGTTCCAGGGGTAGGCCAATACGTAGGAAATTTCCTTGAATGGCTTATCAATACAGCCGGTGGAAATTGGAACAATGTGCATTTAATTGGATTCAGTTTAGGAGCCCATGTCGTTGGCAGTGCCGGCCTACAGGCTGGGGGACAACCGGCTCGCGTTACTGGTTAGTTATTTCAAAACTAATTTTATTTACTTTTATGGGAGATATACTTTAGGTTACTTTATTTTCATACTATGTTCTATGCGGAATAGATGAAGAGACACTGGCATATGCCAGAGTACTAAATATATATAATTGTTACATTAATTTTTTAATAAAACCCAGTAATTAGATCTTTTAAACGGAATATATATATGTATATATATATGTATATATATATATATATATGTGATATCTTTATTAGCTACTAAAGAATTTCTTATAAATTTGAGTACTTAAAAAGTATAAAGGTCCATTATCTATAATGTCATGCCATTATCTATAATCAATTGTCTATTTATAGAAGAAGTTATAAATCAAATGTCAATTGTCTATTTTAAGGGACATTTATTATACCAAAAATTAAATATAAAATTCTTTAAAGAATTTCGGCTCTAAATAACAATATTTATGAAATGTGTTAAATAAATCTCCATTATTATTTTAGGCTTGGACCCCGCAGGGCCGCTTTGGATTGGAAATCCGTCTGCACTAAATAGCAGTAATGGACAATACGTTGAAGCTATTCATACTGATGGTGGGCTTCAAGGAGTACTAATTCCGATCGGGGATGCTGACTTCTATCCCAATAATGGAAGACACCCTCAGCCTGGCTGCGCCACCAGCTCGTGCTCTCACGGCCGCGCACCACAACTGTTTGCATCCAGTGTCCGCACTAATCACTTGCAGGGCAGATTATGCGAAAGCTTTAACCAGGCACAAAATGAGCAGTGTAATGGCAGCATTTTGAATATGGGCAATGGCATCGTTAGCAAGAGAGGGTGAGACATTTTTATTCTTGAAATATATATGTATATTTACATGATACATATATTAATTAATTAATTACGGTTTATGAAATTTCAAACGAAACCAAAATTTTACATATGGCATCAAAAAGTATATTCTGACAATGTCAGGTCGCTGTCGCTGTCTGTCCGTCCCTATGTACGCTTATCATAGGGACTTATCTTTAAAAAAAACGCAACGGATTTTGAAGCAATTTTTCTTAATAGAGTCTCTAGAGGAAGGTTTATATATATAATACATGTACACCCGTGTGAAGCCAGTGCGAGTAGCTAGTATATTATAAACGCGTAAGTTTGTGAGCATGGATAGATGAATATATGTTACTCTTTCATGTAAAAGCTATTAAACGGATTTTGATGCAACTTTACAGTAATATAGCTGAAAACATCAGAATACAATGTGAATTGAACGAAATATAATGATAAAAATCGAGTACATGTGATGCAGACGAAGTTGCATGAGTCAGCTAGTCTTAAATAAATATAAAATTGATATAGCAGTATTAGCTCCATACTTTGGTTTTTAGAAATTAAAACGTATACGTCATAAGAAATTCCTAAATAAAATGTATTTTTAATGTTTGTTTTCAGTTCCGGTATCTATGGTCTGTCAACTGGAAGTTCGTGGCCTTATTGATTAAAAAAACAATAGTGTGTTCATCGTAACTTGTGTTTAAATCGTCATCATGTTGAGCTGTATACTACTGATCCACTATCTCTTTCAGACCTTTTACCATGTTTTACTTCTACTTTTTGTATCCATTAATGACTGCCATATATTAGAGAATAAAGTACATTTATGTAATTGTAAAGCTTCTGTTCATTAATTAGCATGCTTGATAGGTCTCTTAATTTTTAAGAATGTGTATAAGAATATTATATGACTTCAAAAATCCAATAAAGTTATGACTGAATATAAATTTTAATCGTACATTTTACGTATTTTTAAATTTCGTGTTACACATTATTAATATAGTTAAACGTTGGCCGGCTCGTGACCACGGCTAGTGCAGTCTGGTCGAAACGTCGAGAGAGGTAAATAAATTTATTTACCATAACATTATTCGTGTTAAAACCCCTTTAACTATATTATTAACACATTTTAAGTATTTTTATATATTTAAGTATTATATATAGACTATGGACCGGGGGGCATGTGTACCTGTTTAAATCCTATCTAATTGTACTTTCTCGATACATGACGTGACTAATCCAATTTTTATTGATAAAATATCAAACAAGACGCTATACGTGTTATGCGAATGATCAGATATAGCAAAACATTATTCTGAATATTGTATGGGCAACAGTTATTACTATCCAATTTTATATTGAATGAGAAACGTAGGTATTTACCATTGCTAATCTTAATTGTAAAATGAACATTAAGGTTAGGTCCTTAATTTTTTTAGGTATTTAATAGTTATTTAAAAAAATTCGAGGTCTAACATAATCGTATGAGAAATATATTTTTATTGTAATCTAATTCTCGTCTTTTTCGCACTTTGATGCATTCCAAGTTTATTTTCATATTTATAGAAAAGATAATATGACACCTAAAAACAAATAATCAAACCTACATAAGAATAAAAACATTTGCTGGGTCTAAAGTCTGTCGGAGGAGTTCTAAAGTGCTAGAGTAGTCATTACATATGTATATATGTAACTTTAATAGATAAGGAAGAGATTATTGTCTACTCTACTATATAAATACGAATTCTCAGTTATTTTGGTTATATTAGCCGAAATTAAATCTGTATGAAGTGACAAATTATCCAAGGTTCAGTTTAGGGTAAAAGTGATCACCAACCTTATCAAGACGCTTTCATAACAATCCTTTATGGAATGTTTAGGTATAGTCAAGAACTTTATCAGATGGAGACAATATGCTGGGAGCTCTTTCACCAAGTAGGGCAATGATCATAAGCCATGATAACTCTGTCGAGAGTGTACGACTGAAGAAGAAGATGTATTTCGTCGTACTCGATTAATCACATTCTTATCACAGAAAAATTCAGAGTCACTCTGTTGTTCTCTCCTTAATCACATTTATTGTAGTTTACTTTTTCATATAATACTGAAGAAATGTTTTTATATACTGGAACGGATACAACTGTAGGTGTGGTGTTACTGTACGATAACACGCACTTCATTTACTATTGTGACGAAATATATTTATTCACAATTGATAAATTAATTTGATTACTATGTAAAAGAGATTAAATCTGATTAAAACTCATTATCTAAATATATAATTTGTCTAAAAGACATAAAAAGGATATATAAACATGTTGGAACTTTATACAATCAAACACACAGGTAACTTCAGCCATGAAAGACATTGTAGTTCTTATTGCATCTATAGCATCTATAGCGTGTTAGTATTTTCTTATTTTTTAGTGATTACTTGATAAATAGTACAATTTAAATGATACAAATTTTAATTATAATATTTATAATTTGATTTTGTGTATTAATTATTGTTAAAACATTAAATTTATTGCATATATTTCATTGTTTTTCATTATAATATTTAGAGTTTATTCATATCCATTAATATAATTTTATTACAAGTGTGTACGTGCACCGCTGTTTCTCTGGTTCCCGATGATAACAGTCATTACGTCGAGGGTGAGAGTCGCTACATCTGGATGTTAGACGGTGAGGGTGTATCGCATCTTGTAGACCTAGAAGAGCCTGTTGATGAAACCTTGCTGAATGTCCGCAATGAAGGCAGCAATCAATACTGGCTATATACCAGGTTCATTTAAAAATCAATATTATTCATATAAATAACAGAATGTCATTAAATTTAAATACATTTCCCTATGAGTCATTAGTCTTACATTATTTAGCATAGTAGAAGATACAAATTAGGAAAAATAACAACAAAGCCTACGGTGCATTTAAATTAAAAAGTCGTGTGTGTAACTTTGTCTCACTTATTTCAGGCGCTAAGCAACTTACTTTGTAAACTGTGTATTTTTATTAGGTTGTAGGATGGAGATTAGGCAGTAATATTAGTCTTTTGAAATGGCAACGTATGAGTGGTATCGCGGGTGTCACAAGATGTTTATAGTGTTGTTCATGTATATACCGCGGTAACCGCTTACCATTAGATGGGCCGTTAGCCTGTTTGCCGTTCTAGTAAATTCTTTAAATAAGTAATTCTCTAAATATATCTACTGTAGCAAATCCGGAGTAGGTATGTCTTTTCAGTTAAATATATTTTTATGTTACCATTTATACAATAAATTTAATATTTAAAATAAAACTTAAACATTTTACTGTTTTGAAATTGCCAAAAAATAAGAATGGTTTTATTATGTCAATGGGTATCTTTTATGATTTTCTTTTTTTAGGCAAAATCCTAATACCGCAGAAACTTTAGTTTACGGTGACATCGACTCTATTTCGAACTCCAACTATAACAGCAGCAGACCAATAGCAGTTATTGTCCATGGATGGCAAAGCAATGGAAATACAGCGGTGACGTCTCTCATCAGGAATGATTTTCTTGCTGCTGAAGACACTAACGTCATCATAGTGGATTGGCGTACAGTAGCTAGTTCAAATTACTTAACTGCTGTTATTACCTCTATTGAGATTGGACAACTCATTGGAAATTTCCTTGAATGGATTATTAATACCACCGGCGGAGATTGGAATAATGTGCATTTAGTTGGAATCAGCTTGGGTGCTCATGTCGTTGGCAGTGCAGGAAGACAGGTTAATGGACAACCGGCTCGTGTGACGGGTTAGATGCAAAATCTATGTATATGTAGTTAATATATATGTATTATAAAGTCGTTATATACCTTTTCTGTAAGTGCCCACGTTTATGCCCACGTATAAAGGTAGGCGTACGTTACCTTGTCGGCCACTGTTTTGAACAGAGATCTAATTCTAATGTCTTAGATTCTTGATTCCTGACTTGTAACTGGCTAGGCTTCGTCTGCAATGGATTTTTTCTTAAAATATTATTCGCAGAACATATTTTTTTTCTTTGTTTTAACAGTTCTCAGCAATAGGTACTATGATACAGGATAAGAAACGGTAAAAATAATATACTAATACCGTTACGAGTGTCATGCTGAAGAACACATTTTAGCTATGAGTATTTTAAAAATTTGGCCGCCTATGGAACTAACTACTTAAAAAGATAAACGAGTTAAAACTCGTTAAATTAAGGGACTTAGATTAATAAGTATATTATATATGTAGGCTACGTGTAAAAGAACAACAATTATTGGGAGTGATTATTTGCAGGTTTAGATCCTGCTGGCCCTCTATGGATCGGAAACCCAAATGCTCTAAACAGAAATGATGGACAATACGTTGAAGCTATTCACACCGATGGCGGGATACAAGGCATACTAATTCCGATCGCAGACGCGGATTTCTATCCCAACGGTGGAAGACACCCTCAGCCTGGCTGCTCCACCACCTCGTGCTCTCACGGCCGCGCGCCACAACTGTTTGCCTCCAGTATACGCACTGACCATTTACAAGGAAGATTATGTGACAATTATTACCAGGCACAGAGCGTGGAGTGCAGTGGCATTGTTTTCAATATGGGCAATAGTATATTCTCTAAGAGAGGGTAAGAATCTAAATACGCTTTATATTCTAGTCGCCGTAATGTAAAAAATATTCGAAAAGAAGAAAAAGTTTATTTTGTGACTGTCTACTCAATTTTAAAAGTCAATTATTCACTTATAAGTAACAATTTCTTATAGAATGTCAGATTATTAGAAAGTAACATGCGATTTATTTCATGTCAAAAATAATAGAGGTCTCTATTATAATGTATATACGAACCTTGGTGCTTGCTAGTGTAAAAGATTAATTATTAATAATACATAAATATAATTAAATACAACATGTAGTGCCATACAATCTTACTGAATGGTTTTGGGGTTCCTCTAGTTAACAGACTCCATATAATAAATATTTTGAGGTTTACCAGATAACAATTAATTTATAAACCACTGTAATCAACTACATACTTATTATAAACGAATGTATCAGTACTTTATAATACACCCATGAAGCCATTATTACCAATGTACCATATCAGGTTGACCTCCATCTAATTCCCACTGGCAAGCATTGTGATAAATTTCTGACGAATTTGTCACGATAGGCTAACAGACCTGACTTTATGTCCACCTTGTCTTCTTCAACGTAAACCTCAACAATTCCGTTAGGTTTAATAAAATAAAAAAATCGCGGCTTCGTCTCGTTCTTGATTTTGTAATTTATATATATTATTATATCTACATGTAAAATTTTCAGTTCCGGCATTTATGGTCTGACTACAGGAAGTTCGTGGCCTTATTAATCTTTAAATAATATAAAACAAAGCAGCCGGAGCTGTCTGTTCGGTTATATCTTTTGTATTACGCAACGGATTTTAATGCAGTTTCCACCAATTGACAGAGTAATACAAGAGGAAGGTTTAAATGTATAATATATGCGTGTTATAGTATAGATCAAGAAAGAGAAATTATAAGAGTTATAATGGATCTGTGCAAAGCCCTAGTAAAATACATACAATGATCGATTGCTTTTGATTATGTCAAAGTAGTTAAACAACTCCATTATAATTATTATCTGAATATAATAAAAGTACTTTAAAGTTTTGTGTTACAACATTTATTATTAAATATCCTTTATTGCAGTATAGAATATAATATTAATACTAATTAGAAACAAACAAGAGTGGATTTATTTCTAAGAGGATCATATGAGATTACATTTTATCCTAGGATGTACTGTGTACTCGTATGTAACACATTGATATATATATTACTCACACACAAGTATACACTACAATGTGTTACAGACTATTATTACAGATATTACTATAAACTTAATACATGAGGCATATGGAATTTTAAGTGTGACACTAGAGCGAAATTGGTATTTCTAATAAATCAATAATATTGAAGCAATTACATAGCGTCATGTAGTCCAAACATATTAAAGCTTGCAATATACAATACAATAACATTATAGCTATTTAAATACATCTTTAGTAATACTACAGACAACATAATATTGCATAAATACGTATAGATATAGAATATCATACTCATGGATAGAAATGTTTGCATTGATCGAATATCGAAGTCACGACCAGCCAATATACTAAAATGCTAGAGCACAAGTAGTAAGATGGTAAATGCTATTCATGTTTTCTAACTATACCTATACATGTTATATTTTTAAACATTGATACACAAAATCAAATTACTTTTGTATATGAGTGGTCATTTCGTCTAACTGATTACACGACAATGATACTATACATTTGAAATATTGATAAATTAGTTAGATTATATTTGATTAAAAACTATTATCAAAATGCGTTTGTCTGAAAGGCAGAAGAAATATATATAAAAATGGCTAGTAAATATCATGTCTAATTATATCAATGATCAACTTCAATAATGAAGGTCCTTCTAGTTCTTATTGGGTTCATAGCTTGTTAGTATTTTGTAATATTTCCTAATAAACAGTTTAATAGTTTGTTTACGATTTCTATTTTGATAGTTATAATAGATATGTATAAAATCGTGCAACTTTTATTTTAGCGTGTGTTTGTAATGTTATACCCTCAATTCCTGGTGATAATAGTAACTATGTAGAGGGTGTTAACCGTTATATCTGGATGCCTGATGGTGAGGGTGTGCCGCAACTAGTAGACCTGGAACAGTCTGTATATGTTTCGAATCCCCGCTCTGGAGCTGATAATCAGTATTGGCTTTATACCAGGTTCGTTTACTTAAATATACATTGTATTGAAAATATATAATAAAAGTAAAATGTATAAAGTATAATATTGTTTAGAAACTATTTAGGTACACGTTACAAATTCGTGATAAAGTCAATTTTAGAAATTTGGTACGTTATGACAATAAATCGATATAAATTGATTTTTGGCTAAACAAAAATAAACATACAAACTCATAGAGACGTAAACAAATAGAGACACTTACAATATAAAACTTATAGAGATACTTAAATTACTGAAATAATTGTTTTCTATATTTCATGGCACTTACAAGTTACTTAACTTACTCATACTAATTGAATGCTCATGCCAATTGAATGTAGGTTACAGAAAATTAAAGGAATCACCCCCAAATACCTTTAATATTTTATATTATTGTTAATTTTCATATTATTATTATCATTATGATTACATAATTTGGATTACTTTTGTGGAACATATGAATATTTTGTTGAATTTGTAATCCCAACAAAAAATATTCAAACTCATTTATAAAATTTCCTTTTTTCCATTTTTCAGAGAAAATCCTATTAATGCTGAAATTTTGATAAATGGCGACGCTGAGTCTATCCGGAGCTCTAACTATAATAGCAGCAGACCTTTAATAGTTCTTGTCCACGGCTGGTATGGCAGTGCAAATTCAGAAGACAACATTCTGATCACGTCTGCTGTTCTCGAAGCAGACGACGTTAACGTTATCGTACTAGACTGGCATGTAGCTGCAAGTTTGGACTACGTGAATGCTGTTGCAAGCACTCTTGATGTTGGTGAATACTTAGCTAGTTTCCTTGAATGGCTCACGGATACGGACGATGAACATGCACGATGCTGTTGTTGTGTTGGTCCTTTTTGGAATAATCTGCATTTAATTGGATTCGGCTTGGGAGCTCATGTAATCGGAGTTGCTGGTCGACAAGTTGGAGGCAGACCGGGGCGGGTTACGGGTTAGTTTTCATTCATTTATATTTATCTCAAAAAAAAAAACAAGTCGCAGATAACAACTATGATTAAATGTGTTTTTTTTAATTAAAAGATAGCCTTATTGATAGATATAGATATTGTTATAGATGTCCTATGTCTTTTTGAAAATAAAGGTAGGTGTTTTAATAAATTAAAAAAATAGAAATGAATTTAGATATATATATATATATACATTAAGTTCCCCTTATTTAAATACTTATATGCATGAACTTCATGACTTACATTTTAGTAATTTTATTATTATATAATTTAAAACTATTTGGTATCTTTATTATATCCTGTAGACATGTATGTTGATATATGCAAAAAATACCAAATTAGTTTCTAATTTTGCAGGTTTGGATCCCTCTGGTCCACTTTGGAATGAAAACCCGAATGCATTGGACAGTAATGCTGGACGATACGTCGAAGCTATTCATACAGACGGTGGTAGTCTGGGTATATTCACCCCGATCGCAGACGCTGATTTCTATCCCAATGGCGGAAGAAACCCTCAACCTGGTTGTGCTATCAGTACCTGCTCTCACAACCGCGCACCAGAACTGTTTGCGTCCAGTGTTATTACTAATCACTTTGAAGGCAGGTTATGTGATGATATCAATCAGGCAGAGAATGTTCAGTGTAGCGGTAGCATTTTCAACATGGGCAACGCGATCAGCAATAAAAGAGGGTGAGGTTTTATTATCTAGTTACCTACTTATATTATTTTATTAACTTTATATATCCTGTGATTTTAGGTTGTGATTCTAGGTAATTCATTATAATAATAATAATATATATATAATGATAAAAATAGTAATAATAATAATAATAATAATAACCTTTGACAATTCACACAACGCTTTCTAGTGCCAAACTAAGCGGAGCTTGTGTTGTGGATACTAGACAGCTGATAGATTTTTTTTATACGTACATAAAACTTTCAGACAAATAAAATTGATGATGTTTATTGCAACATTATAAACACTGTCTGAATAAATCTTAACAAAATCTTATGACTGAGGATAGAAATTTATAACATAACAACTAACATAACATAACATAAAAACTAATAATTACTTAATAACGTACAACAGATCTTCCGGTAAAAAAGATATAGATATTCTTGAGTGAGACATGAATTAGTGACAGGATTATATAGGTATGAACTGTAAAATGTAAAATAAATAGAAATTTTCATAAGAAGTCTCAGGTTCTTATATAAATTTTTTTAGCGGTGTAGCTTTTCAAAAGAAGTCCTTTTGTACCCTAATTTTGATTATTTTCATTTTTGCAATTGATGGAGTCTTCCTTAGATGACCTTCTTCTATTTGGTCACGATTAAAAATTGTTTTTATTGTGGTCTATTATGGTATATAATTATTATATTTGTTTTCAGTTCCGGCATCTACGGCCTGGCAACGGGAAGTAATTGGCCTTTTTAATAATAAATAATGATATTATCGTACTTGTGTTTAATTGTATCTATTTAATTAAATGTATAAACTAATTAAATTATATTTTATTATTAATTGTATTGCACTATATGTTGTTTCTTTATGAATGTTCTTAGAATAAAAAGTAGTGACAATCGTTGTGAAATTTCAAACTGTCATTTGTAAGAGCTCAAGCGATCTGTTTTAACTTAGTGGTAATTCTATAAGTATAAATATATTAGGCACATTGATTGAAGTAGAAAAAGTATAATCCATCACATTTAAAATAAGTATTGTTGCTAAGTAACAGTTTGTATGTAACGTGCAACTGCAATCGGAACGAAGTAAATTATATTTACTACTATATATGTAATCCACTTAATATCTCTATCAAAATATAATAAATGTTATATTTTAGTAAAGTTGCTACTATTTGGCTTTTGTTATTTTTCTGAGATATACCTAATCCTTCGAATTATTTCCCAGATATTTTACTTATGTTGTTGTAGATTTCGTGAAATGCTTAATTTTATGTCATTTATCACTGTTGTATGGTCATTAAAGTTGAATGGCGACGTAAATATACAGAATCGAATTAGGAAACTATTATTTATTTAGTAATTTTAGAGCCCATTCTCCCTTTTTTATACCTTGATGGTAGCAAAGTAACATACAGCCAGATGGTAAAACTTGCCATTACACTCCTAAAACATCAGGAGTGTCACGTATACATTGCTGACTCTTAACAATCCCTAATTAATGCGTTAATATACTCGTAAACTCAAAATTTTGGATAGACATACTGTTAAGAAAAATCATCATAATAGTTCGAGTGTAGTATTACGGACCTTAAAGGAATAAAGCAATTTATAAATTCATACATACTCGTATAATCGCAAATTATGTAATTTATAATACAACGAATATATGTATGAAAGGGAATATGTGTATTCCTGAAGTTATATCTTTGACCAGCAATAATCACTATTTGCTAATTATTCAATAACCTAAATTTAATATATATACGTTTAAAAAAATATATTTGTATAAATCCTGATTCTATTGTACTAATAATAAAAAAATATGTAATTTAAAATTGAGCGTACAATTAACATAGACATTTATTATAATAAATAACCATTCAAAATGAGTAAATCTTCATTTGACATTAATTAAAATAAATTATCTATTCACAAACAAATTTTAGACAAGCTATAGCGATTGCTTGTAGTTTGACATCTTATTATAACGTCACGAATTTATTTGCACATAAAACTTGTACAAAAGTAAAGTTACTGCATGTCTTATGGCATTTACTGCTCTCATGTCAGATAAAACGAACAACTGAATTAACAAATTATGATAATCGTTTAATATCTATTATCAATTAATAAAAATAATCATATAAAAGCTAGATATACATATGTCGGATAATACACATTTATCATAATTTATTTGTGTAAAAACTGTAATAGGTCCACCAAAAAACATAAATGAAAATATCATGTTAAAAATCACGAATTTTAGTTACTTAATAGTACATGCAATTCTTTGCGAATAGCGTGTCGATATTTTATTAATAAACAATTAATAAAATATTGATAATATTATTGCATAAATAGAAATATTATTATTGCATAAATAGAAATATAATCTTAGTAAAAAATATATATATATATATCATAATTTTACCCTTTTACTTTTATTAGTGATTTTAGAGTTTGGATCTTATATTGATTTATTATGATAATTCATTAACATTAGGTATTCAAATTATAAGTATATAGGTCAGATTAGATTTATTATCTAATTATATCTGTGTATTGAAAACAAAACATACACGAGTATTATTTAATCATACCCCCAGTGAATTTCTGTCATGAAAGTCCTTCTAGTTATTGCCGTGTTTATAACATGTTGGTATTTTTTAATTTAACAATTAATTTATATATGTATATTTCATATACTTTCTGATTAACATTTTAGTATTTCAAATTATATATTGAACATATTTTTTATTTTTTTAAAAGTAATTATTTATTTAAGTGTGTGCTGGCAGTGCCATACCCTTGGTTCCTGGTGATAATTAATTAGAGATTTAAAGCAATTACATAGAGGGTGAGAGCCGCTACATTTGGATGCCGGATGGAGAGGGTGTGCCGAGACTAGTAGACTTAAAAGAGCCTGTAGATGAAATTCCGCCCAATACTCGTCGTGGTGCCAATAATCAATACTGGCTTTTAACCAGGTCTGTTTACTTATACGTTATATGAATCTATTAATAGAGAATTTATTAGTAGATAACTTTTATACCAACGTAATAAATAATAAAATAACTGACGGGAAGGGATTGTTAGCAATGGTAACTAATGGCTACATTTTTAGCAATGTGCTGTATCAGTGTAACCAGCACTTGGACCCCCTGGAAGACGTTGTGGTTTACTAGTGGTGCATATGCCAAGATGTGTGATGATCTAATTGGTTTGACTCCATACTCTATCATCCTCTACTAGCTCTCCACTAGAGCAGGTGGATGTGCTATTGCATATTCATTATGAATGAATATGAAATAGCACATCCACCTGTAATATATATAATAGAATACTTTTATACTGTTACTTTTGTTGCAGCTAATTCATTTATATTCGGTTATTTCTTTCTAGGCAAAACCCTACCATTTATCAAATTTTGGAAGATGGTGATGTCAACTCTATTCTAAACTCTTATTACGACGGTAGCAGACCTTTAGTAGTTGTTGTACATGGGTGGATTGACAATGCATATACCGTACTATCTATGGGACATACTTTTCTTGCCGTATACGATGTTAACGTCATCGCAGTGGACTGGCGTACTGTCGCTAATTTAAATTATGTTACTGCCGTTAATGGCGTTCCTGAAGTAGGTCAATTTCTTGGCAACTTTGTCAACTGGCTTATTGAGACTGTTGGAGGGAATTGGAACAATGTGCACTTGATAGGAATTAGTTTGGGCGCTCATGTTGTGGGCAGTGCAGGCCTGCAGGTTGGAGGACGATCAGCTCGTGTTACTGGTTAGTATTATATCATTTAGATAAGGTTAATAGGTTTTTGGGAATGAGCATTAAAATTTATATATAATACATTTAAAGAAATGAAACAATGATTTAAAGATAATGTGCAATTTCAGTTTCGTGTCCGTTCTTCTCAACTATCTAATGAAACAAATAAAAAATGATAGGGATAGTGATAAAAATATGATGTACATAAACAAAAAGCGTCGTATATGGTTAATAAATTCTTAATAACTTGTTATATTTACCTGATTTGATTATTTTCATAGGTATAGATCCAGCAGGTCCTTTATGGAGTGGAAATCCTAACGCTCTGAACGCAAGTGCAGCACAATACGTTGAAGGAATTCATACTGATGGCGGTCGTCTTGGTATATTTGATCCAATTGGAGACGCTGATTTCTACCCCAATGGGGGCAGGCATCCACAACCTGGCTGCTTGACAATCGTATGCTCTCACGGTCGCTCATTTACACTGTTCGCATCCAGTGTTATTACTGATCACTTACAAGGAAGATCGTGCACCGGTATTGAACAAGCTGAAAATGTACAGTGCAGCGGTACCGTATTCAACATGGGCAATGGCATTTTCACTAAGAGAGGGTGAGATATATTTCATAAAAAAATTTGCGATACTTTGCTCTTACATATATACAGACCCGGTAAATGTTGTTTTGCCATATAAATGTTATTTAGGAGTGTATGTTTTTTTCATCATGAAAACAATTGTCTCAAAATAAAAGTTTTGTTAGACTGAGAAACTTAAGAGGTATAAAAAATAGATGACAACTTATTTTTAGACCTACCACACACATAATATACTCATAAAATTTCATAAAATTCGGTCAAGCTGTTTTAGAGTAGTCGGGACCTGACACTATGACATAAGAATTTTATACATTAGATATTGACAGATATTTATTTACATTATTTCCAGAGCTGGCATTTACGGATTAACTACTGAGGATTCGTGGCCTTATTAGAATACAGAATAAATTACCGATAAGTACCTAATAAATTTCTTTTAATTTTATCATTTGACATTTATATAATTACAATATATAATAATTATTACTAGTACTAAATATTAGCCGTCGCAAATTTACATGAATAGTAAAATTATATCACGTTGTCATTCCAGAAGATAAAGATTTTATGAATTAGGTCTGAGGATGAAGAAAGAAGGCCACTGGCTTAGTAATTATTGTTTTCGTGTTATACAACCTTATTTGTGCTCTATGAGTAACAAGACATACACCTAAGCTTCACAAAGGAGTACATATATCGAACTTACAAACCTTTCTTTTAAATGTCCTGAATTTATTGCTGAAAACTGCATTAAAATCTGTTACGTAGTTTAAAAGACCTAAGCGTGCAGGCAGTGGGAGCCACTTAGTTTCATATACTATATGAAGATTGTACAGGCGGGGAACAGAATTTATTTACAAATTATATTAATTATATTACAAATAAAATTAAATTAAAAAATTAAATTACATATTGTCTGTATGTGAGATTTTTGTTAACTGGTCCTTGTATTTAAATGTACATCATTTACCTGAGAAAGAAAATATGATACATGTCAATAGCAACAGTCGACAGAATATCTCTGATTATCTTATCTGTTGTTTAATTGTATTATTTAAATGTGTATTAACTTATTAAATTACATATTATTATTAATTGTATTACAGTATATGTTGTTTCTTTATGAAAATACTAATAGAACTTAGAAACTCTTAGAACAAAAACTAGTGTTCGAAAACCGTTGTGGAATTTCAAACTGTCATTTGTAAGAGTTTAAGCGATCTGTTTTAACTTAGTGGTAATTCTATAAGTAAAAATGCAATAAATATTATATTTTAGTACAGTTGCTATTTTAATCCGGCTTTTATTATTATTCTGAGATGTACCTAATCCTCCGAATTATTTCCCAGATATTTCACTTATGTTCCTATAGACTTCGTGAAGTGCTTAATTTTATGTCATTTATGTCTGGTGCATAGTCGTTAAAGTTGAATGGCGACATAAATATAAAAATCGCAGTTATTAGAAAACTATTTCATTGCACTTTCTCATTCAAACTTTTTTATACCTTGACGATGGATAACTAGTCTATAGATAGAAGGTCTAGGCATCGCATATGCATCCACAGTAATAGTAAATGATTACTGCAGTCTATGGACTCTTGAAATACCAAGGGTGTCACGTGCGCTTTGCGAACCTTAAGAAACCCTAATTATCACATTACTATACTCAATGAGCGAGTATACACTACATTTGTATACACTTTTAAAAAATATATGTAATGTTGTATATACGCAAAAACAATTGATTTTAACTTAAAATATAATATCACAATTTTTTTGGACATTAAACTTGTACCGAAACAAAATTAGCAGTATATCTTATGGCATGTTTTACATTCTAGCCTCATCATCATCATTACATAGTATAAGACAAAGTCGCTGTCGCTGTTTGTCCCTATGTTTAAATTTTAAAAACACGGATTATGCGCAACGGATTGTGAAGCGGTTTTTTTAATAGATAGAATGATTCAAGAAGAATGTTTATATGTATAATACATGTACACCCGTGCGAAGCCGAGATGGGTAGCTAGTATCAGATAAAACGAACTCCTGAATTAACAAATTATCATTTATCGTATTAATATTATTAATTAATAAAAATAATCATATACAATTTAGATATCCTATGTCTGATAAAACATATTTATCATAATTTATTTGTGTTAAAAATGAAATAGGTCTACCAATTAAATATGGATAAAAATAACATATACAACATCACGAATTTTGATTGTATTTGCAATGTACTGCAATGTTCTTCTTTGCGAATAGCGTGTTGATATTTTTATTATTTATATTATTGCCTAAATAGTGAAACAAAGAACAAAAATTTACTGATATTTAATAAAATTATAATTGTAATATCGAATTTTACGTTTAATAAATTTCTGTAATTTTTAAAAGTATTTATTAGTATAATATTTCTAGGTTGTCTGTAAAAGATTGCTATTAATGATACAATCGTTATTTCTTAAGAACAGTTGTATAAATTTTTCTTATTTTATATATTTTCTTGGATTCAGTAACAAGTTACATATTATTATTATTTCTTTATATAGTTTGTATTAGTTTCTAAATACATTGTGCATAACAATTTATGAAAATTATATCTTTTGGTTAATATTATGTAGAGCGAGTTTTTTAGAAGTCGTATTTTAGTTTTAAAATAGCTGTACTCGCGACTTCGTCCGCGTGGAATTTAACTTTGTTTTTCTAAAATAAAATATTTATTCTAAAATAAAAGTAGCCTAAGTTACTCCGTATTACATCAGCTACCTGCCAAAAAAGGTCCCGTCAAAATCGGTCCAGCCATTTCAGAGATTAGCCGAAACAAACAGAAATTATATAAAATGTTAATTTGATGTATGTACCATATTTATATTCATATGCATGTAGTAAAAAATGATTTTTTTACTATTACAAACATACACTTAAATTTTATTTATATGTTGATGTTTATTTTACGTTTAAAGTATTTGGATGTGATATTAATTTGTTATTATGTTAATTTATTACCATTAAACATATACCTATATTCAAATTTTAGGTATATAGGTCAGATTAGATTTATTATCTAATTATATCGATGTATTAAAAGCAAAACATACACGAGTATTATTTATCATACCCCCAGTGAATTTCAGTCATGAAAGTCCTCCTAATTCTCTCTGTGTTTATAACGCGTTGGTATTTCTTAGTTTAACAATAACTTTATATTTATATTTTCTGAATAACATTTTAGTATTTTAAATTATATATTACCCATATTTTTTACTTCTAAAAGTAATTATTTATTTAAGTGTGTGCTGGAAGTGCCATACCCTTGGTTCCTGGCGACAACAGCAACTACATAGAGGGTGAGAGCCGCTACATTTGGATGCCGGATGGAGAGGGTGTGCCGAGACTAGTAGACTTAAAAGAGCCTGTAGATGAAATTCCGCCCAATACTCGTCGTGGTGCCAATAATCAATACTGGCTTTTAACCAGGTCTGTTTACTGATATGTTATACGAATATTTTATTAGTAGATAAGTATTTATACCAATAAAACAATAAATGAGGGGAAGCGATTCTTAGTAATGGTAACTAATGGTTACATTTTTAGCAATGTACTATATCAGGGTAACCATCACTTGGACCCGCTGGAAGACGTTGTAGTTTACTAGTGGTGAATATACCAAGATGCGCGATGATCTAATTGAACTGACTTCATGCTCTCTGACATCATCTTTAACTGGCGCCCCACTAGAGTAGGCATTCCGTTAGAGCAGCTGGATGTACATCCATACAATATAAATAATAGAATACCTCTATATTACAGTTAATTAATTCATATTCGGTTATTTCTTTCTAGGCAAAACCCTGCCATTTATCAAATTTTGGAACATGGTGATGTCAACTCTATTATAAACTCTAATTACGATGGTAGCAGACCTTTAGTAGTTGTTGTCCATGGGTGGAATAACAATGCATATGCCGTACTATCTATGGGATATATTTTTCTTGCCGTATATGATGTTAATGTCATCGTAGTGGACTGGCGTACTGTAGCTATTTCAAATTATGTTACTGCCGTCAATGGCGTTCCTGAAGTAGGCCAATTTCTTGGTAACTTTGTCAACTGGCTTATTGAGACTGTTGGAGGGAATTGGAACAATGTGCACTTTACTTGTACTTTTATAGGAATTAGTTTGGGCGCTCATGTTGTGGGCAGTGCAGGCCTGCAGGTTGGTGGACGATCAGCTCGAGTTACTGGTTAGTATTGTATCTTTTTTATTAATCTAAGCTCTTGCCAATATTCATGATCTGCCATCAATCTCTTTACTTGTTGAAACAACATGACTCTAATTGTCTCCTTAATAGATTAGTTAGATAAGGTTAATAGGATATTTATGGGCATTCCCATAAAAAAAAATTAAATTTTACGGGATGAATGGTAGAGAAAAACATATTACGACGACCCCAAATGAATGGGATAAGGAAGAAGCAAAAGCAGATGGGCATTAAAATTTAGATGTGTAAACATAAACAGAAAGATCTATAAAATTATATATGTTAAACACACACATTTTATAAGCGAACTGGACGGTAGGGATAGTGATAAAAATATGATGTACTTAAACAAAAATCGTCTTATATAGTTAATACATTTCTAATAACTTTTTGTATTTTTATATTTTCCTGATTTGATTTGAATTATTTTCATAGGTATAGATCCAGCCGGTCCTTTATGGAGTAGAAATCCTAACGCTCTGAACGCAAGTGCAGCACAATACGTTGAAGGAATTCATACTGATGGCGGTCGTCTTGGTATATTTGATCCGATTGGAGACGCTGATTTCTACCCCAATGGGGGCAGGCATCCGCAACCTGGCTGCTTGACAACCGTATGCTCTCACGGTCGCTCATTTACACTGTTCGCATCCAGTGTTATTACTGATCACTTACAAGGTAGATTATGCACCGATGTTGAACAAGCTGAAAATGTACAGTGCAGCGGTACCGTATTCAACATGGGCAATGGCGTTTTCACTAAGAGAGGGTGAGATATATTTCATAGTAATTTTTGCGACTCTATGCACTTATATATATACAGACCCGGCAAATGTTGTTTTACCATATACATTTTATTTAGGAGTGAATGTTTTTTTTCATCATGAAAACGATTGTCTCAAATTAAAAGTTTTGTTTGGAAATAGAACATTTGGAGTGAGCCACACTTATTACTTAGAAGTATAAAAAATAGATGACAACCTATTCTTAGACCTACTACACACATAATATACACATGAAATTTCATCAAAATCGGTCAAGTTGTTTTAGATTAGTCGGGACCTGACACTATGACATAAGAATTTTATACATTAGATATTGATAGATATTTATATACATTATTTTCAGAGCTGGCATTTACGGATTAACTACGGAAGATTCGTGGCCTTATTAGAATACAGAATAAATTACCGATAAGTACCTAATAAATTTCTTTTAATTTTATCATCTTGATATTTCATACGTAACAATTATAATATATGTATAATAATTAGTAGTTTCTACAATAATATTTACTTTTTATATAATTGAAATGGAAAACCTAGTAACTAAATGTTAACCGTCCCATATTTTCATGAATATGTAGTAATATAATATTACGATGTCATGTACATAACGTCAGTAGTACCACCACCACTAAAGCGTTGTGACTACCGAAGATTAAGATGTTATGAACTGGTCTGAGGACGAAGACGGAAGGCCACTGGCTTAGTAATTATTGTTTTCGTGTTATATAACCTTATTCAATTTGTGCTCTATGAGTAACAAGACATACACCTCAGCTTCGCAAGGGAGTACATATATCGAACTTACAAACCTTTCTTTTAAATGTCCTGAATTTATTGCTGAAAACTGCATTAAAATCTGTTACGTAGTTTAAAAGACCTAAGCGTGCAGGCAGTGGGAGCCACTTAGTTTCATATACTATATGAAGATTGTACAGGCGGGGAACAGAATTTATTTACAAATTATATTAATTATATTACAAATAAAATTAAATTAAAAAATTAAATTACATATTGTCTGTATGTGAGATTTTTGTTAACTGGTCCTTGTATTCAAATGTACATCATTTACCTGAAAAAGAAAATATGATATAAGTCAATAGCAACAGTTGACAGAATATCTCTGATTTTATCTTATCTGTTGTTTAGGTTGGAATATTCATTGACATTCAAATCAATGTATTTTATAAACAATACAACTTAGGAAAAATAAAATAGTGATTTGAGTACAACAATCATTACCTATAGATGTTGTAAATGGTATAGGAAACTTGTTATGCCGCTTGACACTTGCCACAAACCACTGCTTGAAACCACTATAAATGTTAAAAACTTCAATCCGTTACAAACATGTGAATGTGGTGCAAGCGCTTGCCGCAGAAACATTTGATTTGTGATGAACAACTGACACTCATCGGAACGGTTAAATTGTTTGGAAACCTACATAAACAAAGCTAAATACTTTATCTTTATCTTAGCTTGTCGTGTAATCTAAGTTTTGCCATGCGCGTGGACGTCATATATCTTAATTTTAGAATCTGGAGATATTATACAGAAATTACCCTTTGTTTTTTCATGAGCCATAATCTCACAACAGGCGCATATAATCTGTGATCATATTGTTCTTGATGAGTATGTTTAAGTAAAAATGTTAACATACAAGCAATGATCACTGTTATTAAGCATCCGAAAGTAGTGAACCAGAAGTACGAGATGCGGTATAAGTAAGGCACTTCACTGAAATATTGAAAAGAAACAAATTAATAATTTCATTGTAAATATTTACCGAAACATATTAATATGTATATATAATTTTTGGTACGTCTCACAAAATATCCTAAATATCCTGCTTTAAAAACCATGCACCAGAGGTAGATTTCGATAAAATAGTTTGCATGGATACCTATGTCACGCCCATTACAATCAACTGCGAAGTAGCTTCGTATGCTTACGTTTTGAAGTAAGATATGTCAATGAAATTACATGGAGGCATCAAATCTTAGTCCTTTGGAATGGCAACGCCTGAGGGGTACCACTGTTGTTACAAGATGATGTGATCATCCATGGCATGTCAAGTCTTGTTATATCTTCATGTCTAAAGGAAGAGCGCGGGCGTTTTTCGACTGTTGCCGATTATCACCAGGTGTACTGCCAGCTTGTATGTCATTCCAGTTAGATAAAAAATCATAACAAACAAATTCATAACAACATTGTTACATTGTCAGAAGTACATACCTCGCAGTATAATCAGCTGTGTACGCTGCTGACTCAAATGCATAAGTACAGTTATGTGTAAATCTTGGTTTCTCGTTAAATTTGAGTAACCCTCGTGCTTGTGCTAGTTGCGACTGAGCCGCCAGCCACCACGCTGAAATAATACCGACTATCCCTCCACTCAGGGCAGCCTGCAATGAAAAAATACTAGCTGAATATCTCCACTTGGACTGTGTCTCATTTTCCCACAATGATTTCCTGGGGAAACCGCATGGAGATCAAACTGACATGCTGTATTGCTAGTAAGGGGTAATAGTAGTACATATTATGTTATCTGTGGTAGTACTAAACTCTTCCACTGATGTAAACATATTTATTGTTTTCTGAGATATGCTTGGTATTTGTGACCACATTGTAAAACGACTTCCAACTAGGCTTGTGTCACTAGAACGATAATTTAAATTGAAATAATATTAAAAAATTGACTTGTATAAGTGACTAACATGTACTAACATGTTAGTCACTTATACAAGTAAAATTTTTTTCTACCATCAAGTTTTAAATCGCTTAATGATTACCTAATGTTGATAGCTCAAACAACATTTTTGTTTGTGATAATTTACGAAGAAGGTGTACATTGAGGTATAAGCAATGAATAACTGAAAGGAGAATGATGACACTTACTGTAGAACCAATAATGGGCAAAAATATGCCCATAAGAAATATGCCAGTAAGTGGTCCCATCGACGCTGAAGATAAGCTCATTGTTAATTGTAGTACTGCACCCAATCTTTCCACAACGAATACTAGGCCTAATTAAAACAGAACTGTGATTAGAGAGAAAACATAATTATTACATGAATCCAATAATACTGGATAGAAGACTCGAACATTCTAACAGTTCGATATGCCATGTATGATATATTGATTGTTTTTGCAATGTATCTTACATTGCAAAAATATTAAAACGGTAGACGGCTTTTACGCTAGACTTCGACTATATCAAATTAAGCGTGATATTTTTGTCACATGATAATATTTCTATTATGGAATAATATTGTCAGATTATTAGGATACGAATTGAATCTTTTATGAGATGTTTAAATTCTAATTCTATTACATGATAGTTTGTTAAAAAAAACGATATTTAAAAAAATATAAACAATTCTTATTTTCTAACTTTCAAAAAATGTACAGTAGATGTAACTGAGTAAAGAATAGAAAACATGAGTTAGATGGAACGAGTATGAAACATAAGGTATTTAGAAGTGTAATTAAAAAAGGAGTCCTGATAAGTATTGAGAAATGATTGACATTGAAAGGATTGAGAATGGGATAAAATGTTGAAAACCTTACAACATAACGATTTATTAAAATGTAAAAGTTTCCTTACCAAGACATACACCGCCTAATATTACTACAACTGATCTAATAAGTAATTGGGTTTCTCGATGTGTCAGCTTTCTAAAGAATGGCTTCCAAAAGTCCTCAAGCACTACAGCAGCCATAGAGTTCAGACCAGTTGATAAGGAACTAAAAATATGCAATAAATTTTAAATTATACTCTTATTTTACTAAATAAGTGACTAGAAATATGTATATTTATATTAAAAGACGCTATTCCTTCTCCTTTATAAATAAGTTGCAAGAAATAATGAAATGAAACAATTATTTTCTTTATTATTTTGTGGTTTTATTATGTTAAATTTAAGATTTACTACATTTTTCTTTTATCAATGGCATTTTCTTTTAATTAATTTACCTTAGAGCGGCGCTAAAAACTCCTGCTACAAATAATCCCGGCATCCCTTTCCATTCAGTCAGCACATCCATTACCAGTAACGGTAAAATTTGATCTTTTGCCAACGCTAATTTGGAATTCAATGGGTCACAGTCGTAATATCTAGCAAAAGCCACAAGACCACTGTATGCGCATATGAAAACTATAAATATCACTCCACAAAGGAATCCCCAAACAGCTCTGAAAAATTTAATTTATAATTAGACACATTGTAATAATAATTGTATAAAATAATTGAAATATTAAAGTTTTGAAAATTATGCCGGTTGTTAATTTTATTCAAAAATGTTTCGTGCTTTTTTTAACAAATACAATTCTTTACTTAAAATAAAAATAGTTACTGCAATATATATTTACTACCAATCAGTTTTAGAAAGGATTCTAAATTTAATTTTTTTATGTATATATTCTACAATGATACTAAAATAGATTAGATTAGACTATTTAAAAAATTGTAATTGTTACCTTTTAGAAGACTTCAAATCTGGTAATGACAGAAATCTTTGCATCATTGATTGATTTACAGCGATGTTTCCAATCCAGTAAAATGTAGATCCAATAGATAACGACCATAATGAATGTCTTTCTGTCAAGTCTAAGCTTATACTATCGGAAAGAGACACATATCAATATAAACATGGAATATTTTGCTAATTAAAAAAATTGGACGTTAAATAATCTTATCGATTTTTTAACCGTATTTAAGACGTTCTACGACATAAAAAATTTTCTTTTTCAAGCTATATCTACAAAAAGAAACATAAATCTATAAAATTATTTGAATTACTGGTAAAATGTTTTATTTCTTTATACTGCTTACACGTACGTAGTTAGGCCAGAGTATTAAAAATTATTAGGAATATATAATTGTCTCTATTATCACTGTAAAAATTCTGTTACCTTTACATATTGTTGTAATAAATGTAAATTCAAAATGTTTTAAGAATTAAGGTAAAATAAATTCTCGAATGTAATTTAAGCCTTTTTTATAAACACTTATCTCTACTTATCACTTACGATGGTAATTCTATACGGCCAGTATCCCAATTCCTTTTAAAAACTTCGTCAAAGCCACCAACAATAATGGAACCTTGAATAATTACTAGAATCATTGCGCTAACCATCACAAATGTTTGTATTACATCTGTCCATACAACTGCTTTTAGTCCACCCTAGTAAACAAAATATAGACAGGCAACAAAAATAAGTTATGTTTTCTAAGTGATCTGTAAATATTATATATTTATTATTGCACAGATAATACAAAGATATTATAATTTAGAGACAATGTGAGCAAAAGTGGACTTATCCCTAGAAGAGATATCTTCCAGTCAACCTAAAACAGTGAGATATGTGGTACTGAGTGGGTAATAACTGGTGCAAACAAAAAAATGTCAAAAGCTAGATAATCAATAAAATTCAAATAATAATAATAACAATAATAAATAATCTCAGGACAATTCACACAACATCTAGACCTAAGTTAAAAAAATGTCAGAAAGATACAAATACTAGATAATCTTAATATAATAGAAAACACCCAGACCGACACAAACAATCAAATAACAAATTGTATAATCTAAAACAAAAGTAAAATACATAAATACGAATATACATAAACATAAATATTATCTACTGTAATAATGTTACAATTGTATAGTGTTGGTTAATTTTTGAGTATAATATTGATCAGCTTTTATATTTTGATTCCCAATAAGAATATGAAACCATGGTTACTAATTTTATTATGTAGATAAGTTTACAAACCCTTATGAATGACAACATATAAGGGGTATTACAGATGTTATATGATGACGTTATAGTATTAATGCAATATAGACAATGGCTGTGACTTTACTTCAGGTGGGCCCTGAGCTTGTTTGTCTTTATACAAAATTATATCTACACTAAATTAGTATAAACGAAATGATTTTATAAAGAGTAACTACTTACCAAACAAGTGTAAAATATACAAACGAAGCATACAATAGGAGTTACAATATGAATGTTAACTCCTGTGACTGTAACAAGAAATACAACTTTAGTAGATATTCTTCTTTTATATTTTAATTATTATTACTACTAAATTAGTCAAATATAATTGACTAATTTACGTACATTAAGATAAAATCCGCTATGTTATTTTATAATATTTGAGTAGATTACATTACCTTGATTGAAAGCCAGTGCTGGAACATAAATTACGATTGGAAGCCAAACCATCTGTAATAGAATATTGAGTAACAAAAATTATATTATATTATCTACTGATAGAAATAGTGCTTATAATTTTAGTAACCAACATCAAATATCGTTTATTAATTTTATTCATTTAGGACATTTTAGTCACTTATGTGGGTTCATTTTTTTGTAGAAGCAATTTTTCCCTACCGTCCAGTTCACTCTACTTAATATTGTATATAAGTAGTACTTGTTATATCTTCGTTCAACTTATACTTAATAGGAATATCTTAATACTATCTCTAGTATTTCGCTCATTTTTTATACTTCCTAATTTATTTAATAGGTTTTGGGATTTTGTAAGATTGTTTTAAACTAAAGCTCCGATGAAATTAATATTGTTTTTAATCGAGTAGAGACTTACCAGATATAAACTGAATATAACTGATCCAAATATCCTCAATCTTTTATCGTATCGAAGCTCCAAATACTAAAAATTTCATTTAGCTTTAAAAAATTAAACATTTCATATTTGATTTGAATCAATTTTTATTAATTTTTTAAATACACAAGTTGCTTTACTAACCTCGTAAGCAGAAGTAATTTGCAAATCATGCAGCACAGGCAGGAATGTATAAGAGATTATGAGGCACATTAAGAAAGCACCCAATAAAAAGAACAAATATGATGTCCCATATATATACATTTCTGTTGGAGTGCCCAGAAGCGATATGCCTGAAATAAAACTGGTTGGAACAAATATTTGTACCTTAATTACTTTTATATCTACTTAAATATAAGTTACAGTAGCGACTAAGTCTACTTTATTTTTGACATAAAAAATAGCCCTATCTCTTTTCTTGTGATACAATCTATCATTACATCAAATTTTATGAAGATCCGTTTGTCGTTTTTTGGGATTTTTTTTTCTGATTCCGATAAACAGATATCTGAATTTAGAATATTAGTATCTATAAATATCATATTTTTATAGAAATTTGTTTCCTTGAAGCATATTAAAGTTTATCAATTGCTATTAACGACTCTACGAACTCTCGACTGTACTGAACTACTATCCTTAAGACATTAATATCTGTTAATTTCTGAATCAATACACGTAGAGTTCTTAAATACCTACATTACATTACTTATGTGCAATAAATTATATATTTATTAGTTTTTCATTATATTTACCTTGCAACTAGAGAAAAACAAACTGGAACTAATTTCATATTTCTTCCACCCATTAAATAATCTTGAGTAGATTTTTGTTTCTTCACAAAACCGAAATAAACTCCTATACCTCCACAAATTGTTAACATTATAATAAATACTGTATAGTCTAGCCATGAAAAATGTTGGTAGGACACTCTAACATCCGAAACGTCTATTTTTTCCATAGCGACTGTTACTCTGTCTGTTTCTAAGATACTAATGCCATAGTGACACCTTTAGTAGGTATGATTTTACGTAATGTCTTGGTAGAGCAATTTTTCAATTTATCATCTCCGATTTTCCTACGCAAGAAGCATATGGTTATTTTAGTCTAAATTGTTAATATCCGTTGGTTCTTTAAAATAGTACTTGCTTTATTGTATAATGTTGACAACATATAATTCTGTATGCTATTTTAAGATCCATAGGCAATACAGAATACTTTTGAAGGTGTTGCTCGGGAATGAAGTCGAATAAAATATCCAATATTAATTAATCTAGGATATAATTTAGTAAAGCACCAAATTTCATTCGAGTTTATGTAATAGATTTGGTGTTAAAACGAATACATTATATGTATGTATGTCTATTAAATCCTCTATACAGTGAGTTCATGTTTAAGTTCATAATGTCAGTAGGATTAGCATGATCTGTAGGTGACTACGTCACATATTTTTAGGCAAGTTATCAACTTGTATGACATATCCAGAATAATAAAAATCATGATACAATTAAACAACTTTTAATTAAATTACAGTCTAGTAGTATCTTGAAGTAACTTAAAGCAATAAATAGAATAAATCAATATAAAAGCGCACCAGTCCATTCTCACGTTGCAAATTAAAGTATAACTAGGAAAATGCTGTATTTGTACTTAAATAGGAATATAAATAAGGCAGTTTTATCACAAATGATTGGGATGTTTTAGGTTCTTTGAAGCTCTTCTCTGTGTGGGCTCTGATGGGCTAACTTCTTCAGGTTTTAATGTAGTTGCACCCGGTTGTATGGGTTTCGTTGAGTTCAACTTGCCGGGGAGGTCTAAAAGACTACTCAAGAATGCTACTCCTTGTTCAGCTGTTTGATATACTCCTAATAAGAAAGTTTCTGCGTCGAACTGGTTAGGGTCCTCACTATTATCTTCTTGCTCTGTCGTACTGAAAATGAATTGTAAGTTCAGTGTAGACCTATATCATTTTATATAAATGATATTATGAAATTGTTTGGTTGTTTAGCTAGTTTCCACTTAAATAATTTTATTAGTATTATAAAGGCGAAAGTTTTTGAGTATGGATTTGAGTTTGTTACTTTTTCACACAAAAACTACTGAACGACTTTTGATGATTTTTTACAGTAATATAGCTCATGCATAAAAATAACACATAGGCTATATTTTTTATTGAAAATTAACACGGGTGAATCCGCGGGCACTGCGAGTAATACATAAAGTAGTAGATAATTTTAATTTAACAGATTAAAGGATGTGGAAGATAAGACTTTAGTCTTCATAAATAGCTGATGAAATTACGGATACCATAGTGTTGTAATGTCTATGATCTTCATAGCGGTGTTCATACTCGTAATCGGAGGCTTGTGATTATTACTTCAATCAGATTTATTGTTAGAAAATTTGATTATTTTTTGGAAATAACAAGTTAACGTTGATAAGACGTTACTAAGGATGTTGTGATACTCAGAGTGATATTCTCGGAATGCATGGATAGATAGTAGTTTTTTTCATTGTTATTTATTATTATGTTGTAATTATCTTTTTTGTCTAACAAAGTTAACGACCTCGTTTGTTCTAGGAACTATGGTGTTGTAAATTTTTATTCAGTTAACTATACTTACGATTCCTGTTCAGCGGGAGGATCTTCCATCTCCATACCACCAGCAGTGGACTTGAAGCAGCCGATTGGAAACTCTAGCTGTGAATCTCCAAGTAATTTCGGCTCTAAATCTATACATCCACGGAGACCGTCAGATGTGGGTGCTAGATCGCTGAATTTTGCACAGAGTTGGGCGAATTTGCCAAAAACTTCCAGACATATAGGTGCTGGGTTTGCGCCTGAAATACAACATTTTTAATGATGTTTACACTTATTTAGTAATATATAACCAATGCATGGCTTTTGAAGGACTTGTTATGTGGTGTACAATAGGTACAATAATAATAATATTAAAGTAATACAAGCGGCATGCGACCATGGTTAACAATTTTAGTTGTTTCTCAATATAGAAAATACTATTTGGTTTAAGATTTAGGTATGAAATCAAATTTAGGTAACAAAACAAAACACTTAAAATGTAATGCTGCATAAAACTTATTGAAAGAGGATTACACAAATAGAAAACACATAGAAAAATGAGTAAGCATTTTACTTGTGATGGTCTGCTTTCCGAATGATTGGTAGAATAAAAAAATACGACTATTTTTATATTTTAGTATAAAAGTTATCTTAAGTTTATGTTGTTTATACGCTATTGGATAAGCTTGGATGAAAATCTATATATAGGTACATAGTATACTAGATCATAGAAGACATACACATTTTACATATAGAGATAGGAGATTTTTTAACTAATTACTACTGTTCTAATAAAATAAAAAATAGGCGGTTTTAAAATAGGTATCCGAAAACTTGTGTAGGTAGTTGTACTTAGAAGTTTATGCAATTTAGGCAATCGGCAGGTTAAATAGGTTTTTAGTTCATTACCTTGTATTTTCGAGCTGTGTAGTAGATTTTTTCCATACGATACTTTTACTGAAAATCCTTCATCTGGAGAAACATATTTCATGTGAACGCAACCTGAAAAATAATAAATAAATCCTTGATATATTTGCGAAATTAAATATATTATTTATAGTTTCTAGTAGTACAAGTAATAATATACGCACAACCATATTTATAATTATAATTATTACCTAGGTATATGAAATGGTTCGTTTTGTCATCGCTTATGCATGTTACTGTATTAAAGGATATTGAAGAATAATGCCTATCATTGGAATTAGTAACTCATCAGATGTTGTACAAGAGGTATACGATAACTGCTAACAATTTCAGTAACGAATATTTTCTTGTTTCATACTTGAGCATGAGTTTAAGTTTTAGAATTAGCAATATTTTAATTTGAACTTTTTTATATTAAATAATTTAATTTTTTCGTCGTATATCTGTATTGTTTATTGTTATCGTTTCATTATTAATTGTAGATGGCAGTGACGAATATAGTCTAAAGCGTATGTTATTTAGGTAGGTGCTCTAGGTAGGTTCAATGAGTCTGTCTTCATAATATGTTTTACTAGTGCGATATAAACTAGTTACTGCTCTGTATTTTTATAAACTTATTTACCTGGTCCACCGAGGTCGACAATAGTAATATTGAAATTAACACAGCATATACAAGCTGGCCCCTTGCACATGCAGTTGCGGTTGGGCTGATCATTTCGTAGCTCTGGTACTTCAATTAGTTTCTTGCCATCTTCCCAGTCTAGATAATCTGTGGAAAATTTATTTTTATTTAATTTAAAGGTTGCGATAAATATAAAACCAACTGAAATTATATGTCTGGCATATTTTAATTTTGTAGATATATAATCAAATACTACAACATTAAACATAGACGATGTAGTTATAGATCAATTTATAATTTGTATAAGGATCAAAACAGTCAAACCTAAGTTGATATATCAAAAATAAGTTAATATTACGTATATTGATATTTTTATTAACACTCTGAAGTTTTTATTAAATATTATTTATCCCCGAATTGGCATTTAATGACAGTCAGACACCATCACGCTTATTTGACTGTTATTAAATTTCATTACAACCCCATAATTATGTACATAATTAAATAAAAGGACTATAAAATAAAAAAAAATTAAACGCTTCTACAAATAAAATAAAAACATCAGTTTCTTTACAATTAGGTATCTAGTAATATTTCAAAATATGACAAAAAGGTACAGAAAGTTTCAAAGTTATGCAATAATTTTGTAAAAAGAACTCATTAAGTATACTTTGCGCATTCGAAAATTTTAACGCTTTTTCTAAACACGCAACACAGTAGTTGAATAAAGCGTTGCGAATGTTTTTGTGGTGCACTTAACCATGTACATAATGTCATTCATTGTTTTTTCACGTCCAAATATCATACACTTTCGCGTGGTGTATATAAGTTTCTACTTTCACTGCGTTGCGTGCGTCTCTCTTTAGGTAAGTCAATGACCGCCAGATAACAATGGCATATTTTTGTCAGTTAGATAGTATGATGTAAGATGTACATTACTGACAATTCGTACAGTAATAGTATGATAACCTTTATATAATTTTTGCTATGCTATGTAATCTTGGATAAGTTTATAATTTTATTGACGTATTCTTTAATGTTTGTTTTATTTTGAACTCTATTGACGTGAAATACTTAATGAAATTGATATTATTGACAATTTGTTTAGAAATGAATTGAAAAAAAGTTTAATCACGTATCAAATTCACAAATTATGATATGTTATTATAATATTTTTTCTAATACCGCAATAACAATTGATATATTACATTATTTAAAAAGTATATATAAATAATGTAGCAGTTAAAGTTAACTATGGAGCAATAGCAATTAAATACAAATTAATGACTAATGCAACAATAAAGAAAAGGTAATAAATATATGCAATGATAAAAATGGCTTTAACAATATTTAATTGTGTCTGTGTGTATTACAAATAAAGTATATAAATAAGTAAATTGGTTTAAAGATTTCCACAGTACATTTAATAACTATACAGTATTTAAAGTTGCTTGTTTTTATTACTAATATATATATGATATTAACTGATTCAGCACTCCAGTTGTTTTTAATTATAATAGTATTTAAATCTAGAAGAAATGTTTAATTATTTATTTTAATTCAATTGACATATAAAATAATTAAATTATACAGTATTCTAAATAAAATTGTAGGAAACAATCTAGGTATATAATTTAAATTAAACAAATATAAGCTACTTATTAAAAGAGCTTTAATCACTTGTATTTGTGCCACTATTGTGTCATTATCATATTCAATAACTATTCAACTGTCGTATTTACATCAAGCACTTTCTAATCAATTATGATGGTAATTTGTAAGCAGTACTCACCCAAAATGCTCGTGCCGTGGGCAACCACGAACACCATTAGAAGAATTGAAACTATCGGTTTCATTGTCCACTTATGGATTACACAAACAAATATGAATTTTAAATGTAAACCGGCGATTTATAAGGACTTCCCCAGTGCAGGTAAGGCGGGTAAACCTGAGAGGCGACCGTCTCAAGCGCCAAGTCAACACTGCTCCTTTCTTCGAATCTCAGTCCGTTTCACCTCGCTCACAATAGAAGGTGAAATTTAAATAAAACATAACGCAGTAATAATGACATGCATCAGTGAGATGCATCGAGAAAGCGTCTATATACAACCACGGATCAGGCCGTTGTTGGTTGCCAAATTACTTTCCATGTGTCGATCGATTCGAACAACAATATAATTTAATTGCTGATCATTCAAGGGTTTATTTTTATTTTTTCTGTATTTCAAATAGAAAATTTACCTACAAATATTGTTCAAATTATGATGACATATCTTATCGTAATTATGCTAAGAATGCATTTGATTATAACCACGCAATATACGTAATATAGATGTTTCTTTTATTGAATTTGTCAACTGGATTAAGACCACAGATATTAAAGTATGTGAAATTATTTTCTAGAACTTTATTTCCTTTTTATATGGTTAGTGATATAATAAGATAACATTTAGTTTATTTAATTGCATATTCATTTAATGAATCTTGAAGTTAAGAAAAGATAAATATTAAATAACAAAACATTTTGTTACGACAAGCATAAAGATTAATAACCTATATCTATACGATTAATTGTAATAAATTACTTTGAATTAAAGAAACACATTATATTTCAATGAATCTTAGCAAAGAAGAGATTTTTTATACCCATATACATTTAAAATAGGAGAGAAGCATAGATCCAATGGAGATAGTTGGTTAACTAGTACCATGATCCGATAAAGGTCAAGTCAATGACTCTTAAATGGAAGTTATAGCTGGTAACTAGTAGAACAGGGCGAGTTATTATTAGGGCTGCTATGTTTAATAAAATAGGACTGTATTTTATTAATTCGTTACAATTTAGGTTGACTTAAATAAAACAATTTGATTTTATAACTAAAATATAAACTAAAAATTCATTCTTTCGTATATCGGGACAAGTTTTCAGACTATTGTGAGATCCAATTCAATTAAATTATTTCTTTAATTCAGGGTTTATTTATTATTATTATAAAACATAGATATCGTATTTAAGTGATATTTTATTTATTGCCTTATTTCCCACAATAAACCATCAGAAATCTGTCACTCATTATGTATTTTCGATACCTCTGCATTCAATTATATTTAATAAATAATATATGCATAATTCAAAATATTCTTTATTGTAAGAGACAACCCTAATAGCGGTTGTATAGGTAATAGGGTCTTGGGTAAATTTATAGACATCTATAGAAACTCTTCAAGACATTGTGCATCTACACTCGTAGAAACATTCAAGCTTAATTTTAGTTTCGTAATGTAACATAAATAAAATATCTATCTACTATATACATCTATGTAAATTGTAGTTTAGATTTCTTTTGGTGGATTTATTAAATAGGTGTTTTATGATTAGAACAATGCTTTATATTTTTGCTAGCAATTGGATACGAGATAGAATTGTATTTTCTTTAGAATTTATCTAATCAGCTGGCTGATTATTATATTTTATATTGATTATTTCATTTATAGATTACTATTATTTATAGATTAGACTATTTTCATTCATCTATATATTATTGAATTAAAGATATATTTTAATAATGTAATATAACTAGCTTTTGCCCGCGGCTTTGCTCGCGTTAATTTATCCCTTAGGGGTGGAATTTATCAAAATCCATTCTTAGAGGATGCCTACGTCATAGTAGCTTTATGCATGCAAAGTCTTAGCCCGATCGGTTTAAAATTGACAAAGTTTCATACAAACTTTCATCCCCTATTTATCACCCCCAAGGGGATAAATAGGGGATGAAAGAGGTAATCAAAATACTTTCTTAGTGGATACCTACGTCATAACAGCTACCTGCATGACAAATTTCAACCCGATCCGTATAGTGGTTTGGGCTGTGCGTTGACAGATCACTATGTCAGTCAGTACCTTTGAGTTATATATATTCAGATAATCTTAGGACAACTCACACAGTACCCTCTAGATACAAGTTACGCTAGCTAAAGCTTGTGTTATGGGCACTAGATAACTACATACCAATTTTTTTCTTAAATACATATTATACATAGTAAACACCCAGACCGATACAAACAGTCATACTCATGAATATAAATGTCTGTGCCGTGCGAGAACTCGAACCCGCGACCATCGGACGTAAAATGGTGTGTTAAACCCCTAGACCATCGAGGTCGTCGTAATAATGGTCTACTATTGATAATTATTTATCAATAGTTTCCTGTATTCAAATGTGCGAGTATGACAACACTGTGCAATATGCACCTACTTGCCTACTTCAAGGTTAATGTACTATAGAAAATTGAGATCGTATCACCCTGTTTCCCACAAGTCTTGTACTAGGTTCCACATAATACATACATGTACATACATGCGGAAAGCAGTACAAAAACTTTTGGACAAATTCTAGCATTAGTTTTATTCATAGCATTTTACTTTTCTAATATACATACATAATAATATAGCTAAATAATTTAATTTTTAAGTTTAAAATCGAAGTGATTAAATTATTTAAGTATTTTTTATATGTTAGTTAATAATATTTTTTTAAATAGTCGTGATAAAAATGAGACATCTATATAAATTAAAAATAATATATCAGTAGATAAATCAATTTTGTATAACATATCCTATATAATGTTCTTAAAAAACCAAAAGAAATCAAATCAGCGATGCCTGAGTAGCCAATTATTACCAATATTTAAGGGTTTTAAAACGTCAAAGAGAAAGTCAAACGACCGGTTGTAATCTTTTTACGAGGTGAATGTACATACATGTGTAAAGGAAATAATTCCAATTTAACATTAAGATATTAAAAATAAAAGAGCCAGTGAAACACGCAGAATTATTGACGAAATGGTCATTCAAGTATATAATACGTAATAACGTTCACTAGTTAGATCGCTGACAATGTCTCTTACAACCCCAAATTAGATTAATGTCGTAAACATGTATTAATAATAATATTATCAGATATAAAATTTTAATCACAAATATTATGCATGTATTATATTGTAACTATTTAATGTGGGTACATCAGTATAATAACGTTCGATACATTTCAAAATACATGCAAATTTTCAACAACGCAATATCCTATTACGACTTATGTCTAACGTAACTTATACAACCTATCCAATGTTAACAATCTCTGTATTCATTAGCGTATATTTATCAACAGGTGAATCAGTGGTTGGGCTAACAAATAAAACATATACAGCTTGATCCTGACTACTTTCTCTGGGTAGAAAGTGACCGCGCATACGTAGTTTCGAGACGTTTGGGCGCTCCGCTATTGGTGGCCTTATTATACTAATCTTACACAGAATTGGTTCGTAATAATAATTTATTTAATATCTGACATATAATCTTGAATAGGAGACAAATACCCGCAATACCAGGGGAACTGCAGGCTTGGCCAGTAGCTTGATTTTTGCAAGTTAACATTAAGAAAAGTTGATATTTTTTTATAATGCTTTTATTTAGACATCTGATATTAATTTTAGTATACCAAAGGCAGACTTTATACAAAGTATGAAAACTTTTGTTTGGTCTATGTAATTATTTCAGGCTCAAAGCGGTTGCTTTGAAGGGTACAGTAACATATGGCGTTGAAATAACAGACGGGGTACGGAAGCATTCCACTTTAGCCCTCCGGGACGGTACTCATGACAGTTATATATATACATATACCGGCGACGGTTGCCGTTTCACAACAGGTCATCAACTTAGTGCCTCTTCAAGTTATAAAAAAAAATTCCTCTGACTGAATCTATATGGAACTTAGTACTTAAAATGTCTAGGCTAATATTAAATCTATGAATACAATATATTCCTCAAAATTATAAATAATTTTAAAAGATACTAAAATACTGATTTGATCCGACGCTGTTACTTATTGTACTAAATAAATATAGCCGTAATATAGTGAAAACAGCCGTTACACGACAATACTAGTATATCCGAGAGCAACGGACTGTTTATGGTTGTTTCTAGAATTTACCAGGAAAAAGAAACGTATCCGTGTAAGTGTCGATTACGACGTTAAAAGTCCAATAACATAAAATAAGAAAACTTAAAAATAAATTTGAGTACAAGTTCAGTAAATTAAAATAAATATTATAAGTATATTACTATATCCATATGATCTTTCATATGGATATAGATATTGGAGATTGTAAATTTGCTCTTATTTAATATGTATTAATTTATAATATTTATTTGCCTATGCATATATGTAAGTCATTGACAACATACATACTTTGCTTCGATATTTCTAATGAATTCTAATAACATACTTATGTTGTATATATATTACGCAAATGTATATTCATTACCATAATAAATAAATACATACTTATTTTGATCTAGGAGTTAGTAGTAACTTAACTAGTTACGAATTCAAACCTGTAGAAATATTAATGAAAGCCCTATCATAACGCGCCAGTTAGCGGCGGGAATATTTATACGAATATTTATACTTATATGTATACGAGTATATTTTTTCTTTTGTGTATACAAACTTTCTTTTTAAATTTTGCAATTTAAGAGTTTTATTTTGTAAAGGCATCTAACTAAACTTTCTTGTACTCAAATATTTACATGTGTGAATTTAAACAAAAAGTATTACAGACATTTTAGAAAACAAGAGCTTAATGCTTAATAAGCAAACAACAAAAAGTAAATATAATAGAGAAATTAAAAGACAAACCTTATATACATATGTTTTAGAGTAACGGTGATAGAGAACCAGCCGCCTGAAAAGTCGGATTAGAAGTATACTCTAGCCGGGCATCAGTGATGTATGACAGGATGAGAATAAACTATTTTAGTTTAGCTCATAGTGACGAATTAAGGAGGAATTAAACATTATGATTTCCAAGTAGGACCAAGTAGACCCTGATCTGACATGGGACATTGCTAACGATGGTGTCCCTATTATTAACAACCTGATCTCGCCCACCTGACTCTTTCCCGTTCGTAGCCCGTAGAGACCATAGAGACCATATACAGTGGAATAACTAGGTCAATACTAGGCAGAGCTCTATCCGATCGCTTGCTTAAGAGTACTGTTTATTTTTAGATATTACTGGTCCTGGATCAATATACTAAACATTAATGTTTATTTATTTATATGTTAATAACCCCAGCGTTTGACACTAAATCCTACTTAGCCGTTCAACTGCGTCGACTTTCACCCATCCCTCACATTTCTTTTATGTGTGAAAGAGATGACTAACCAACAGATTTCCTTTCTCGTCGTCAGTGGTACGTCACTGCACATTTCTCTGGGTGCGAGTCGGTTAACAAATCAGTATAGTTGATACACCGCTGTTGTCCACATTTTAGGGCTGCCCGTGACTTCCCGTAATTACATTTAATTGATTGTGAACGTTCTAGAGGTGTGACCGTGGGCACTGTGCTTTATATTATACGGGAGTAATATATATTTACAAACAGAACTCTCTCAGAACAGGTTAGTATATCTTTATGTTACTAAATTAAGAATAAAGTTACAAATAATTATGAATAAGTTATGAATCTTATTCGAGGAAATATATAGTATTATAAAATGGTACTCATAATTATTTTAGGATATTTTAGTTAAATAATAATAACAATTTTATTACACAGATAATATAATCTATAATAAATATGCATCATGTAGTTTGAGATCGAAAATATAACTTATTTTGATACGTAAAAATAGTTTTGCCATGGATAATGTTATTTTAATTGCAAAAATAATTAATAAAATTTAGTGAAATCAATACTAATGTTAAAATAAATATATATTTATTTTTACTTTTACCTTTATAACACGAAAAAGAAAGACTCATATGGGCTACATATAAAAGATTTCAACGCGTCACTGGCCATCTGTTTGACCTACTTTTTCTGATTCTTTTCTTTTTATTGAATTCTAGCTTTTACTTGGATATTTATTTGAATAGTCATATTATAGATTAGCATATTAATAATAAATATTGAGAAACTACGATTGGAAAATGTTAAGGAAAATTGTAAATACTGGATTTGATAAGAGTAGAGTACGCGGATACAAGTATACAAATTAAATACGTTAAGAATTTAAATTTAGCTCACAGATTGTAAATATAGTTAATTGAAAATTGGAGAAATATTCTCTATTTGTATTGTTGTGTGTTTTCTTACTTTGTTAGTATTATCTAAATACTATAGTAACGAACTGATGTAATACATATACAACAGGTCTGATAGTAGTAATTTTGGATATTTTCATTTTGAAAAAATAACATTGAAATTACTATTTATAACAAACCTATTTTGTTACAAATAGTAAATCATAGTGATGTTATATGTATACACGACGAACACTATCTATCACTTACTTATTTTTCCTGATTACTGTTGTACTTGTTATTTGTATAATACTTATAAACTTGGTCTACAAAAAAGTAAATAAATAATTCTCCTCTACTTCTTTCAAATATTATGAATGTGAAAGTTACTAAACCTGTTTGGATATTTAAAAAATTTCACTCATTTAAAGGGCCGAATGAATACGGATGAAATTTGATAGTTACATATTTATAGTAGATATATTTTAGACTAGGACATTGCTTACAACAATTTATGTCAAATGCAGATATACCATAAGCTGCAAGTATAAATAAATATATGTTAGGCAAGAGTAATCAAGTTAAAGCCACAAAATAACTACAGTGCGTGTCCGATACGCTTTTGGCTAGTATATACTCGTAATGCACGTATATACATAACGATTTTTTATATTAGATTTCTGCAAGCAGGTAGATCGATGTGCGTGAAAGTATGGACAATAAATCAATCTGGTGCAATGAGCTGTTGTATAATGTGCTACTTTACTGTATCTGTAATGTACAAGTAGTGTATTTGTTATTTAAAACGATTCCTTTATTGAAAAGTACAAAGATATTTCTGAATAGTAAATAATTCAAATAAGAAATTATAATATAATTTCATTCTAGACTTATTAAATACAAAAAATGAATTGTTAAAAAAAGATTATATTTTTCGGTTTCCAAAACTTTTGTTGTATTTTAATAATATATCAATAATATTAAAAACTCATAGAATAATTAATATATTTATGAGTATAAAGTCAGTTAAAATATTTATTATTTCAAGCTATGTATGTATATTAAAACTATTTAGTATTTTATATTATACATTTTAATTAGGATATTTAAGAATGTTTTAGTCTGTATAAAATGTATGAAACAAGTAGAGTATCTGAGCAGGTTTCTTAAATATATGTAAGAGAAATGGCGAGTATTAATTTTATTTAATCATAGCTTATATCACTTTTCAGAGAGGGAGCCAGCTTTTAAGATGAAGCTCTCCCTGGTGTTTGAACTACTTCTGATATTCGTGCTACTAGCATTTGCTGCGTCCAAGAGCGTAAGTAAGTATTTTAGGGCCTAAGTCGTATATCTTGCACCAGACAACGTAAGAATACCTAAATATGCATGCATGTTCGCTGTTTGTGTTGGTATGGCATTTTCTATTTATTATATGTACCTATATAATTACAAATGTATTGAGTAAAATCCATCCTGATCGTCTGGATGAATGGCGCTCCTGCGTGTTCCTTAGCCGCATATTCGCTTGTTGCATGCTATAAAAAAATGTAGTATAGTAGCTTTTCTTTTGTTTGGGGTTAGGATAATTACTGTCTTTGTTAATCTTGTATGTACAGACAAGATACACCTTAACCGGCACATTTTCATTTATTTATTAAATTAATTTAATATAAACTTACAGCTAATTTTTGTTACATTTACATTGTATATACAACGTATGTACCCTAAATTACTAGTGTAGTAATATCCTAGTTTCTTTTGTTTATATGCGGATTACCATTTAAAGTAATAAACATATCAGATCAGCTTTACACTATACAATTATATTACTTCATGAGCTCTAGCAATTTTTTACAGAAACTAAAAGATATTTTCGTGATTAAAATAGATTATTGACTTTATATATGAATGTAATATGAATTAATACTGAATGGTGATCATTTCTTTCAGAAAAGCAAAAGAATAAAAATAATGGCATCCAGAATAGAGACGACACGGAGAAACCGGAAGATAATACTATAAACAAATATTGCAAGTGTACGGATGCATATTGCAACTGCTGCAGGGACTTCCAACTACCCGTCGTCAATTTAAATGGACCAGGTGTGTATGTGTTTACTTTCATTTAATTAAAGTTTCATAGTAGTTACTGTGACCGATTCGTCTATGAATAATTGTCACCCGTGACTTTATTTGCTGTCCATCCTCGTGTCTTATTAAAAAACTTCATATATATATATTGATTAAGATCCATACAGCCTTTTGTCGTTGTGAAAATAACAACAGGCAGATAAATCTCGTACGTACAATACTCAGATGTCATTATAATATACATACATATAAAACGACGGTTCAACCATATTACACTGCACCCATATTCCCTTTCCTATATCGCTTTAGAGGCAACAATATTTTTTCTCTCCTCTGCAATCCTCCTAATTGTGTATATTTTATTTACATTGTTAGACAAAAAGAGAGCATTGTGTAGTAGTAGTTTAAATCACGCTGAATTACGCCCAAGCTATTAAAATCTGGTAGAAACAAAAAAATATGTGTGACAATTTATATTTCTCCATGATAAAATATGTCACGGCAATAATTGTAATTAGAGATTTTGGTATTAAGAAATATTAACGCAGCATTACGTTGTACTTATTTGTCTAGAAATTATCTACTAAGTAAAATATTTAGTATGTGCGTATACCTACACTCATATTTAAATATTTTTAAAAATCGTATGAGTATAGAAAACTTATTGTTTCTGTTTACAGGATGTGCCTCATTGATGTATTTGAGTGGTGATAAAATGTCGGTTTCCCTTAGTTTTGGAAAGAAAGTCATTACAAACCGCACGCTTTCAAGTAAGTATTCAGTTATGATGATGATGATGTATTCATTTATATTGGAAATGTCTCAAATATGCATAATTGTGTAATTAATGTAATTTATCACAGCTGACTAAATTATAAAATTAAATTGTAATCTTATGTAACAGGTCGTAAACCAAGTCCAGTATGTATGCCATTGCCTGGAAGAGTTTCAAAGTTCTGCGGACGTGTATATAATATAGCAAGGTCTGGCGAAGAATTCAGAGCTTGTCTTGGTTTAGAACTCCAATCGAAAAGTGTCGTCGAAGCAGCTGTAAGAGTGTCTTGCTTCAAGTTTGGTCCTAGAGGAGTCACATCAGAGCCAGCTGATCCACTACCATTAGTACCGGAAGGTGAAAGAGATGAAGATGATGATGATGATGATGACGATGATGACTTTGGTCTTGGTGGTGATGACGATGACGATGAAGAGGACGACGATGACGATGATGATGGTATGTCAACTAATATTATATTTTAATATTTATTTAAAACTTTTATTACAACTTCATAAACAAACTTCCAACGTCCTTACATAACCGTTGTAAATAAACACAAACTATTTCATGTTGAAACAGCCAGAATAGTTAGAACAGTGTCATAACATCTTTTATTCGTTGCAAGCCATTCCTGAGATTAAGATGTACCGTCGTACTACTCCATATTTATTTGTTTCACCGTATTATTAGTAATTTTGTATATTATATAAATCATAAGAGTAACAATTTAACTTTCAGATGCCACCAATGATGTAGACACTGCTGACTATACAGGATTTAGTCTTATTCCTGATGATATTTTGGGTGGTTTGTTCGGATCATCAAGTGGAAAGAAATCTAATAAAAATAAAAAGAAACAAGCACCACTATCTACCACAACTACTACTACTACAACTACTAGACGCCCTCGTCCATCGCGGCGTCCATCCAGGAAACCTGTTACTAGAACAACACCTAGACCCGTTACTAGAAGTACCACCGTAAAAGTGCGACCAGCAAGCCGACGACCGACGCGAAGACCTTCAAGAAGACCAACTAGGAAGCCCAGTACAACGGCAACTGTTACGGAAGCTTCAACAACATTGCCAGTCATAACAACATCACCGGAAGCAAAAATACCTGTTGTATCCCTTTCTTCAGGTAGTGTGTCTACTGAACGTGATGAATTTATGAGTACAGCTCATGAGCAAACATTTGAACCAGTAATAATTGTTACTCAGAAACCTCAATCATCTATGCCAGCAACTACTTCTAAAAGTGTGACAAATTTCGATGATCCAGGTCTAGAAATGTCATTAGCACATATCACCGGACAATTGGCTGCTATGCCTGTAACTCCGATAGTCCCAAATGCAGCCAAAGATTCAGGAAAAACTGCGAGTAGAGTAGAAATGAGTTATGAGAAAGTTGAAACCTATACACCCAAGAATCCATCTACTGTTTCTTTAGTGACTTCTGTAGAAGAAGTTAATGATGATATGGTACAAGTGGTGGATAATTTGGACTCAAAATCTGAAGAACTATTTGATATTATTAAGGAACCAACTCCAGAAGAAAGTAGGTCACATTATTATAGTGTGTCAAGTCCAGAATCTGATAACAAAGAAAAACGAAAGCAGAAAAGGAAAAATAGAGACAACGAGGAATTCCAGTTGGAAGATTTAGATGTGTTACATTTGGATGATATTGGTGAAAGTTTAGGTCATCAGTTAGGTATTTTTGGAGGAAATAAAAAATATAAGAAAGATAAAAAAGAAAATAAAATACGGGATGGGAAAAAAGATACTGATGATTATGGTGACTTTTTTGGATTAGATGCATTTGACTCTATATTACCCACTAAAGATAATAACAAAAATAAAAAGAATAGGAGAAGACAAAATAAAATGATGAAAGGAGAATGGTCTCAAGCGTAACGTTAAAGTCAATTTAGTGCTAAATAATTAAGTTTTATTTTTTTTCACCAAGTGTTTATGTATTGTGTGTGTAAATAGTGAAATTGTATAAATGTTTATTTATTTGGTATGAATGTAGTGAGTAAATTATAATTTTACAAGTCTATTCGTATTATTTAAAAGCTAAAACAAACATTGTTGTCATGAAAACCCACAATTTCCATAACTACCATACCGTGCCATAGAAGGAGGAGTCAATCATTATACTGTTTCTATTTACTATGACGCTTTATATACGACCTCATTTCAAGCTTTCCTACTATTATGACGTCGAAATGTTGCTTTGTTTTGCTAGTTACCTCTTACTCAAATATTAGCAAAAAAATTATGAAATTGATTATAACTCTTTGGTAAAGTATGATGTTGAAGTATTTATATAAAATGAATTCAAACAGATTTAGTAAACCTAGATATTAACCAAATCAAGTGAAGCGAATTAATATACGTCAATTAATATATAATTAGTATATGAAAAGTACTGAGTGAATTAAAATAGACATTTCACTTCTTAATAGTTCAACACTATTTGGAGACCAGTGTGCAGTACACTCCTTAGAGATTAGAATGTACCTTAATAACAAATTCTAGGAAATGGTTAGTCCTAAGTAATGTTATCTGTGGTCCTAAGTATCAAACAGGATAAATAAATAAATAACCTTGGACTTGAATTATCACAGCGCCATCTAGTCCCACGGTAAGAGCATGTGTTATGGGTACTAGGACAACTGATAAATACTTAGACATTTTTTTGTAAATATATGCATAATATACACTCATGCCGATGCAAACAATCATACTCACTCAAAAATAAAAATGTTTGCACTGTGCGATGAATCGAACCTGCGACTATCCTATTATAATATCTTACTATCGGAAGAAAAGCACACCGCTTTTCTACGCTTTTCTAAGATAGTACCTAGATAAGAAGTTGTTAAACACAGTGTATGTTATCAGTTTGTAAAACTATTTAATAGACTGCCTAGTGATTTAAAAGATGCTATTTATAAAACTAATTTCAAAACTAAACTTAAAAAATATTTTACTCCGTTGACAAATTTTTGATGAGTGACTGTTACAGTAGCTCAATTCGGATATTATTATTATTTTGACATTGTTATTTTAGATTTAAATTATTTAATTTTGTACTTTGAAATTCGACACAATAATTTTATTGTTACGGCTAAATTTTTACATTTATTTATGTATATAGTTACACACAAATAAATACTTACAAATAGAGATGTCAGAGGTCTAGTATATATCATATATAATATATACGTTTCCAATGAGGAAGTTTTATTAATTTTCCTACAATTGAGTCCATTTTTCTATGAAATTGATTTTCGTGTGGCTCAAAGATATCAATAATCGAGAAACCCGGTCTGTTTCTGTACTTCAGTATATAAAGAGTGATTTTATCTACCTCGTTTCGATCCATTATCCATTTATTTCTGAATTCTTGCAACATCCACCAACATAGATAGGCGATATGTTTCACATATACTATACATAAAATAAAAGAGAGACTACTCGTATTGTGATCAGATACATGATTTTTTCTCATCTCTCATGCATCTCATTATCTGAAGAGTTAAGAGTCCTCTGACCGGCGCATATGTATGAGTTGTAAATATTAATGAAACAAGAGTAATAAGAGAAGTACACACATGGCCCACGGTTTTCTCTGTTTGCCTCATAACGAATTTGACAGAAAGATGAAATCAACTTCCTAATAATTAATTCATATTGCGTAATAATCATTTATCTAGGCGCCAAATTATAATTAGGTACGTACTGAAACAAAGATGATTTATTAAATTTACTTCACGTATCGAAAGTTGAAACTGACAATGTAGTTTTGAGTCCCAACTTTCTCTTGTAACGACATTAAAATTTAAAACTTGTTCACATTAAGTCTGTAGCTAAAATACGAGATGTATTGACACATTGTTAGTTGGCTGTTATATACCTGGAGTGAACTTGCTGCTTACTATTTGTACTGGAAAGTCACGCGTAACCGTTCTTACTGCTTAATAGTACTTTCTATGCGGAAAATGATACTGATTATGAAGTGTTTTTTTGTGTTACTAGTTTTATGTACGATTGCTTCGAGTAATACTGGGTCAGGTAAGTAGTCTTATATGTTAATTCGATTATATGGATGATGACTGGAGTAAAAAAATGCAATATGGATTTATAGTTTTACAATTTATTACAATAATTTTAATATTATTTAATTATAAAATAATTTATTTATTATTTTAATATAATTTATATTCTTAACATCTTTTATTTGCGTTGATATCATTCCCTCTATTACAGATATATAACTTGTTGTTATTAAACTATAAATATAAATTTATTCTTTTATTATAATGTAATGCGAAATAAATTTCAGATGAATTGATTTTAACCGAAGACAGACCATATGAAATAATAAATATTAATATTCCAAAGATCATTTGGAAGAGAGCGTTTCGTCCAACTCCCGTGTTAAAATCACCAGTCACTATAGTTGTACCAATTCACGTACATCAAGATGATAATGAAGTAGAATACGACACAGCAGATGAAGTGACAGAAGTAAATCAAGTTGTAGAAACTACAGCAATTAGTGAAGATGAAATTCAAGAAGTTGATGTGACAACTATAAATCCAAATGTAACTGAAAGTCCTGTATCAGACGAAGAAATTACTACAACAGAGGCACCACAAGTCACTGGGCAGTTACTTCGATTTCCTTGTGCATGTCGTAGTGGACAATGCGGTTGTTGTACTGGGGCAATTTTAGAAAGATTTAACATGAAAGCATGTGGAAATATTAGTTTTATACCTGAAGACTTTGTATTCGATGTTCAGCTAAGCGTGAATAATAATACTAAGATTAGACGTAGAGTTTCAGGTAGGATTGATATAATAACTAAAAATGTTAGATATTTGATTGCAGGCAGAAATATAAATTAAAACAATATCGCCCTTACGTAGAAATGATTGTAATTTTTGTGTTATAAATTTAACAAATCACTGGGTATCAAATTTAATACGCATAGATCAAGTGAACAACTTAATTTTTATTGTTGCGAAATCTCATTCAAAACGCAAGAAAAATATAATTTTAAATTAAAACGATGATTATTAACATATGTATAGCGGTGCAGTGAGTATTTATTAATAACTTAACATTATTTACATTACAGCTAGTGATCCACCGCCCATATGTTTTAATCCCAGAGTAGCACCATTTGTACGTATCTGTGCCGAAATATCAAATATTCGTATACGCAATAGAAATGCATTTGCTTGTTTGGACATTGACGCGGATATTGGTGGTTTTACTGTTTACTCGGCTTCATTTAGATGTTTTGGGTAAGCGATTGTATATTATAGATGTGTTTTAAAAGAAATAGTCTTTCAAATATTACTAGTTTTTAATGAAGCTAGTAATATTTCTATGACTATGTCTTTGAACACAATCTACAATAAAAACTACATACAATAAAAACTAATAATTAATGGATACAGAAAGGTTGATCGCCTAAATAGGCTGTTAAAATGTGTAATATAGAAACAATAAATTTGTTTTCAGTCTCGGTTCTTCGGGAATTCAAACTGGACTAAGACCTAAACCAATATCAGCAGGACCAAAGCCTGTCAATCTATTTGGTAATAGTGATAGGGACGAAGAAGGCGGATTTTTATAAAATGCAGCAAGTACAGTTCTTGGTGGAGGTGGAGGCGGAGATGGGCTATTTGGGGGATCTAATGATGACGATGATGGGCCCCTAGACGCTCTCGGTGATGCCGTTGAGGGTATATTTGACGGCAGACAATTAGACTAGCGATATGAACGTACAATAGTGTATCTACCGATATATTATTTTCTATATAATATTTATGTTATAAGATATTTATTATATTATTAAATTAATGCCAAATTTATAAAATTATAGCCTATAGGTTTGTTATTATTATAATATCTTTATGTTAAAATATTTACGTAGATAAATATATATATCAGTTAATGTGAAATATTTTAATAATATTTCAAAATATTATTTTATACGTACCAGTAACGTAGTAAATAATAACAGTCGAGCTTGTGTACGAAATAAAAGATTACAAATTTTATTTAACTTTCATTTAATTAAATTAGTTAACCATATATTACATACGTTGATAGTAGTACATAAGAATATAATTTTATGCAATGAACGTGAAAGTTGTGAATACAAAGATTCTCTGTCGTCTTAAACCGGTTCAAATCTCCGCAAGCGAATTGGAGTGTCTCTTATATTCACTCGACCGGCGCACGCGTAACTTCACCATAAAGTAATTTTAACATTATGAAACAATACATAAACAAAACTTTTTATTTACTTGTGACTTTATTTTTATTAGTTCGATCAGAATACAGCGGTAAGTCAATTTTATTTGCTCGATATTTATTTAATATCTCTAATTTTATTAATGTCTCAGTATTATTTTAGTGGCAAATAAACAGGACAGTGTAAATAAAACATTGGATCGATTACACGAAACAGAAGTACCAGACAGCGCATTATTAACATTAGATCGTATAAATTTAAAAAATATAGCTACTATATCACAATATGCAAGACATAACAAAATTTCCAAACAAGACGAACAGAATTCAACATCTACGTCTGAAAATGAACGTTGCACTTGTAGCCAAGGAGTGTGCAAATGTTGCACTGGATATTTTATGGATCTGTTTAACCAGAAAGCATGCTTGAAAGTGATATACACTCCGGGAGACTTCGCTTTTGATGTTGTTATGAGTTTAAATGACAGAATTCTTTATGAAAATTCTATGTCAGGTATTTTTTTTTATTTTATTTCTAAATTAAGTATCGTAATGCATAAAAATTATAGTACTTTTTCATTATGTGTTTCAATATAGTAAATAATTTTATAAATTTATATTGTTGTGCATATTTCAGGTAAAAATCCCAAGCCAATTTGCATAAGTCCTCCCAGATTGTCGAACTTAAAAGTGTGCGCTAAAATGTATGATGTATTTTTCCCCGGAAGGAACTTTCACTTTTGTTTGGCTATGACTGGGCAATGGCGGTCAGTCGAGCTGTTCAATATGGCATTTGATTGCTTAAGGTATGAAATTTACAGAAGGTAATTAACCGTGACTTATTATTTGGCTTAATTTAGACGACTTTCACATTCATCTGTAGCATAGTATCAATAGAAATAACTTAAATGTGAATGAATTTCGAATGTTTTTTTTTTCATATCTTCCAAAGAGAGAATCTTTTAAGCCTTAACTAAGGATCAAATTCAAGGCAAAGCGCTCTATCATTGCCAGTTACTCCTTACAGCTACTCCTTATTAAAATATTTCATAATCTATATTGTTTGTTTTTTCAAAACGTGACTATATAAAACAAGGTAAAGTAATACAAGTCAGTAGGTAAGTATAGAAAGTACAAACTTATCCCTGAGCTAATTTTAGTTAGTATCTCTGTAGACATTCCCCTTATTACGAATTCATTAAATTCTTTGTGAATAGATAATTTGAAATTCGAGAATCATTACTATACAAATGTATATTGCTTATTCTTAAAATTCTTTCCTTACAGTAAGTAAATTATTTTAACTACTTCTACTAATATTAGATAAGTGAAAGTGAGTTTGTTTATTGTTATCATTTTTTAAAGCCTCACATCTTATCCTATCCAAATACATTATCTTGTGTATATGTATTACTAATTACATGCCTGATAAATTATTTTAATAAATGGAAAATCTAAATAAATAAATCAGTTTCAATCATCATCATCATCATCTTAGCCCGGAAGACGTCCACTGCTGAACAAAGGCCTCCCCCTCAGTTGTCAATGCTAGAAGGAAATTATTTTAATTTAATAAGTCTCAAAATGTAGAGTCAACATTTGATTTTCAATCATGCTTCATTTAATGTTTTCTTTGCATTTTTAACGTTTTACAGAATGGGCGCAAATGGAATAGCAATGTCAAAGCCGGGAGATGGAGGTGATCTTGTCTACGTGAGTCCGCAGGGTGGGTACAATGCCGTTGTCGACGACGATACTGATGATATAGAAGAATACGACGAGAATGTAGTTCGATCCTTATTGGATTTGTTTGAAAGAAAATAAGTTAATAGTACCTTAATTATCCAAAGCTATTTATTGTAATATAACTTCAATATTTATTAAATAAACAAAGCTGTTCTAAATATTTTGTTTTATTAAATATAGAACACCATAAAATTTACAGAATATACACTGTTGTCTGCGATATTGTCTTGTGGATTGGGTTTTGATGAGCAGTGTTATATTTGTTAAGTAAAATTAATATCTCAGATTACAGTTAATATTGTACGTTTTGTAAACGTGCAACATTGTATAATCATTGTTTTCTAATGTACCTAGTGTTAACAATGGAGATGGGATCACGTCATTTTCATATGAAGTGTCCGGGGTGTGGTGGTTACAGAAATTTCACTGTGCTAGTTACATAAATCTCAACATCCAGTATATTATAAATTTAGTACAAAGCCAACTGTTGGAGGCATAACAAATTGTACTTATAGAATTCAATCTCCGACATTATTGATTAAAATAAGCTGACGGGATAAATCTTATGTGTCGATTTTGTAAAGATACTTGTACAGTTTAATTAAATAGCCAGTTATTACGTAATGATATACGACAAAGAAACTCAGTTACTTCAATTTTGATACCTGCAATTTCTGCAGTGGCTGCTTTTTTTTGCTGACTTTACAGGATATATGAACTTCAATTCAATTGCATAAGAAAATGATATGCATGTAGAACTGATTTAACGTGAAATTGAAGATGGCTTCGGTGGTGGTGCGCCCGTATCGATCCGATGCACAGGAGTTTCTTTAGAAAGTCCCGCGATAGTGCGCTCGCGCACGGCATAACTTGCATACAAATGGTTTAAGTGATACCTTTGTAGCCAGTGTTAACGTAGGTTAACGAAATACAGTCATTTGTATGGTGTCCCTGGAGGCAGAAACAATAGAGGAACTAGGTTGAGTTAACGATTTTGCCGAAATGAAATTGAAAACCACTTTCTTGTTATTATTAGTGTATTGTGTGGAGGAATATTGTTTGGGTGAGATACTTACATGTTTTGCATCTGTGTATATTTTATTACAATTATTATACATATAGCAAATGATAGTAATCATTGTGACTGTGAAATTTATATACAACGACGAACTTTTCAGGAACAAAGTTGTCTAGTAAAAATGAACTAAGGAGTAGCAGAGCTGACGAAGGAATGGATGTATCAGATTTTTCTGTTTATTACGATATAGAAACGAATAAGGTATTTAATATTAATATGAGTTGTTTTATGTCATCTTTTCTTTATTAATCCTCTATAAAATTATCTAATAGTTGTGGTATATCACTGTACGCTTTGTTTACATTTTCTGTCGAATCCACGGTGTATACTCACCGGTTTTTCACGATTCCCTGCACTACTACGGACTGCGTAACTATTTTTTTAAGTTACCGAGTTCGATTCTCGGTTGCGTCATGTGAATTCTTATAATACAATCGGTTTACATTTAGTTTGTTGACTACCTGTATTGGTTTAATTTATTATTTATAATTTAAGACATATTTTATACACAAATGTTTACTTAATAAAACTTTAGTATCTATGCATTTTGTTTAATATGTTTTGTTTCAATTTAGGCCAGTGAAAGAATTATTTTTCAATATTATAGGTAATAAAGAAAATGATGCCCCGTCCGTGGTATAGTCCTGGATGGTCATTACGTTTACCATTTACCGGCGGCAAGTGTAAATGTGATAGTTATGTATGTGAATGCTGCACCGGTGTCCGTATTGAATCTTTAAATTTTGACAGAAGAAGTAAGTTTTTGTTCACTTAACATATAAAAATTATAACATTTATATAGAAAAAATTAATCTGCAATAAGTAATCTTAGTAATAGGGTCACTGTTATTTTTCAATACATTATGATATTAAGTATGTGTGTACTATAATAGTCCTACCTCCCTTCAATGCATAAGTCTGTAAAAAGGAAGCTGTAAAACTCCTGATCTTTAAAATGTTTAAACCTTACCTACTTCCAAATATCGATTTGACTTCACTTCTCTTTCAAATACTTGATCTCGGTGGTCCAGCGGTTTAGTACACTATTGCGGATTTTTGCTGGTATTTTCTGTTTATATATGCATGTATTTATGAACAAAATATATTAACATAAGGTGTCTAATACCCATAACACAAGTTCTACTTAGTTTGGGACTAAATAGCGCTGTGTGAATTATCCTGAGATATTATTGTTATTATCTACTTTATTAGATATAATAACTCATTAGATATATACCATGGAAACGACTACCTTTCAGGTACTAGCAATAGGATAATGTTTAATATAAGTAAAATTTAAATTTGAAACGCATAAATATAAGATCTATGCGTTTAAATATTTATCATTTTTTCTAATATTATAGCATGCGCTGTACTGACATTTGAACCTTTGGAATCTACTTTAGACTTGGAAGTGAGAATGAATAATGACAGTGTATACAGAAATACGTTTTCTGGTGAGTATAATTTTTAATAATTATCTTAAAATATGTTCTCTGCCCTTATTCCACTGACTATTTAAAATTACTTTAACTAGGAGTACAAGAGAATTCTTTATTATAACTTTGTTCATGAAATAATTGCTGTACGACGTTTACTTCACTAAACTTGGGTATATCCGTACAATCCTTTACAACAAAGTTCGTATAATGACGGTTGAGGTGACATGTCGCTGAATTTGATATCAAAAAATCATGTTCATTCATAGACGTAACCTAGAAAGCAAACAACCAATAATAGTTTAAGATTGTTTTATTATGTTTTTTTGGCAGTCCAAATATATTTATTATATTCATTAATATATATACAGTAAGCCAGTACCTCTATGGAACCTCAAATAAGAGAATGTTAATTAAACGGAACAACTTAAAAAATAAAACAAACTTGTTTATAAAGATATGATGCTTTTGCTTAGTGCCTATGATGTGTTTGTTTGTTTGTCATTGTCCTTCGATGTGGCTATAAACGAATACATTTTTATTGTAGATATATAGTTAAATATTAGATTATATAATTATATATAATTACTACAATATTATTTTATATAATAATTACTATTACTGTATTACTATATTATTATATATAATTACTACAGCCCGAAATCCGCCGCCATTTTGCATTCCGATTCCTGTACCTTATCTACCGCCAGGCCTGGTAGATATGTGCGTAAGGCTTTTCGACATTAACATAATTCAGCAGATGTTGCATGTCTGTATGGATATGGATACCAGAATTGATAAGGCCCCTGTATTGGTAAGTGATATTGATTAAGTTACATTATAATATTCTAAGGATTCGAATAAAATAGAAATATATTTATTCAAATTCACATATATGTAACTTTAAGTAAAGTAGGTAATTATAAAATAATAATTTTATCTTCATGGCTGTTATCCCAGATAGGAGTAGTCGGAAGTATAATCAATTATAGACGTTATGGTGAACAACACTCATCCCGTTAGCAGGTCAAGTTAACCAATTTTGTTTTTACATGTTTGCAAGTTTGCTACTCCAAACAACTCTTCACAACTTTCTTAAACATCTTAGAAGTTCGGTAAGAAATAATTGATGAAAAAAGCCTCTGGCTCGCAGACTAACTCCACATTATGCTCAAATTTCGCTGGGTATATTTGAATACAAAACGGCAGGTAGTAAGCCTATAGCCGTTTCTAGAATTGATTTGATTAGTTGTCGGTGATTCCACATCGGAGAATCAGTCGGAAATATAAATTGACACTCACAGTTTTTTTGATGTTGTACTTGAACTGACTATTATATTATATTATGGTATTAACTACTGAGTTACGATGCTTTTAATTAATGTATAATGAATGATTCTACTAACAGATACCAAAAACTCAGTCTTGAATTCAGTATGACTCGGTAACATACATACTCATAAGTGCGTGTATACAAATTGTTTTTTATTTATTTATTATACATGTACAAGACTTTATTTTATACCTATATGACATATGATTGCAGATTCTACACTTCGATTGCATGGATATGGGACTAAATGGAATTGGTTTATCGAAACCTGGCAATAGTGGGCTAAATCAAGTGTCAAATGACACCGCTGGAACGGAGCAACTGGACAGCGACATTTATGACCCTGTAACGGAAAACATTTCGACTACAACAAGAATGTTTCAAAATAGTATTAAATATATTTAATTAATATTGTGTATAACATTGATTATGCCCATAGATATTACATTATTTATCTTCCTCTAATTATTAACACCTGCTCTTATGCATCTCCCATTACTGTCATAATAGGTACCTACTTAATAATAATAGCGACAACCCAAGTTATTCACACAGTCCCAAAGCTGATTTTTTTTTATAGGTACATTAAAAACTCAGCTAAAAGAATTACACAAATAATAATAATAACTTAGGGCAGATAACACACACATCTAGTCCCCTAATGTTATGGGTACTAACTGATAGAAATACTTAGGTAAATACATTTTTTTGCAAATGCCAGTGCAATAGAAAAGACCCAGCTCAATACAATCATTTTAAGCTTTTAAGCGCAATATGGTGCCAAAGGCAAAGAAAGGAGGATTGACGATATTACGGTATTCATAGGTTGAGTTTAAGTTTTCTTAATAAAATACTGTATACCTACCTACCTGAAACCATCTTTTTACTTATCCGAAGTACCTAGTTTTTTCTCTGAGCCTTTTACTCCGCATGTAAAGGTGGTATTACATTATCATGAATGACACATACTTTTGACGATTTATAAAGCTGAGTATGTTTGACATTATTATAAAGTTTATTAATATCTACTGTAATTGTTTAGAAACATATATTTATATAATCCTCTAAAGAGCTACCACAAAATCACCCAATAGCGTCAATAAGACTGTCAATGTCAATATGACACAATTTTGACAGTCTAGGTATTTCAATTTGGAATTTCGATTTTATGCCAAAATTTATTTAAGGGATATAAAAATTTTTGAGGTGAGTGTTGTTGATGAATTCTTAATAGAATTTAAAGTCATAATTTATAAATACTACTTAATATAATTTAGCTATAACTCTAGTCTGCAAGTTTCAAAATGGGTGATAACGATGATTACGATGACGGGTTAGTAGTTAGTAAAATATTAGCATGTTGGTGTAATTTGTTATTATTGTATAAATATTTATATAAGTACAACATTAATAATATTTTGAGTTCTTTGTAATTTATAACTGCTCACCGCTAATGCTTATTTCAAAGCCTATTATTTAGCAAGGTTATGTTTTGTTCTGTTATAGATAGGTAAATTATTACTCATAAAATATAACCTACTACAGAATATGCTTTGCTTTCATAATTGTTATATTATGTACTAAAGAAGTAAAATGTAACTACTCAGGTAGTCATAGATTTGCCAATTAAGTTTTATTATTGACACATCCAGCCTCAGTCCACTCTTTCTCAGTTAATGTTCTAAAGGTAACTTGTAGTATATATGTATATAATATAAAAATATATAATATACTTCTTGTAAAAATGTAGTAAGTCCTTTGATCTGCACAATTTTTAATATTTATAATATTATTTTAAAAATTGTGCAGATCAAAGGCCTTCCTAAATTTTTTATAATATATAGTAAGCAAATATGTATTATTAATAAATCTATTATTACCACCATATACTATATATTCATATTCATTCATAACAGAACACCATACAAATTTTAAAATAATCATACAATATTTTGCATGGTGAAACATTATTTATTCATATAAATAATGTTAATACCTATATTTGGCTTCTTTGAAATACTATATCTGGAATTATATGTAGTCAAATATTACTCCCACTGGTTCCACTGAAAATCAGAGTTTAGGTGTTACAGCCTGGACACAAAGCTTAGAGGTAACCTTTTTGGTTGTAGCTATAATTAATTATAAAACTATGTTTATAATATTAAGAATGAAATGACTAATTATATGTTTGCTGTCTTTTGTATGTGACAAATAAATATATTTTTCTTTCTTTCTACAACAGTTTGCAGTGTTATATGCACCACTTTCATAATATAGTAAATATTGATATTATTTTTATGTTATAATTATTTTAATTACATTATGTGTAATAATTACTTTTTAGTGCAATGGATTTGTTGTCAGTCTCACCTGAGGTCACTTACAATTGGGTTGATATAACATCAGATTTCTTTAAACATATACAAGGTGAGCTTTTTCTTCAATGTACTTTGTAGTTTAGGTATAATAGTAACCACTGTCTAAAGATATAAAAAAAGAATTTATATAATTTAATATATAACATATGAAATATTGATTGCCACTTCTAAGAACTTAAGTTTATTTGTGTTCAATAATTTCACTACTTTAGCAGTAATCTCTATATATATTACGTGTCACATTGTTTCTCCGCAATGGACTTCTAAACCGATTGCAATTTGATTCACACTTTGTGGTGCCATTTGATCCAACTTGAAATATAGGAAGAACCCTAGCCGCAGCAATGCTTAGCCGGTTCGGCTAGTATAATATAAATTTAAAAGGGTTAATAAGTAACTATGCATAGCATAGTAAGGTAACCTATTCTAATAATTTCATATTTTAGACTTACAGTTGGGTGAGTTACTTCATGATGGCCATCTATTTGGGCTGTTTGAAGCTATGTCAGCTATTGAGATGATGGATCCAAAGATGGATGCAGGCATGCTTTGTAACCGTGGGAATCCTAAACCTCTTAATTTTCAACAAGCTGTTGCGGTAAATATATATTTTTGCAAAATTATCTGTTTATGCTTAATGTTATATACTTAAATGGCCTTGGTGGTCTAGTGGTTTAGTGCATCGGCTTACCTCCGATGGTCGCGTGTTCGATTCGTCGAACCGCACAAACATATATATTCATGAGTTAAATTGTTTGTATCTGTCTGGGTGTTTATATGTATAATATGTATGTATTTACGAAAAAACTACTATGTGTTTATATCAGTTATCTAATAACCACAACACAAGCTTTAACAAGCTTAACTTGTATTTAAATGGCACTCTGTGAATTGTCCTTATATTATTATATAGTGTTGATATTCCTAATGTGAGAGTTTATACTCGATAATCAAATTTTTGTAAGTATGTAGATCATATGGGATGTGGATAATTGGGAATTAGTGGAGATTAAGTAAAAGATAGTAATGTGAACTAATAACTTCATTGCTATCAATGTACCATATCAGTCCACCCCTTATTATAAATTCATGTGAATTAGACACTTCATTAGATATGTATTATGCATAATGCAATTTAAATAAAATTTCTAATAAATGCAGTTTTCATTATTTTATTTATTCAATTTTGTTTGGATATTCATCAGTATTATATTATATATGTATGTCCTTATTATCTATGTTTATGTTCACCTTAAGAAGCACTGGGTCTGCAGCAGTGCAATGATGTCCAGTGCCTCTGGAGCAGACAATTCAATGTAATTGTTTTTATATAATGTAATTAGATATATTTTCTATTAGATCCCTGATAACTATTATTTATAACTAAGGACAAGTTATTGTCCCACCTGCTGTTTTATTTTATGAAACATACTATGTTTATAATTTTGTTTCCAGACAGGCAAAATAAAGATAGATGACCTAGAACCAAGTGAACTCATTGGTATAATTGATGCAACAATGGCTTGCATTGTTTCCTGGCTGGAAGGCCATTCCCTAGCCCAGACAGTATTCACAAATCTTTACTTACATCAACCACATTTGATTACAAATAAAATATTAAAAGCATACTGTATTGCTGTATACAAATTGCTTGATTGCATTAGAGATTGCATCAACAAGTGAGTGTTTATTGTATGATTATTTAAACAAAATTAATTAAAAATGTGATTTCTATATACATAATTATTTCTTTACCATAATTATCAGTGAGACAATGAATTGTAATTTGAAAAAATCCATGCTATAAGTACTATATTATTCAGAATGTATTATAATTTATTGTTGTCATTGGTATACAAATATCATTTGCTAAAACATTAGAAACTTTTTTTAGACTATATTCATGAAATTGACATTCCTCTAATACTATTGTTTTCTACTTCTTTTCTTTCTTTATTTTTTATAGTATCTGTACTCCCTTGCAGAGCACAAGTCTTTGAAGAGGAAGATTTCCAACCAATGGGATATGGTTATCGGTTGGGCTCTCACCCACAGTCTGGTAACACTTACGATGCTAGTCTCGAAGTCAGTGAGCAGAAATGCATCGCCATGCTCAGGGAGCAAGAGGAGGAGTTAAATAAAAAAGTTAGGAGTGCTGAAGATGAGGTATGTTTCTTCAATTTGAAGGTTTTTTGGGGTTCCAGGTCACATTTCTATGCTTCTAAAAAACAAAAACTGAGTATTCATGGTGATTTAACACTCCATGAATTTAAAACTACTGACACTATTCAGAAACTGTTTCCATTACTAGTAGAGATTCCTAGATATGAGTCACTTCAGTATAAGAAATACTTATCTAATAAATAAGTAAAGTCTGGTAAAGTAAAAAATTATATATGGATTTCTTTTTTTCTCGACTACTAATCTACATATATCCTTGAAATTTAAGATTGTAGATAAAGTAAATAATCACAAGTTTTATGTTGTATTCTCTACTTAGCTTACATTCTGTAATCTGAATGAGTAGTAGATGACATATACTGTCATCTACTAACCATTCAGATTACAGAAGAGAGAGTCTGCGGACTATTACGTGCAAAATTCTTCATGGCACTCTGGCTTACTAGCATTGAGTTAGATGTCCTTGCTATTTAATTAATTTAACTCGTATATTAAAGTTAACTTCTTGATTATAACTTCAATATATGGTTGTACAGGCGAATAGTGAGTGGAGCGCGTTAGCAGCAAGAATCAGGTTCACAAGAATGTTCTATCAAGCACTTCTGTTAATAACAAAGAGAGATTCCCAGTCTGGAGCAGATTGTGTAGCTCTGTTGAATGGTTGTTCAGAAATGATGAAGGTTATCATAAAGACTGCTGGAAAAGGGACACAACCGATTGAAAATTGTTAGTGTATGCTTTTAAAATTAATATATTGTATTATTAACTAACTAACTGGTAACTGTGATTCAATAAGACAATTTTACTGCATTCCATAAAATCTGTACTAAATTTTCATAATGTTTTCATAATGTTGCGACTAAGAAATCTAAACTGACAAAACTGATAATATATTATTGGCATGTAATATTAAAAAATAAATGAAGGAAACCATTCTGGAATGAAGAAGAAATAAGCAGAAGAGGATATATACACAGGCAATAATAAACCTTTGTATATTGATAAATAAAAGAAGTAAATCTTTGTAACTATTTTTTGTGTACAATAAAAGTATTTTTTAAAAAAGTAACTAGTATGCGAGCATTTTTATACTATATGAAGTATTTTTTATTATCAAGTTATTTAATTGAAATACAATAAAGTACAATACTTTATCAGTGCCAAAATATTTTCGCAGCTGATTCTCCAAATCCAATGGGATTTGAGCCTATGATCAATCAGCGTTTGTTACCGCCGACGTTCCCGAGGTATACGCGCATTAAGCCCCGTTTGGATGCACTACATTACTTCGACGAGCAGGTGACAAGGTTGCGCCACGCATGGAAGATCACCTCTTGTACTAATTTCCATACTGCATTGGTAATTGTATTATTATTTTAAAAATTAACATTTTGTGAGTGTGTGTGTAAAGTTAAATTTGGATATTAAAATATAACAAGTTTGGTTTCTTCAAGCCTTCGAATTAGTACTCGAATCATAGTTTCTATATAAAGATAAAAATCTTTATTTACGCATTTAAAATGTACGAACAAATAAATATAAAATTGGATTGGTTCACGATGGAAGGAAGAATAAGAGTGGACAAGTAGTTTTTTCTTTAATTATTATCTACGATAGACTTTGCAAAAAGTATCTGTTTGGGTTTCAATCATCTGACACAACTATTTCAGACACCAAGCAGCTTACAAAGCATGTAAGCTGCTTGGTGCTTGACTAAAAAGAGTGAGATAAGACAGAGTACAAGATAAAAGGCATGACGTCTTAGTGCTCTGGAATAGCAAAGCTTGAGGGGTATCAGGGTGTCTCATAATAAACTGATGATCGCAGTGCTGTTCATATGTATGGGCAATGGCTACCATTTACCATCGGTTCGTCACCTTGTTTGCCATTCCAATTATATATAAAAGTTATATATGCATTTCAATATAACACTGATTATTTCAGGACTTCTTTATGGAGTTCAGTCGCCAGCGCGCGTGCATTCTGTCGCGGTCAGCATTACAGTTATTGTATTTGAGTCCATCGCCCGCCAGCACAGCTTCTCTTGCCCAAGCTGGCCCGCCGCGTCCTCACCACGCACTGCTCGAAATACTGCGCGACTCAGTCAAGAATTTCGTCAATCCACCCTCACTGACGACGAAGTCTCCAATAGTCTCTACACCACAAGTAAGTACTGTTAAGGGTCACTAATTGTTGTTTAGATCAAGGCATACTTTGTACAAATACCAATGCTGACGATTGGTATATCTGTTCTCTATTTCTGCCGCCATATTGTTTTTATAACCCAGAACTATTCATACAGATATCCTCAGTGATCTAGCGGTTTAGTACACCGCCTTACTTCGGTCGTCGCGGGTTCATTTCTTCGCACGATGCAAATATTTGTATTCAGGTTATGTTTCGTTATGTGTATATTTTTGTATGTGTTTGCAAAAAAAGTATTTAAGTATTTGTATCTGTTGTCTAGTACCCACACCACAAGAGCTCTACGTAGCTTAGGACTAGATGTCGCTGTTGTGATGACGGGATCGGTGGTGAGAGTAACCAACAACAACAAAACACCCAGTAGGATTGGATCTTGTGTATTTTGATTCTTACATGTTGATACTCTAAATTGTACTAATTTATTATTACTTTATATACTAAACGTAGCGTTACGTTAGATAAAATAACTTATCACTCAAATACAATTACTATATCACACTGTGTATATTGCTTTGGCTTATTTATTATTCTTATATTACTTACTATAGACGCGTGAGTTCGTGGAGAACTTTCTGAGTCGTTGTGTGCGTCCGTTTGCTGTGTTGCTGCAAGTCTGCGGCCATAATAGAGCGCGCCAAAGGGACAAGTTTGCATTGCTGTTGGATGAGTTTGCAACACTTCAAGATGAGGTATAAATAATAAATATATCACTATTAAAAATTGTTCCAATGAATATAATACCAGTTTGTGTGATGGCGATCATAAAATTTGACATGCCCATATTGTCTGTAAGATTATTTTATTGTAACAGGCGAACCATTGCCGTATTGTAGAAAAAATTGTATTTACCAATTTTTTTGTTCTAACTTTCGCACGGATTTGCGTATGTGACTCATGTCATTTCACTTTTAAAATTTTATTTCACAAATTATGTTTTCCACAGACAAGTTTAAAACACAAGAATATATAAATTATCGATAACTGTATATTTATGTTTTTGCTGCATAATAAGATTATTAAAAAATGCGCCAAAGATCGTGGGAATGTGCGAACTGGCGCGTTTCTAGTACTCTTTCACGCGGGAATCGGCTTTCACGCAGAAGAAAATGTGTATATAATGTGTACGTATAAAGGCAATCGTGTAAATTATATAAAAAATGTATGGTATAGGCTGAGAGTGTGGACGCGGTGGTGAGCGGTGCGGCGGGTTCGGGTCTTCGCGCTTACTTCGGCACCTGGCTCCTGTACCACGTGCTACGAGTAATGATCGCCTACCTTCTCTCCGGGCTAGAGTTGGAGTTGTACAGCGTACACGAATATCACTATATATTCTGGTTAGTTTTATATATATATATATTTAAACGGCAACGCATGAGTAGCAAGTCGGCGAGTTAGTGATGTCCGTTGTGCTGTTCATGTATATAGGCGACGGTTATTTCTTACAATCAGGTGGACCGTCAGCTTGTTTGCAATTCATATTACACAAAAAAGTTAGTAATTGATCAATTATCAGGCTACTGCAATAATATAAATAATTGTAATTTATGAGTAATGAAGCATTAATATTCATTTGTAGGTATTTATATGAGTTTTTATACGGCTGGCTGGTATCAGCGTTAGGACGCGCAGAAACACTAGCAAATGAAGGGGCACGAAGGGCGGACGCTAAGCGTGGCGGCGCGCGGAAACAGAAGAAACGAAGTCGGCCGTACGCACGCGAGGGTCTCATGTGTCAAGTCATGCAGAACATGTGCGGAGGGTATTACAAGGTATTTTCATTATTTTTTAAATGTTTAAAATAATTGATCTTTTTAGACTTTTTGTAAAAAGTAGTAAGGGGTTAATGCAGTCATGTCAAAGATTCGGCCCGTGGGTCGCATCCAGCCCTCGGCTGTATTAAAGGTCGATCGCATATTCATCGCCTACATATTTAACAACCGTGTATTTATATAATTCAATAAATAAAACATTATAATAATTCAGTACATTTTTTTATTTCAATCTGATTTGATTAATATATGGCCCTCTGTAAAATTGAGTTTCACATCTCTGGTTTAATGTTTTACGAAAATTATTTCGTTAAATGCTATGAAATCACATTAAAGAAGCCTTTTACTAAAAAGAAGGGGAGCTATGATAAGTAAAAAAAAAATATTCCTTTTAAAACATTTTCACGCGTCTAATATTTTATTTTACTACAATGGTATTTACCCAGCTACGCGTCGCTGTAACTTATACTTCTCACGATACTGAGATCTATAAGAAAGATGACATCTTTTACACATATTGATCTAAATTTCCCATTTTGAGTTTATCCCAGATGAACATCGTGACAAGACGTGATATTTTTATTTTTTAGGCTTTAGTAGCATTCAAACTACAGGGAAAGATACGCCAGCCGAAGTCAGAGTTTGATAACGAAGCAGTCCGGTACAAGCACCGGTTCGCCCCACTCTCAGTTATCACACCACCACAAGTCCGCTATCATGAGTTCTGTGAGATGACACAGCCGCTGCAGTGAGTATGATATCATCGCTTTCTGAATGACGTACCTACACTTTGTATAAAGTTGATTCCTTGAGTTTTCTGTATTTCACTATTTTTATTATTTATTAGGATCACCCATGATAAGCACATTATTGTAAATGTATGTATTTACATGTGAGTGGTTTATGTGGTCCTTGTGGGCTGAACACAGCATGCAAAGTAAATTTTCAATTTGCTTTGTAAACTGTCTTGGGTTGAAGGTTGAGTTGAAGTAGTGAAATTACACTGTAATTTGCATTGTAAGAATGTGCTTTAGGTTTCCGTAATAGTAACGCATCACGTAATGCCGTTCGTTTAATAGGCGACGGTTGTCACTTACGGTCATCTGAACCGTCAGTATTTTTAAATTCAAACAGCTTTTTTAAATTTCGGTCAAAATAAAACTACCTAGGCAAATGTCTTGTACCTACTTAGGACTGTTAAAACTATCCCTAGCGTGCGACATTTCTACTAGTTGATGTTCTGTTTACGATAAAAATGTTTCCACTTAAAATATTGTTTCTTGTTCCATTTCAGATATGAAAATCCTGTGATACTATATCTTGGAGGTTGTAAACATTTTCAACAAGCTCGATCTCTATTGGAAACCATTACAACGCCTGACCAAGAGGTAAGTAAATTATATCAATTACAGGTAGAGTAAATTCTCTTTACCAAATGTAAAACAAGTAACGACAACTGTTAGTATGAATCATCATGTTTTGGACTTTGTTGATGAGACTTCGTTTCTTGGTATTGTAATAGATAATAAATTGCAGTGGGGTCCACATATATTCACACTAGCCAAAAGACTAAGCTCGGCTGCTTTTGCTATCAGAAAAATTAGACAGTTGACTGATACTGCAACAGCGAAACTAGTGTATTTTAGTTACTTCCATAGTATAATGTCGTATGGTATTATATTGTGGGGAAGAGCGGCTGATGTAGAATCAATTTTTATATTACAAAAAAGAGCAATTCGTTCAATATATAATTTACCGTGTCGCGAATCTCTTAGAGAACGCTTTAAAGAAACAGGTATTCTTACTGTTCCCTCTCAATATATATATGAAAATATTATGTATGTACGCAAAAACTTAAATTTATTTCCAAAAAATAGTCACTTACACGCCTTTAATACAAGGAATAAAAATAAATTAAATATGCCTAGTTATCGTCTCAAAAAAGTAAGTACATCTTTCATGGGACATTGTATACGTTTTTATAATAAATTGCCAGATAGTGTTTTAAATTTAAGTGAAGCCAAATTTAAGATGCATGTAAAAAAAACACTTTGCTCTAAAGCTTATTATAAAATAAACGACTACTTAAATGACTACAATGTGTGGACTTAATTACAATTTTAACTTTTGTTATGAGGCATATAATTTTTCCCATTGACATGGATAATGTAATAACAATAAAGAAACTTATTATAAATTTTGTAATGACATATTGTAAATTAAATATTGTAAATTAAATAATGTAAATTTAATATTGTAATGGGTGAAAACTGTGATCGGTACAGCCTATGCTGTAAATAATATAATTGACGTAGTGGAGTAACCTGAAACAGTCATGCTCGCTATAAAGTTCAAACTTGTGGCGGCGTGGTGGGCCGGGTCGATGTGCTCCCTCAAATATGGTTGAGTACAATGATGGCTGGCTCATACGTCATACTCGTGAACGGGTGCTGCTTGTGGGGACTGGTCTGTTCAGGTTGTGAACACTGATTAAATTTTTTGTTCTTTGCGATAGCATATGCTGGTGGTCACTCTATTCTCCCAAATTTGAATTTTAATAACTGTATTTATCGTAAACATGTTCCACTATTATTTGAAAAAAAATTACGAGCTGAGTTTCTTGTCAGTTCTTCTCATCTCGATATCATTCCGAACTGACGGTAGATTTGACATATCATAAGAGTCTGTAATAGACCTACATGAATAAAGATATTTTGAATTTGAATTTGAATTTGAAGTTATATTGAAAATTTTCTGGCACTCTCACAATTTAGTTTTAATTTTTGAGATTCCCATATCGGGCACCATTTGCAACTAAACATTGTATCTACTTTTGCACTTCCTTCGGTTTGGTCTTGAATTGACGTCTATATCAATGTAATATAGATTCTTCTTAACTAATGTAATAAAATTTTGTTACAGATAACAGATCTCCTGAAAGTAGCTAAAACAAATTTCGTTGTATTGAAATTGTTAGCCGGCGGCCACAAACGAGATTCGACTACGCCTCCAGAATTTGATTTCTCTGTACATAGACATTTTCCTATTATAAAGCTCGTGTAATTTATTCAAGTATAAGTGTAGTATATTATATGTGACTTGTATTGTAATTAAATTTATATTTATGAAATCATCATATATGTGTATAAAATATCCAAATTCCTCTTACCTTCACTGTATGGAGGCATACAATAGTAAATCAGCAAATTGCCCAGAGTAGTAGGCAAGTCTTATAAAGACTATTAAAGTATTTTTTTCTCACAGTTAACATTGATGTTGACTGATGGCGTCATTTGTGTAGTCATTTGTCTTTTTATAGTCACTCATTGCATATTTGGAAATATTTCATACAATCATTATGTTTTGTGCATATGTTCGTATCATTATGCATTGCTTTGATATATTTTTGTTCTTAAAAATGGCCTATTTTTATTTAATTTAAATGTTAAGAAAGGTGATGTTCCACCGTATAGTAAGCGGGAATCGTCGCCTATATACATGAACAGCACTACGAACATCATATTTACATGTGAGACCCGCAATATCACTCATGCGTTACCATTCCAAAGAACTAAGATGCCATGCTTCTTATCCTGTAATTACACTGCCTACTCGCATCCTACAATCGAAACGCAGCTTACAAACCAAGCTTTTTTTTTATACTACGATGGTGGCAATCAAGCATACGGCCCATCTGATGGTAAACGGTTACCGTAGCCTATGAACGCCTGAAACACCAGGGGTATCACGTGCGCGTTGCCGACTCTTAAGAAACCCTAATATACCCTTCTTGAAAAACCCAAGCTGCTTGGTGTAATAGGTGAGGCTGAGATCCCACGCAGATGACTTTACAGTCCTATGTAAACCTACCTATGAACTATCTACAGTATAGAAGTAAGTATTGTTATTATTAAATATCTACTGAGTTGTATTGGCTTAGCTGTGCCTAATTATTACTCAATATAAGTATGCAACAATTACAGATGTACTAACTATAGCAATTATTGACTTGGTGTCTTATAATTGTACATACTAGAAGTAGGGCTGTCCTATTTAAAGTTGGAAAAAATATTTTTTAAAACAGCTACCTAAAACAGTGTTTTTACAATCCTACATGTTTGTTTAGGCAAGTATGTAGGTACTGAATTTCTTTATCATATATTTGAAGGTTTCAAGGAAATAGGTATCATAACCTGTCACGTAAGACATCAACATAACCTATTATCGCTATTGTCACGTAACACGTAGGTAGGCTAATTATGACTACATTTAAGGAATATTATGATGACTACTATATAAAAAATATGTTTTAGTATACATAACATAACACTCAAGTTAGATTATTAGAATAGTTACGTAATTTTCTAACAATTATTTGCAATATATTGAACAAAACAAAAGGAGCAACAGTTGTATAACAGTTTGCAACTGTCAAATTATCTGACATATATGTAGGTACATGAGTAATAAGATTTATTGACTACCTACTAGACAAAATGGTCAAATCGTGAAGCGACATTCGATTATATCCCATATCACTATTTTTTGAAAAATTCAACTTATGCATATTTGTTTCGCGCATTCTACCATTAACTATTTTCAGAAACAACATACAAAGCTTGATCGTACTATAGTACTACTACTAAGTAGGTACTACTATTCACAATACGATAAATAGTCCAATTGTGAAATAATATAATAATACTAGGTTCATTGACAACAAGCAATTTTACGTAGTAAATACTATATAATTGCATAGTTATCCTGGGATAATTATTCTTTGCCGCATTTAAGTAAACAATACAATGACTCCCTAAGTGTTCTATTAACTGTTACAATTTTTTTGCCTGAAGTTATATAATAATTAGTATACATCCGAGTATAAAGTTAGACTTTACGTCATTTGAAATCTTGACGACTAATCTACATAATTAGCTCTGTATTTTACGATATCTTAATAGATTTGTATGTCTGGGCACGATTCAAGTGTAGGCGAGAAAAGACGTGCCTTAGAACCATGTTAATTTTGGCATACCTATAGAGTGTGATTATTTTTTTAAGTGGAGTAACTATGAGATTAATTAATTCAAGTTGTTCTGGAACATTCTCATTGATGGTCTGTGGAATAGTATACAACGGTGCTCAATAAAATTATGAATAATGCTAATAAGAATAATTTATTGCTATATGCTGAAAAGTTAATTATAGGGTAAAGAGGTATTGTAACACATTAGTTATCGAGAACGGCAATACACAAGGGGTGCCACGGTCATTACATGATGACACGATGCAGTGTTATTCGTGGTTGTTACTATATAGGCGACGATTGTAGTTTTCCGTGTGGTGGGCCGACAGCTTCTTTGCCAGTCTAGTTACATAAAAGTTAGAAAAATACTAACCGAGCTTATCCTCATGTTGTATCTGGGCTTCCGAATTGTTATTGAGCACCTTAAATTTATTTCAGTATGAAAATCATCTAAATGCTTATGTCAATGAAAACACTATATTATAACGACAAGCTGTTTATATGTGAATACTACCTATTAACAATAAGAAGTATTTACATAAGTCATTAAAATAATCAATGTTATTTAAATAAGTACAATTTTTTGTGGATGTTTCATTGTGTACAATAACAAATAGCATGTACGAGTAAGTTTAGATATGTTCCACGCGGGTATACATAATAGTTGTTAATTTCTACGATATTTAGTACGTAGGTGTAATAAAAATGTAATGTATGTATAAATTGATTATATTATAATTAATCTTAAGGATATCCATTACATGTTACAAATGAGAATCAGCTTAAGTACGTAAGGTATAGATAGGTATAGATCGTGACCAAATGTGAGAATTGATTATAATTGTCATAAAGATGTTGTGTCGTATTGTATAATATATATAACGAAAGGAATTGTAGTAGAATGGATTATATTAGATATACTTACTTAGAAATAATCTGAATACATATTTTCGTATTAATAGATTACGGAAAATTTCTCCAACAAACATTATAATCCAACAATTTCAAGATTCACACAGTTGAGTGACAACCATGATGCACGCATGATGCACAGCACGTCTAGCTAATATAAAATTTCATATACCTATCATTAAGAGTGTTTCAGTTAAGAATAATGGACTATTATTATTGATTGAAACCCATAATTTCCTTATCTTAAACATTGTAAGAAACATATAATTGGCTTAATTATATTATTATGACGTTAGTTTCCCTCTTCGTCGTCACTCTCTGCATCTGAGACATCTGTATAACAGTCGTGTTCTAATGCTCTTACTTTCAGGAAATCCATGACTTGTGGACCTGAAATGAATTGTTTTGCTTAATAACATATTTGTGTTCGTAAAAACCTTTTTAAAATACATGTAAATATTTAGAATATCAAGGAAAATATAATCTTAAGTCTACGTTGTCGGTTGGAACTAATGTTAGATTTTCAACCTTGACCAAGTTAATCCAATTTAAGCTGTATATTCTTTATGTAAGCCTCAGTAAAGATTGTAAATTGTCGACCGCTTTCAATTTGTTAGTAAGTGGCAAGTGCCCCATATTTCTTCCTATGTGTGTCTTGACATTGTATGACATGCATACTTAATAGGTAGTTTAATACTATATAATTTCAGCGTCAGCGTTATTATTATTAAAGAAAATGTTGGAAACTTTTTTATTCATAATATAAATTTTATTCAGAATAAAATTATCTTTGTCATCTTAACGAAAAAGGAAAGGCATAAAACGAATGACAGGTACAACAATAATTCAATCACCTTCAGTGTAAACAACGCTGGCTCCAAAGTCCTGTATGGGTGTTGGTGTAAAGGGACGTTCAACAGCTATGACGTTGTTATCCTCACCTTCGTCATCGCTGTCCACTACTATTTCTTCTTCTTCACATTCTTCCACCTTAGAAGTAAGAAGTCAATGTAAGTTGTTTTATCTATCTGGAATAGCTAATAAGTTGACGGCAAACCTAACGAAGTAGCAACCGTTGCCTATAGATGTACCGATTATGCACTGCCATTAATACTAACCGAGGTGTCTTTTTTTGTATCCTGTAATTTAAATGGCATTTCTCATCCTCACTATATGATTTTCCAAAGCATGTTGTTTAGCGACAGAAATAAGTGGCTTAAAGGCACCATGCAGACGACGTTGTACAAATTTAATTAAACAGAGTACGTCATATGCCTGATAGTAAATGTATATTTTGTTATGATCTGTAAAGTCTACAATTATAAAAAGACCGTTCAAGGAGATAAGGATAACTTCATAAATGAAGTTATCCTTATCTCCAACATATTAACAAATAAATATTGAGTAGGTATAAATCTACAGGATAACTAATAACCTCTTTCGTCTCAGCTTTTTTTTTAATAGGGCAGGCAATGTCCCTTAACCGTACAACGCAGATCTATCTTCATTTTCTTCATTTTTGTTCTGTTTTTATGACTTATTGCTGATTGGCATAGCATAGCATACATATATACATAAAATAATTTATATAGTTCACAAATGGAGATTTATCATGATATATGAAATACCTCCTCTACCTGAATATCGAAAGACTGTTGTTTATTTTTGAAGTCCATTATAGCAGCAGCAGACGTTCGTCTGGAATTTGGACATTTGTTTGGTGAAGGTGTGCCTTGGCTGGTGCTACCTTCATCAATTTGGAAACCGACATCTAGGTTCAGAGGTAAATTGGGGTTGCCCGAACTGCGTCGTCGCCGCAATTGACATTCTCGAGTTTCCGCCATTATACTCGTATCTGCTGGAATTTATAAGTTCTTTAGTTTTAAGCATAAATAGTCAAGTAATAAGTAATCAGTAAGTAATCACCAATTTGCTAAATTCAATTTACCAATTCGTGTTATTGCGAATAATACATGATAGGTATTGACAAGCAAGCCTATGTTTATAGAAGTTATCTTGGAGAAAAAATAATCCTAATTGGAAAAAAAACACTTAAAAATCTAGATGTTATTCAATAAATTCAAGTGCTAAAGAAATTTTAGTATTTCAAGCTTGATCAATTTTTTTAAACAAATATTATCTAAGTACAATTGTGATAAGTAACTTACATTAGGTAATAAAACAACGAAGGCAAACCGGGATGTGGATATAAATTATAAAATTAATTGTAGATGAATATGTAAATCACACCAATATTACTTGGCGACTTATTTGCAAAGTGGCCTATACGAATAGAATGTGGTCACTGGGCCGGGGTTCACTAAGTAGACCGAGGCTGGCTAGCTTGGGGTGAGAAGCCATAGCAAGGTAATCTGTAGTTTTCAGTAATGGCCAACCTTTTTACAGTAATAGGTTTTCGGTATTGTTTTTCAAGAATCCGCAGAGACAACAAATTTAACTTTAAAGTAATATTAACCTCAAAAATTTCTAATTCCCTCTAATTATGACCCCAATATTTTTTTAAACATTATATTATAATGTGAGTAGGCACTGTTCCACTCCTAAAGTAATATTTCCTTTGCTCTATATTCAGTTATTAAAATGATTTTCAAACATGTATGACCACACTAACTCACTGATTTTAGAATTATTTTCCAGTAAGTAGGTATCGTCGACGTAAATTTTAAAAACGACCCTATTAAGCTATCTGTAATAGAATGTCACCAGACATTATTTATATAACTTAAGTTTTAAAACATTGTTGAAGTGATTGTGAAAAACAAATATATTTTGAAATATAGAATATTTATAAATAATAATATGTCACGACAAATTCTTATTTTCCATTTTGTTATTTTAATGTTGCGCTTCCCTGACATTTGTATGGATTCACCATTTAGCTGTAGTTTTCGGACATATACACCTTCATAGTATTTTCATATCTTAGTAAAATTGAAAGAAAATAGTAATACAAATATAGCAATATGGATATAATTATGTACTACCTACATAGTAACTATTCCATAGTAAAAAGTAATTTGTTCAAGAAGTTATCTTTATATACCTATCCATTATCCGAACTTGCTGCACTTCTATCTATAAATGGTAGGTGCGCTAAGAAGTCTTTTGTCTAAATATGATTTTCAAATATTATACTTTAATTTACAGAAAGCGATATCAAAGGGATTTATAATAACTTCGAATTATCATAAATATGCCTGATATTATAGAGACGTACTAACATAGAGCAAGTATAGATAATAACGCCAGGTTCTATCTTCGAACCGAAAACCTTCTTTTCAGTTAAATCTTCCTTACAATATACATATGGTCTGTAATTAAATTACTGATTGTTTTCATGTAAGCAGTAAACTTGCAGCATTCAGCGTTCATATTGAACAATTTTAATACTGATATTAAATAAAAACCTAATAATTGCCACAGGTATCCTGACGGCGTTACTACGTATATAGATATTTAATTGAGCATTAGGTCCAGCATGCTAATTAGTATCTAGACAAACTAGATCGAGGTTGTATCATTGATAATGATAATATATCCTTCGTGTTATATGAATTATTTATACAATTAAAATTTAACAAGCACAATACGTCATAAGAATACTTTTAAATAATGGTACACAATATAATAGTAACGTAACAGAAATACTAGATATTTGTGTCTTGTTAACATTTTGCACAAATTTGACAGCTTTGAAAGATTTATTAAAAAATCTCGTTTGTTCTTTGGTTCAAGTAGGTACCTATATAAAATTCTCTAATCTATAGAATAAACATACGAATACACATAAGTCTATACTTTTAAGCAATACACAAGTTTCCTTTATATGTATTTATGTTTTACTCAATTCCTATTCATCATTTCATACCAGAATCTATTTGATTTTTTTACTACCATCTGTCTGGTGTCGTGAGAAAATTTCCATTGTGCCCGTACAGATTATACATCTTTGGTATTTTATAATAGGTAGTATTAAGTAACATAGTTGTAGGAGAAGGATTTTTCTTAATATGTATATGTATTAGCTGAGCTCGCAGTACTGGAATAATAACAGCTTAGCTTTTTTTATTTAGTTTACAAAACGAGATCTTGGATTGGTATAAAACAAGATCTACATTAAAATGAAACTTGCTATAATACATTAGAGTCATAATAATCCAAATCGCTTAAACCGTTTCTAAGACACACGTAGAAACAGTTTTTTTATAGTTATTGTGTTAAGTTTATTTATGTTGTTAAAGACTCTCAATAATAGTTTTTTCATATATTTTTTATGTACGGTAGGTAGCCGACAGCAACTGTTTATATATTTATTAGGTACATGTTTTGATATATCTATAGTCCAAGCAGAATTATGACAATTCGTAATAAAAATAATTTTACCTTATTATGCGATGTAGTAACCTAGATGATAATGAGGTTACTTGTGCATACATATATGCCCATACTAGTCATTCACTGCCAACAGGTGCATATAACTGAACTACATAATCAGTGACTTATTTTGAATCAATTAAGATTCAATCAACATTCATATTAAAAATAGAATTATTTGATGATATATGTATATGTATGTACATATAATAAAATAGCTGACCCCGCATCTTCGTCTGTGTCACATTTTCTCTATTTGTGAAATATTTTTCGCTGCAGGTCCACCTCTACTGGCAAAGTGTACTATTATTCCAAAGAAGCATAATTATAGATTTGAATAATAATAATTCCACGTATTTTGTGTAATCAATTTGTACCAGACAATGGGTTGACTGAAGCAGGATATCAGATATTTATTCGAGTGTAGAAATACGTTAATATCAATAAAAGATTTTGTAATATCAAGGCAAGTATTTTACTAGCTGTGCTCTAGGTGCTAGGGTTTCATCTGCATTAAATTTATAGCTTATGTATTATTCTGATGCATAAGCCAATATGGCTTTTTAGAGTTTCTTTAAAATCCATTAAATTACTCAGCAGTTTTTGCGTGAATGAATAATACTTACAAACTTTCGCGTTCATAATATTAGGGAACCATGAAAAATGCCAAAACTGCTTAAAATGTTCTATATATGACATATGAATATGATTTGTTTTATACTTTATGTGATGTTTTATAAGTACTTTTGACATTTTATCAGATGGATTATCCGATACTTGTCTTTCTCTATTGAAAATCAGTCAAAATGTAAGGCATATATTTTGATTGTCTTTAAATATACGTAAAGGCATAATTGAGTTACATATATTATTAAAATATGTTAGCCATATAACCCCATAAAGGTTAAATTAGATCGTTCGCTTCCTAATACAAGAGTTGTTTCCTGTCTTGATTTCCTTCGGTGTTCGATATATAAGAGTAAATTGTGACGGTACTGAACACTTACTGTCAGTAAGGTAAGAAACTCAGGTGTCTACGAAAATGAAAATATTTATGTTTTTGGTTTTAATAATGGCCGTAGCTGGCCAAACCGTGGATGCTCATGTGAGTAAAAAATAATATCTACTAGGATAAAATGTATTTAGGTTTATAATGTATTATATGACTTATTTATCTTAAAATACTATTGCAGTATTTGAATGCTAGGAGTAGGCATTTTAAATTATTATAACGATATTAATATTTGTGTCTGAGATTACGTAAAGTTTAGTGTATTCGATGATGTCATATTTATCTTTTTGTCAACTTTATTCACATTGGCACTGGATTTTTTAATTCAATATCTTTTGGAACAAGTTTGAACAAGATAACTTCGCTGGTCTAGCGGTATGGCACGCTGCTTTTATTTCCGATTATAGCTGGTTCGATTCCACGCATGCTGTAAGCATTCATATTTATAGGTATGATTTTTTGTATCGATCTGGGTGTTTTCTATATATATGTGTGTATATTATGTATGTATTTATTCACGTATTTGTATCACTTATCTAGTGCCCATAATACAAGTTCAGCTTAGCTTGGGACTAACTAGGGCTGTATGAGTTATATGAAGATAGTTATATGGTATCAACTGGGAAGTAACTGATTTTCGTTAGAGACAGGGTTACCAAAGCCAGTGGTTAGGTTTGTTTAGTAGAAATAAATATAAATTGAAATATATAAAAAATACAATAATTACAATATTATGTTTTCAGAATGTTCAGCTATCGCAAACTCAAAAAGACAAAGTACAACAGTTTACAGTAGAATGCCAAAAAGAAACTGGTGTGAAGCCAGACCTTTTGGTAGAAGCAAAAAAAGGCAAATTCAATGATGACGATGCACTAAAAAAGTTCACCCTATGCTTCTTCAAGAAGACCGGTATAGTTGATAGCCAAGGAAAGTTGAATGTCGAGACAGCTTTATCAAAATTACCTGAAGGTGTTGATAAAGCAGACGCGAAGAAGTTATTAGAAGAATGCAGAAAGAAGACTGGTAAAGATGCCGCAGATACTGCTTTTGAAATATTGAAGTGTTATTCTCATGGCACTAAGACACATGTTTTATTTTAAATTTTATGTCTTCTATGTAAAATATTTATTTATTATTCAGTTGCACGGTCTCAAAATTCCTTATGGAATCGTATAAATATCATAAAAATAATTCTTAATTTGTGTAGCATTGAATACAAGATTAATAATCGAAATGTTAAATACTATTCAAATAGGTTGTACATAGACAGGTGTCTACTCAAGTAAAAGAAAATTATATGAAAGAAACGACTACAAGTACGAAAAACGAAATTTTACCTTTGCTTGTTCTGTTAGAATTAAAACATTAGTCAAGTCAACATTTATTGTTTGTTATATAATTGTTTAATTTATTTCAATTAAATTATATACATATTAAAATATTCTTAGTATACTCATAATCTTCCTGGTTCACCTTTATCGTTTTTATAAATTAATTCGTAAAAATAAAGTATTAAAAATTACATGGGAAACAGCAACATTAAATTATATATGAAAATATCGTTTTTTCGACATTTTACGGAAGCTTTGTTACATAATTATTAATTAAATGTATGTCCATACTATACAGACAGCCATTTAATTTTTATATGTAAAAACCAAGGAATGTGTGCAGGTAAATACTTGTATGGACATAGGCGGATATAGCAAGAATTCGTAGACTTCATAGAATAAATTTTAAGAATCAAGTTTTTATTGCGATGGTTTTTTATTTTTCTTTAAAGAGTTGGTGTAAAGTTCATCTAAATGCGTATTTAATACAACAAGAGAGTTAGCGCTGAGGACACCATCTTTTCTGAGTTTCTCAATGAATCGTACACCAAAATAGATTATATATTGTATGAATATAAATTTATTTTTATCTCTCTTCAATAATTTTAACTAATTTATTACTTAAAAATAAGTAGAAAGACATATGCATATAGTGTAATTTTACTCAAAAAGTTGAGGATTTGTATTATTTCATCCAAGTAAGTTCTCCGTGAAAACAATCCTGATTCATGATTAACGAATTCGTAGCATTGGGCTAATTGACTTGACTTTATGCTTATCTAAACAAACTCCACTCGTCCCCGACAACCTAAATCGTTAACGTAGGCTAGACTTAAAAAAATGTCTGATCGCATTCTATAAAAGCCAACTTAAATATCTTTACATCTACTTCCATGTAGCTTTTATTATGTTGGTATATTTATTACTAAGTGAGACTTACTAATGACTGACTAAGGAGGTAGAGGTTTTCCCAAAGAATAATAACAATAGATAAAATTATTACAAAACTCCTATGCGTCGCTGATATTCGTGTGACGTATATGAATACAGTAGCACATGGTGCATGGTGTCAACATGGTGCCAACAATATATTGTGAAAATCTTGTAGCTATATTATTATTTATTTTGAAGTTAGTCCTGCCATGACGGAATGACAAAAAATTTGATTAAGAAAAAATAAGTAAGGCAACAAAAAAGTCTATTATTACAAATCATCAGAATCGGCTTAAATTCGTTGAGATATCAGAAAAAATATGAACGTTACATTTTATCTAAATTTCCCTCTTAAAGTAGGTTCATTAGTATCATATTATATAGAATCTACTACAGCTATAAATACTTACTTAAATTAAGGCAATGAAATAAAATAAATAACTGACATGCGCAACTTCATCTTTTCCGTTTTGTAACATTTTTCAAGATACTCCTCTCCTATAGCTTTCCTCTTCCTCGATAAACGGGGTATACAACTTCAAAAGAAATTCTCAATTCGAACAATCAAACTTTTCAGCTTAAAAATGTTAGTGTAGATTCAATAAAAAATAATAATATTTTTTACTGAGAAAATATTACAATATTTAAAATATAAAATCAAAAATAATTTATTCATCTTTAAACATTTTAGTCTCTGATAAACGTCCAAATTTTTGTACTAATATTTTTTCCTAACGGAGTAGTAGTGGTTCAGTAATATGTAGATTCAATTGAGAAGAAATGTCATGAACTCAACTGAAATGATGTTTTTTAAAATCAATATGTTTACATGGTTCATTTATATAGATGTATATGTATAACATAATTAAAATTACAACAATAGTCTTAAATAGTCGAATAATAGTCTTTGTTTAAGAAAAATGATTTAACAGATTTATAAGATTTAAGGTTGTACAATAGTTAGCTTGTTTAGAGGTTGCAGCTAAAATTTTTCCTTTGTATAATATCAGCCCGCCTGTACGTACCCCCAATAGGTAGGTAGATATTAAAGGTCGTATATAATCCAGCGAGTCTTCGCTTCATTGACATATTCTTTGCTCATTTTAACATTGAAGCAACGTTTCTTTAAAAATACACCGCTGTTTTCGTATTTATTATTATTAAATTGTAATTGTGATATTTAGCTGTAATAATATTTTTAAGACAATGCGTAGTGTAACGCTTTTGTTTTTTATATTGGCTGTCGGACTTACTACTGCTGCACAGGTATTCATATATTCATTTAGATAAAATTTGCTACAATATTTTTTAATTATTTATGAATATTTTTTTCTGTGGTGTGAAAAATTTTTTTTAAAAAATATCGATAATCAAACGACATCAGGAAAAAATATATATGTGAAAGTGAAAGGATATAGGTAACGGCGAAGGTCTAAACTCACTTATCATGACCCGTAATATCGTGTGCCATCTGATAGAGGAAGCATGAGTCTTCACGAGTAGTGTTATGGACGAGGCAAGCTTAGAAAGCTAAAGTAAGAGTTTAATTGAAGTAAAAAATTGCACATCTTTACGGCCTACTCTGTAAGGAGTTTAAAGTAAAGATAAATAATCTCTCTAATTATATCAATAGTAATAGTGATAGATATATGGTATATATAATTTATTTATTTAATGCAAAAGAAAAAATTAATGCTAGACATTTGATTTATTGTTATTTACATAACTACACTATGTTAGCATTAATAAGTAAAGTTTGTCAAGTGTTACATTTTTTTAGAATATATATATGTATTTTCTTTTATAACTTTTTCCTTATTTATTATTTGTAATGATTGTATAACTAGATATACATAATGTAACGTATATATACTGTATACTGTTTACTGTTTGCTTACTGTTTGTTTAACACTAGGTTAAACAAACAGACAGACATATCTTGTGTACTGTGAATACCACATAGAGGATAGATAGAATTTAAGAATGTGAAATGAGTTACAATACTAATTAATGTTACAAAGCTTACTGTATTGTATATTTCTTAGTATATTGGAATGGATGAATGGATTAACAATTAAATTTCGTACTTTCTACACCGTACCTAAAAGTTTAATTACAATTCATATATATGTAGGTAGATATAATTGTTGATAATCACTTATATCAATAAACAATTATAAAAATGTTTTAATTAGTGTTTCTATAATTGTATTAACACTTACAGTTTTGTATTACCAATACATCTGTAAAATAACAGATTATAGAAATATATTCTATAGACGTTGTCTATTTTTCTATATAAATATTGAATATGAACGGTTACTTGAAAATATTTATTTCCTGTAGTGTATTTGACATTGTACCTTTACCCAGTACAGTACTATTCGTTTGCCTATAGTCGGTCGTCTCTTGACATCAAGATTCGACATCTTTTTTCCATATCATTTCATTGTAAGTCGTATTTTTTCTTAAAACAACAATTTATTTTCAGAGAAAAGTGCCGTTTCCACCAGATGTAGCGAGTGATATTATTCAAGCAGCTTCTCAATGTATCCTCGAGTCTGGCGTCAATCCTGACCTATTGATAAAGTTCACGAATTTCGATGGAAAAAATGTTGCTGAAGATGAACAATTGAATAAATTCGCTTATTGCACTTTATTGAAAACCGGTTACGGGAAGAGGGACGGACGTCTAAAATTAGACAAAGCGATCGCAGTAATGCCCAATGATGTTGATATAGATACTGTTAAAAAGGTTATGGAGAAATGCAATGAAGAAACTGGAAAAGACGCTCCGCAAACAACATTCAGAGTATTCAAATGCTTATCTGAAAAATCTCCCGTACTAATGACAATGATATAATTAAAACATTAACAAAATAATGTAGTTTTATGGATAATGATGTATAGTGATCGTTCATATTTATAGGCTTCTTTTATAAGGAGCCATGCTTTAGTGATATAGTTGCCAGCGCTATTTGTTATATATTTACAAATAATTTGTTTATGTCAAATATATAGATATTTTTAATAACAAATGCTTTGATATTTTATTTCAATAAAAAGTATTGTAGAAAAAATCGCGCTTTTCAGATATGAAACTACAGTACTACATAAGTACCACCACACCACCACAACAGAACAGAATGTATTATTGATTGGAACTAATTTAAAAATTTGTTCCAATCTTTCTCTTTGTTAAATATTAATATAATATATGTTTATTATATATTATATTTTATTATTTATTAATATAAAAGATACGCAAGAGGCTGTGTAATTAATTTATGGGTACTTACATGCATTGTGCTTAAAGTATTAAAAAGTTTTTGATACTGATCATTACAGTATCAAAAATTTTTTACCTGAATATTTTGTATAGTTTTTATTATTGTATTTTTTTGTTGCATAAAGAAAACTAATATTAGAGATGACAAATTTAATATATTAGACTTAGTACCAAGTCTAATATAATAAATTATAATACTGACTGTAAGGTCAACTGTACTAATATTATAACATAATTAAATGGATAAACTGTCTCTATGTCTATACAAAGAAATTGGTTGATTGAATGGCACAATAAAAAATACAGAGTAGTCTGCGTGGTACCTAAATCTTATTTATTTTAGCCACAGAGTAAATTGCTTTGTAAGTCTTATTTCGGTTGTAGGTTACATTTAGGCAGGGAAATTACAAGATAGTATAGAAGTATATCATTTTAGTACTCTGGAATAGCAATGAATGGATGATATGACGGGTGTCACATGATAATGATGTTCATTTACCTACTCGTATAGAGGTGATGGCTACCGCTTCCCATCAGAGGGGCTATTAGCTAGTTTTCCAGTTTTATTACGTAAGAAAAGATAAGACAGTTGTACTATTATTTTATTTACTTACAGTTTTTAATATTTAGTCTATTCTATTTACTTCTTTCTATATTCTGTAACTTGTACTTATTATATGCCATGTGAATTATAAAAACATCGACATACATAGAATGACAATGTAATTACATATCTATTATTAAAAGCGTAATAAGAAAAGAGATAAAAGAAAATAATTGTTTGTTATAAAATAATTGTTTTCGTAAGCGTATTTACACGAAAGGAATTCTACGACACGGGCGCATCGACGGGGTATGAGTTATTTGAAATATATTACAATAATTTTACTGATACAAGTTGAATCACAGAGAATAAAAAAGGAAAAAAATGTTCCCAGTATCCTGTATTCTCTGTGGTCTTTGAAAGACTGAAGTAACGGGATGAACGAACTTGATATATGGGTTTTGCATATAATAAATTCTTGATCAAATATACTTACTATTATAAAACATCTATTGGAAATTTATATGTAAACAATTAAACTAAAATCGACTTCAATTTATTTTCGCGTCAATGCTATTGGTGTGAATGTTTCAGGTATTGTATAAATTGACAATGTTCCACAATGAATAGGTTGTACAACGCTGATCAAGTACGAAGAATAACTTTCTTCAGATTTTCAATCAGTATCAGTATTAAGTAATATAAAAATGTTCTTGTATTTTATTCAATTTTATTATTAACGGTGTTAACTGTTGGATATGCAGAAAAGGTAACGCAAATATTTTCATAACTTTCTTAGTCACAATATTAGTTTTAGAATTATTACATCTACCTGTCTTCTAATTAAAGCTAAGATAAATAAAGATGTAGAACTACAATTAATAACACTTGCAAATAAAAAATAAGTTAATAGGTTTCTACAAGAAGATAATATCCTCTCTCGAGTATTATGCTTACTAATATGTTTACTGAAGTAATAACAATAGTTTAATACTATAATAATATGTTTATTGAACTGTATATTTGTATTGTTCTTGTACTGAATTATAATGTTAATATATACTGATAGTACGTAGAAGATTGTCTATTTAGTTTCATGTAAAAGATCCCTATAATAAAAATAGAGTGGCATTACCTTTAAATACATGTTTCTGTTACAACTAGGTAGGTACTTACAACATTTTATTTTATTGTAACAATAATTTTCATAAATAGTATTATTAAAATTAAAATGACATCATTGCTGTGCCGTTATAACCTATAGATTATTTGGGATCGGCGCAGTATGTCTTGTTCTATAGGTCACTATCCGTCGTAGTATCTAAGCTTACTCTTCTTTTACACATATCATTTTTAACATAACTCATTCATATTTATTTGGTCGTTCGCTCAGTTTTCATGATACCACGTTCATATTAAATACTTTCATGAAGACGTGGTTTAGTAAGACATGGTCGTGGTGTAGGCATGTTATGCCATGTCTACGATTGATCATGGTATAACATGCCCATAACAAGTCAATATGTCACCTCGCAACTTGTAAGTGGCGCAACTTTTTTCAGAGACCTTTCCATATATCAACCGAATTCAGTGCTAAGATTAAAGAGAATTTTGGAAAATGTATAAGCGAGACAGGTGTAGATGCTTGCTAATAATGCTTTCACATTGGCAGATATAAAAGAAAGACGACTGAGCTCTGTAAAGGATTTCGACAAATTTATATACTGTGCTTTCATAAAAACAGATTACGCTGACAAAAATGGACGTATATTCGTGGAGAAAGTTATGTCTGTCTACCCAGAAAATGATAGGGACAATATGAAACGCATCGTAGAAAAATGCAGTAAGGAACGTGGACCAGATGCAGCTGGAAATGTTCTATCATTCTATTACTGTATTATAAAAAATAGTCCATTAAGAATGATATTCTAATATTCTTATATAATTATAATAATTATACTATAATATAAATATATAATTATAAATAAAAAATAAGTAAGACTGTAATGGTTAAATTAAATACATGAATATTTAATTCTTTACGAGTTACCATATAATATAAATATTTTATAGCAATCTGATTAATACCTGCTTGCTAATAAATATGTAGATAATATATTATAATGTAATTATTCAATAAATCAGAATTTTATTATAATATTGCATCTGTGAATAGGTACTGCAGATTGATTTCTCAGTACAGTGAACATATAATAAGTGAAATAATGTAACAAGTAATTAATATAGGTAATTTACAAAAACTGAATTGAAATATTTCTTGATGAATACATTTTAATTTATAGATTTTTAAGTATATATATAACTCTATCTTGTCATTAGCTTACATCTACATACATATACTTATAAAGTAGTTTATCAAGATATTTGACTATTCACGCATAATCAACACTGTTTTTTTTTATAAACGATATGCTGTGATTTTAAAATTCATGTCCATCCTTGTGACGTAATCTACCAGTATACTACTCTACTACTCTACTAGTGGTAGGTATCTACGAGATGCTTTAATTAAAAAATTCACAGAGTTTATAATTTTGGTAAACTATATAGGTACTGTAGGTATCTAGTTTCGAAACAATATAGTCAATAAAAAAAAAAATTACTTAAAAACTCATGACTAAAAAAATAATTGAGACCAAACAATAGAAGAATTTACAGTAACTTGCATTATGGAAAAAAAGAATAATCTATCGATGACCCGATACCGAACTACCCGATGACCCGCGCTACTTCGTTAGCGTCATATTTTCCCCGTATTTGCAATATTTTTCATTGCAGTTCCGCTCCTATTAATTGTAACCTGATATTATGTATATTATGCATGTGTACCTATTACATCTATAAATAACATGTATTTCTTGTGGTGCAAGAATTGTGTAAATAGTTTTAAATAGATCCAGAGATTACCCTCCTACAACGTCACAAACTTCATCTCTTTATTAATATTATGTAGTATAAATAACTACTAACGTAATAGTAACGAGCATGTCTGCGTCTATATACCTCATTGGTATTTACTTTCACAGTCTTAATGATTATTATATGTATCGTAATACTAATAAATGTCAACTGTATGTGCTAGTTGGTTTAAGTATACGTTGATAAAACAAGTCTATCATAACAATAAAACATACAGGATTAACAGTGCCCAGCAAAAGTTACCAATATGGCAGTAGAAGTAACTACTTGTTGTTTCAAACGCAAATCAGTAACAGTTGATTTCTTTATACCGGATATTTTCCTGTCTTCTTAAATCATTGTGGTGGCAAGGCTAGTATGGTTTGTAACCATATCATGAATATTTATTTCAGTGACATTGACATACATACTTTTATGTAAACAGGCACACGTTTTTCGTTTAAAATGTGATTGTCAATATATTAGACAATGTGACTAACATATTTTTAACAATTCTACATTAAAAAAAAACTATATTTACATTGTCTAACAACATATAAGAAAAGAATAATATCTACGTACTTTGAGTTTATTTGCTATCCTATTTTTATCTACCTAAAACAAAAAAAAAAATATTTATTTACTGGCGTAATGAGTACGAACCTATACTATTAATTATTTTCCTACCCTGATAACTATTAATTATTTTCGGTGGAAATAAAATAAATAAGTATAGTAGAGATGTAGTGTAGCACTATAATCTTGAGAGATTATTTTTAAATAGATTTAAGCTGTAAATACATATTAAAATAGTAATAATGGCATGTAAACTAAAAGTATTGTGGCTGTTTTGCTTTGTGCTTCGAAATATACATAACTTCACAGAAATATACATAAAACTACTCCTGGAAATCGTAGCAGTGGCCACACAACGAAGGCTGCGTAACCTTCTATGTTTCTGGGAAGAGCTTGAATTGTAGTAGTCTCGTATAGATTATGCACGATAGCCCAAATGAGACGATAAACGTGGAAATGGTAATAGAGTCCAAGATAAAATAGAAACATGTAAGTGGATTCGGTATATATTGTCCTGTCTGCTAAAGCAGCGCCACCTCGGCAGGTGTTCGGTCAAAGTAATCAGGAACACATTGAAATCCATACACAAATTAACCAATCAGTCCAGTCGAATTAAGGGTAGAGTTATACTCGTAGTTAGTTAGAATAGAGTTGGTTAAGGTGCTAGATGACAAACACACACACTGAAGAATTAATTATACAGATTAGTATTGTTAGTGTATCTAAAAGTGCAATAAGGAATATACATAAGATTATGCTATGTTGTTCAACAGAGGAACTCGGAACTAGCTGGTAGTTTAGCTATTATAAAGCTAACACAGTAATTACAACGTTGTAGTAAGATAATATTGGAACTATTATGGTACTTTTGCCTTGACTACTATATAACCAATTAACAGTAAAAACGATATCTGAATAGATGTATTTCACTTTAGTCTCTTACAATTTTTACAAGTAGTTTTGGGTTTTTATAATATTAAATTGAGTTTATACCGACCGAATGTGGACGGTGACGAAATGTTAGTTAAAATTTATACTAATATTATATATCCGAAAAGTTGTTTCTGTCTTCTGTCAGTTTGTTACCGTTTCACAACTAAACGGCACAATGGTTTTGAATGAAATATATATAACATGAACAGTGTATTACGAGCACAGCTAGTAATAAACAGTTAAGTCTTAATCATTACAATTAAAATATCCCCTTTTTATCTTTTTTTAACTGTATTAATGTGCTAAATTTATTAAAAGAAAGAGCTGTCGTGAGGTTGTGTGATGAAATATGATAATAATAAAATGACTTGTGTTGATGGCTTGTACAGCAGTAGGTAGGTATATATGTATTTCAATATAGCTATAACTTTCAAAATGAATATAGAATGTTAATTTTAAGATTTAATTAGTTGGATCGTTGAGACGCTAAGATCTTTCACAATAATAATATTAAGATAGAAATATATTTGTCCATGAAGCTTAGATTGTTTTTATGCTGTGAACTACCTAATAAGATAGCGCATTTTCCATGTAATCTACATGGAAAATGAGCTATCTTAGTAGTCATCCTTAAGAATGCAAGAAGAAACAAAAGACGAATATGAATCTTTATCATACGGTTTTTATACTATCTGTGACTGATACCATTTACACTGGGGATCGAGGAGGAATACATCAGAAATACTGCTACTATAATGTATATATGGGTAATGAAGTTGTTAGATCAAAACATTGTAATACAGAAACGGGTTTCTATTCAAGTTATCCTTTAAATAGTCTGATACAGTTGATATATAAGCGATAAGATTTTTAAAGGTGATCAATTCATGCTGTAGACTTGTAAAGATAAAGCCGACCTTAACTTTAACTGATAAGCGATTATTTAATAAAGATGGCGATTATGTTATATTTGTTATTGTTAATGACTTTGTTGAGTGCTGGATATGCGGAACAGGTATTTAAGAAATATTTATATTTTAAACTAGTTCCAAAAGCATACTTAATAAGAGCGCATTTTTTTAGAATTTAACATTCACACGTACAAGACTAGTATTACACAATTTTAGTACGAATGTAAATTTCAATTTTTGTCACAGTATTGATAACATTATCTATCCAGTGACATCTGTCAGCATTGATTAACCAGTCATGATGTTCACCCTTAAATTCTCCATGACTATAAGTTAGGTATAGGCATAAGACATTTGCATTAATACTGACTTAGTAAATAAATAATATAAAATAATTACTACTTAATTCCAGAGGACGGCTTCTTTACCGCCAGAAAAAAGGGGGCCACTTTTAGAAGTAATATCAAAGTGCTTTTCTGAAACCGGAATAAGTGCGGAAACTTTGATGAAATTAAAAGAGTCAAAGTTGAGTGACGATAAAAATTTTAATAAATTCTTATATTGTATTTTCATGAATACTGGTTACTCAGATAAGGATGGCGTTGTGAAAGCAGATAAAATAGTTACATTGTTTCCAGAAAGTGATAAAAAAGCTATAAACAAGGTTGTAGATGAGTGTAATAATTCTAAAGGTACGGATACAGCAGAGGTTCTTTTTGGATTTTATAAGTGTTTTATCAATAAATCTCCAGTAAGGGTGATACTGTAACACACGTTTTTTCTAGAGGATAGTTCCATAACTATTTATATTTAAACTAGGAGTATTAAATGTATATTCTGTAAAAAAGATAAGAACGACATTGTTTTTAGTAAAAGATGCAACAGCAGTTATACTTACACTTGTAATGTATTTATTATTAAAATATATTAATAATCAATTAAGGACTTTTAAAATATCCCGTTTAAATTCAATACAATTAGTAGAGTTGAAGTTACTGTAACTTTTAATATACAGACCTAAGAAAAAAACAAAATTATAAGGACGGAGAATAAGTCAAAGAGACGTCGAATAAATCGAATTTTTATCTAATGTTACTCCTTGTATTGTCAGCTGTTACTTATATCTCCTACGCATGTATTCAGATACGTAAGCTAAAAGGTATAGTCACAAGCAAGTCACCGTAAGTCCAAATAAAATAACTATTATAAATATAGTAACTAAATTTATTTCTAGGTAAGTAGTAAACTACAGATATAAATTAATTTGTACATTCTACATTGAATTATATAAATTTTCAATTTACCTATTTTTTTACCTACTTTTCTACTATATTAGGTGCATTGGCATATACTAAGCAATCTGTGCTGCTGAATGCCTTCTGCAGGATAACTTTTATGTCTGGTATACTTAAAATAGAAGAGATTATTGTTTTTGTATTAGAGTTAGTAATACTTAATATATGCTATAAAATCATGACTTTCCATTTAGTTGCATAAGAATTATATGCAGTTTCATCTTCAATCATAAATACTAGAAGTGATCCAAGTACAGTTACGAGTACATTTTATGGGTTATTATATAAAATGTATAATGTGATGAATTTCAGTCATTATCATAAATCGGTTTTCTCTGAGCTATAACTAGTTGCATTTTGATCAGATGTGAATACATCTTCTGGCATGGATATTACACTGTGTGATAATGATGTCGTATTGACTTCAGGAGGCGCCACAATTCTTATATCATGATTATCAATAATAACAATATTTACATCGTTATTACAATTCTCATCGTCGCCTCCATCGCTCTGAAAGTTCTTACTACTTCTCATGATATCACCAATAGTAGTAGTGCTGTTTGTATTTTCAGAGTTTCGTGACGTAACACAATGCTCACCATCACTACAATTCTGAATATCTTTTATACTATCTTCTGATTTGATAGAGCTACTTGAATCGTCAGTGTCAGATCCCGGTTCAATAGGTTCTTGTTGCAATTGTGTGTCGGAAACTGCATATTCAGACGAACTATAGCTATTTATGCTATTCCGAATGTCGAATTGATTTTTCTGTTCTATACGTTGGTAGTAGTCATGGCTTTTTTCCATCCTCACAGGGTTCAATTGTTCGTCGAGGGGGACGAAATAAGTTTTTATATAACCGGCTCCTTTTACTAACGTTTCCCCTCGATATGTCGTTAAAATACCACAATCTTCTAACAGTAATGCTGTATTTTCGGTAACCTGTTTTAGATAGATTAAAACTTAATAATTTGGATAAAAAATACATATATTGAATATTATGATAATTTTGATATTTATAAATAAACATCGAAGGAATAAATAAATACTAGGCCTAGGGTATTTATCCTTGTTTAGCAAATTTTCTTAGAATATTAGCCTATACCGTTATCCCACTTATAAATAAAATCTCAATTACATTGAATCTGGGATGAGCTATGAGTAATAATGCATTATATGTTAATAGCATTTTTGATATTCATAGTTTCGAATCGATTATTTATGATTTACTTTACTGGTATCCATTCCTGGAAATGGACGTGATATAAAGTATAAATTAACTGTTAATAACAGTAAAATAACGTACTTGTATTTTGCCCGTTTCTCCAGTGGAATCCATTCTAGATGCCATATTGACAGCATGACCCCATATATCGTACAATGGTTTAGAAGATCCTACTACACCTGCTGCTACTTCTCCATTGGAAATACCTTTAATTTTATTTAAGTGAAACTTGTTGAATGTGATATATAAGAAATAGAAAATGGCACAAAATATTTACTGGAACAATTAAATTTAAATTTCACCTAAATAATGCGTTCTGTATAAAATTATATATATAAACATACAGGATAAAACTTAAGGATTTAAATGCAATTCTTACCTATTCTCAAATTTAACCCTTCGAAACTTTGGAATGAACCACGATTAAAATCTTGCAGTTTTCTCATCATTGCAGCTGCAAATTCCAGCATGGTCATTACTATAGCACGATTATATACAGTGTTTTGGTTTTTAATATTAGAGTTAATTGATGTAGAGTCGAATGATTGTCTTTTGCTAGGTTCTAAACCACAAGCGGCCATGTAAGTCCATCCAGCCATTTTGATTTTTTCTACTTTGTAAGCCGATGATCCAGTCAGTAGTAACTGTAAATATTTTTGTAAATTAGTAAAAATTGAATTCTTAACTGCAATATTAAATGATTTTTTTTATAATTATCACACCGCCATCTACTTCCACCGTAAGCAGAGCCGCTAGACCAACGAGGCCGTCAATTAATGCGTTTTATTTAGAAATCTTGAACTTACCCTATCAAAATCTGATATAACACTATCCAGCATTCCCAGGACTGTTTTATCACTCAAATCAGCATCATCCTCTACTCCCAACTTGTAATCAGTGAGCGAAGCGAACATGACAGCTACATTATCATACTTTTCGTAATACAATTCGTCTATTGATCTATTCATATTTAAATAAACTTGTACTGAAAAATATTAGCATTTTATAATTTGTTGTTCTATCTATGATTTAAAATTTATCATGCAATATAATTTATGAATTATAATTTGAATAAAAATGATTATTTTGTCACTTACCAACATGTCCTGGTAGTATATTTTCTAAAAGCATGTTATTGACTTTCAACATTGTTTCCGCTTCTTGCTGCTCCTCGCCAAGTTGTACTTGCCATAAATAATCTAACCTGTTTCTAAATTCTGTCATTCTGTCCACCCAATACAGCGTTATAGTGATAAATACAACAGACAATGTATGTGAGAGTCGAGGATCAAGTCCCACGTTCCATGAGACATCTGTAGCAAATAGATCTGTTCTCATTCCCCACACCATCCACAAGTAGAATGTTGTCATACCGCCGGCGACAATCCATTTAAAGATGAAAAACACTCTGCTAAATAAAAAGTTCAGCAATAGTGCCAATCCCCAGCACTGGGTCACGTGCTAAAAAAGATATTTGAATGTGCTAAAAATATATTTTTCATTACAACGAAATAGTTACAACTATTTCGTTGTAATGAAAAATATTTTTTGTAATATTGTAATAATACCTATTGTATTATTACAATTACAACTATTTTATTGTAATGAAAAATATTTTAATGCAATAAATTATTGAATCTCGTCTTTTAAGCAAAGTTAGATATAGTGATGTGTTGTAGGTGTTATGTAGAAGATCAAATATAATAGTGAGATGTCCAAGAAATTAAAGAAATTAAACTCATAATGCGTCATTATTTTAATGTTAATAAAGAGTAGTTACAAAAATAATAATATACATAGACAATTTATGTACTAGTGCGATACACTATCAAAAATGCAAAATTAAATGTTTCATATTAGATTAATTAATATATAAATAACTTTTATCACAGTGTTTGTAACAAAATTCATCCGGCTTGATCTTTATAAAAAAAATTGTGTATATTTTGTAGATCGCAGGCTATTTTTAATACACCTAGGTGATAAGGATGGACAGAGAATCAATAAATAATTTATATGGCAAAAGAACGTTTGTCGAGTTAGATAGTGTTTTTATAAAAAAATGAAGTAAAGTATGATATATTACCCAAGTGGAAACGCAGTTTGACAGCACAGTTAGCACTGAAGGCTCAACCTCTACTTCGGTGCACCCCAGAACATTAACGATCGACATCGCAGCAAGTCCTACACTGATGATTATATACATTGCTGTTCTTATTTTAGCAGATTTTACTATATCCACCGACATATCGTAAATAGTACGTACATATGTATTTTTTGGTTCGTCTATGCCGTTATAGTTCGACCACACAAAATGAAACCAAGTTAGGGGCTGTATGGCAATCAACATTAGTATTAGTAATCCAAAAAGACTCCAAACATACCAGTGGTAGCCATAGAACCTGAAAAACCATTTTATTTAACAAAGATGTTAAATTTCACGCTTTTTCTTATACTTGAAGAAGATGTAATATTATTATAAAGTAATGAAATATGTATTAATTAAAAATATCGTATATCATCCATTATTTAATATCAAGAAAACATTCTCAACGTTATGTGAGTACCTAATACACTATTAATTAGAAATAATGATATATTTTAACAGATTACGATATCAATAAATTAGAGAGCCAATAAACTGCAAACAATACAATAATATTTTCTTACCATTTAGTAGTTAATCCATTGATTAAAAATATTAATAAAAGAATGAGGAGACAGCATGCTATATAGTATTTGAACAGAGGATCTGCTTGCAGTAGAAAAGATTTCTCCATTTCAAAATTTTTGAACATCATTGTTATTCTGTTAAGCCTGGATTCGTTTGTTATTTGATTTCTAAAAAAAATATATAATTCACAACCTTGTTCAATGCAACACATGTACATATGTATAATATCTATGTATTGAAAAGAATAGATTAATAAATGTTTTTCAACATTTTTAATATATCAGATTGAGTAAAAACAATACATACATCATGACTAGGGCCCTCAATGAAAATTGATAAATACATGGCGAAATTAGGCCTTAGCTTAACAAACAATCTGCAAATTTTTCCAAGCAGAAAAGGAGACGCACCGGCCGCTCACGGGCCTATGGAGTGAATTTTGAAAAAGGGCGAGCACAATAGATCTGTGCAGGTCTTAGCATATGACAATAGTCCAAAACCCTCAATAAAAAAATATACTAGAGATATTTGATAATTATAATAATGAGAACAATTTTTACAGCGCTGTCTAGTCTCAAAGTAAATGACTGGTGTATAGATATTATTGATCATCATAGAAATTTTACCAAGATAAATACAAGCATCTTAACTCATGTAAACATAAATATATTTGTACAGTGCGAGAATGGAATCCACGATCAACGAAAGCGGTGTACTAAAGACAAAACTATCGAGAGTGTTTTTTAAACAAAAAATTAAGTATTAAGTTTGTTTTACTTACTTTCCATTTGTCATATCTTCAATTTCTTTCTCCATTTGGGCGTCCGCTGCCTTTAGCATCTGCTGATATTCTACCAAGTTTTCATCAATGAACGATGTAGTGCGCCTGGCGTTTAGATTTCTTCTTTCCGATAGCTACTGAAATACCAGACAGTATGGAAAAGTATTGCGTGATATAAGACTTCTAAAATATAAAAAATTAATGATACAAGAATAATGACTTACTCTCGACGTTGTTTTTATAATAATTTTGTTCAAACCGACTGACGGTCTACGAAAAGTGGTTTTGGACTCGATAGGCTGAAAAAAATATTACGAGAATATATTTTAACCACTTGTTTAGCAAATTTATCAGATATAAATCATACATTACTATAAATCTATATAACTGATTAAAAACAATATATTAATTGAAATTTGCATTTATATCAATTAATTAATTACCATTAGCCGTCTTGACAGTAAATACGTCTCCAGTTTATTTTTGGATATGAATAAATCATTTTCACACGCAGAATTACGTTCAATTACGTATTCATTATCAACGCTCTGCAGCAGTTCTAGAGTCTGTTTAGTTACATGCACTTTCCTATAATTAAAATTAATATACTTAGTTTTTTTCATAATAATATTTTTATTATTACTGTAAGTGTAAGCTACAAACATGTTTTCAAAACAAGTTCTTAATAGATCTTATGTTGTGGGAATTAACTTCTCTTTTTTATATTTTACAGGAAGAAATGAAAGTGAATGGCAAAAGATTTGATGCAAGTGTACATGAACAGCACGACGGACATTACAACGTTATGTGACGGCTGTTGTACCTTATGTGTTTTCTGGAGAGCTAAATCTGCCTCCGTACTCTGCAATTTCTCTGGCATGTTTCACCATCCAACCGAATCACTGCATTTAAAGCAAACTATTTGAAGGCTGAAATAGGTGAGACAAAGATACATCTAGTAAGAAACTAGATACATCTAGTAAAGAGACTAGATACGTCAAGTAAGGTATAAAAATGTTTCATTTGAAGTATGAGCAGCATCGAGACGTCAGCATGAGTATTATGATTTTTTGTCGAAAATGTGTTTAAATACCCAGCTTGTCCTGTCGATTCCATTTTGCTAGCTATGGTAGCATCTTTAGACCAAATATCATATTGCCATTTTCTGATCCCAATTAAACCACTGAGAATCCTTCCTGAATGTACGCCTATCCGCATATCAATGTTTAACGCTCGTTTTTCTCTGAAAGTCAATAAATAATCAGTGTATTACGATTATTTTATTTATTTATTCTTTGCACACGAAATTGTAATCATGGCGGAGTTAATGCCTGACGTCATTGTCTACCAGTCAAACGTCGCACCGCCCGGTTGACTGGTAAATAGTTTACCCCTCAAACTACGTTTTTGTTCATAATACAATATTGGTGGACTAACCACCAAAATTTATACAAAAACAAAATAAGTCACAGAAATTTCCCAATTTCTCGTTATTAAAAGACTAAGACTATAATGTTTTCGTATATATAAATTACTGTCCATTAATTGAATAATTTATGTACAAAAAAATTAATACAATATTTTATTTATTGCTAAAATATTATTATTCTTCTTTATAAGACTGTAATGGTAACTGATTTCATAATGGTATCCATCGCCTATTAACATAGACAACATTATGGACAACATAAAGTTTTAATATTCGTGGTGAAGATTATACGTTGTCATTTCCGATCACTATGAATAAAGCCTTAATATGTCTATGGTAGTTTTCAAGAATAATATAGGTATCCATAAACTATGGTTTATTAGATGTTAACTATTAGATGGGCCTTATGCATTATTGCCACTAACGTGGTAAAAATACCGATGATTTCCCTATTCACTACGATTTCTAAAAATTTAATATAACTTATCTATTTTGTATTAGAAATAAATGAGACAGAGGTACTCAATTACACGGCTTAGCAGATAGTTCCCCACAGGGAGTCCCCATATCTAATCGGAAGTTGTACTATAAAAGGAAATAAATTTTAAACTATATCAACCAAAACATCCGTTGGATAATGGATTAAAGGTATGATAATCTTACAATGTAATCGTTATCAATGGATTAGTAAAAACATTTTTACTATTCAAAATAATACCTTACGTCCTTGATGATATGAATCATGTCCAGTCCTAGGTCGACGCAGTTCTTTGCGTGTTGTGCACTAGGTTTGGGTATGCCACTAACGCAGTAATAACAGTCGCCAAGAAACTTTATTCGAAGAACATCATGTTCCTGTGAGCAGAAAATTAGATTATTTTATATTTTATTAATAGAACATTTATAAAGAACTAAAATAGTTCAATCGAATGATGTTAGTCTAAAAATTTTCATTGGCTCTGAATTCCCCACCTAGAATCACAGACTTGACGCTATATTATTTTATTTATTTTCATTATTATTAATTAATATTAAATTGAACTTTGGAATAATAACAGAATTATTTGATAATTCTGTAATAGAGCACCAAAATAGGATTAAATAATAATAATATAGTGCACATAAGAAATAATAAATACAAATTACACACCTCAGAAGCTTCATCAAATCTCCCAAACAGTTCATTCAGTAGTTCAACCATTCTCATTGCAGACAACGTTGTTGAAATTCTGGTATAGTTGACGACATCTGCATATAATATACTGACATTATCATGTTCCTCTACATATCTATCACTAAAAAAATAAAAAAAAGATATGAACAGAAAATTCTAAACCCATAATTAGTTAAATATGAACATAACTGTTTCAAGATATGTAGCTACATCTAATCTTGAAATAGTTAAATTAGACAATAATACATATCTAATGTTATATATCTTGAACAATTTGTTCTTATTATTTATATTATTGTCTACATAAAAGCAAATTTTATATCGCTATCAATAATTGAAAGGGGAATTAGATCAATCAGTTGAATCCATTATAATATTATACTCGCAAAATCGATTTCATAATTCATCATCTATTGACGATTTCTATAATTAAAGGACAACAACAAATAAAGCATCTATACAATGTCATCTATTATTTCATTCTATATTATGGCACTACATTTTATTTTATGGCAGATCTTAGGATCTGCCTTAAAATAGAATAAAGACTATTCCTTTCCTGTATTATATCAAATTTCTTTACCCTACATGTTAATTCAAACATAACAAACCATTGTGTGAAAATTTCATTCTATTTTCTCCACCCGTTTTTACATGCAACCTTACAACACAAACAGATAGTTTTTGCCTAATCACAATTTTTATATAAAAATAGCAACTACTAATAAACTATTAAATAACCTTAATAAGAAATAACATAAAAATAAATTACTCACTTGAACGATTTGATATTATGAACGAGATCGTGTGACTGTAAACTCAGGTATATTGACCTGATGTCGTGCCGAACTTTAGAAACAATATGCTCCGGTAATATACTCAACATGAGGCGTTCCTGAAGTAAATGTAAGTGAAACTATTAATAGAGATATATTAAATAACTACATATTATTATACAAAATAAAATTAAGAATTTCAATACTGTAAAGCTGATTTAGATCAGTCAGGTGAAATACGAAAACACAAATATTGATTTTTTTGTATTCTTTATAGTGAGACCAGACATGCTGTTTGTCTTTTTATTAAGTGCCAAAACTTATTTTTAAGTAACTTTCAAGGAGTCATCTTCTCTCAGAATACTTATCAGCTATATATTTTATCGTGATGTATTTTTAATATAGGATTTACTTGTCACAATTAATTCAAATTCAAAAGAGCCGTTTATGAACGTAATTTTTATTATATCAGGTATATTTTTTTTTATACTACGATAGTGGCAATCAAGCATAATTTTTCTATAGACCCAATTGAAAATAACTGGCAAGAAACTTAGTTGAATTACTTTTTATTAATTGATACAGTATGATAGGATAATATGTAATTTCCATGGTTGTGAAATAGTTGTAGTGTATAGTTTTTTAGTACATTTAGATACATATGGCGTAGTTAAATTTGTAGTACATACAATATTAAATCATTAAAAGAATTTAATATTTACTGACGATACAATTTAGTACTTTTAAAAGGATTTAAATACTTGATAACTACATACCTCTTGTGACTTTACGAATTTGAGCCGCCAAGTACTTTCGACGCATGCTTGTCTATCGAGAAAGGATCTTCTTGTTACTATTTCATTCATTAGTCTGAAGTATGTACCCATTAAATTAACGCCTATCATGTAGATTACATCTGATGTGATCTGTTGGAGAAGAATAAATAAAATAAGTAAGTGTAAATGTAAAATACATTACATATTTTCGTTAAAACAGAGGTTGTACTGTGACATCAATATTACTCATGGTTTGGGACTCTCATTGAGTATTTTGTTTAATATTTCAGGTTATTTTTTTTACTTTAGAAACACAAATGGTATCTGTTTTGTATTGTTCATTTTCATATCCTCTCATACCAAACAGAAAAAGCTACCTATATCCAAATACCTCTTAAATCTATTTCAGGCATGGCAAATAGGCTAACGGTCGACTCGGTGATGAGGTTTGTCATGCCCGTGTTACCACGCATGCGTTACCATTGCGGAAGATTAAGATGTATGATATATCTCTTATACTGTAATTTCACTGCCTTATGCACACTTCAACGGAAATACAGTTTATATTTTGGCGACAGTAATGAGTGAGATTGAGGTACTCACGCAACACGCACAAAATCTGTTTTGGTAAAAATAAATATTTATATTTGCTTGCATTAAATATTAATTATCTTATGATAAATAACTTATGTCAGTTATGTTTAGGGATGAGTTTAATTGTATTAGAGTATAATTTGTTATCTTTTTAAACAAAACAGAACAACAATATGTATGGTTTAAAAAAATATTTTGATTATATTTAATATGTATTAATAGATGTATAAATTATCTAATGTTACGTTTTATTTTATATCTTATCTTCGTAAAAAAACTTATTTGCTCTATCTGTATTCATGAACTTGTATGAAAGCTGATTGATTTATAGATAATAATTTACCTGATGATCATACGTCAATCTATAAATAAAAATTATACAAGATAATTTGAAATCTTATATTTTCTTGTCAAAGTGCTAAGTATTTAGGCTGCAACTAAGTGCTCAGTTTACGAATATACCCGGAAAGCTGCAGTCCGCGACGAATGGCGTCGTATTACTAAAAACCTAACACATCGTGATTCAAAATGTTGACCACTACCACTCTGACAAGAGTGTACCGATTAAGAAAAAGACATTTGTATTTGCAAAATTAAAAAAAGAATAACAAAATGTCTACTGTAAAGTTTAATTACATAAGAAACGGAAAGTAGATAATATAAATAAAAATTTATTATACAGGCAAAATTAAAGGGATATAGTTATTATCAAATTAAATATATTGAAGTTATTCTTGCAATTTCATATATCTTATCTGAATATATAATAAAATCCTTGACAGTACTATTATTACATTAACAATACATCACAATTAACGGCGTAAAAAATAATAATTTATCGTATTTGAGGGATTTCAACTGTCAAATATTCAAATGAATTGTATGTGCATACTTTACTTAATATCAGTTTATTTTTTATATAGTTTACGTAAGTAGTCTGTTGTCGAAATATTTTCAATGGTATACTGAAAGCAAGATCTATTTGATGACTAATGAAATCTATAAAAATATTTGATCTTTTATTAATCTCCAATAAAGGTAAAACTTTGAAAACTTTTGCTAGAAGGTTACTATAATACATAGAGCAATTGACAAATAACATTAGCGTATGATAATGACGGATTTTCCACATGATAAAAAAGGTATCAGGCTTGTCGTATCATTAAAGGTATTTCAAAGAATATATTTGTAATTCTATAATATTTTGAGCAGTTATGCTTTGAGTATCAAGTATAATACATTAACTATAAAACTGGCTTGCCTACGCACGTGTAGCAGAACTTTACATAAATATTAAAATCTTCATAGGGAATTCTGTTATTTAAGAAAATTCATTCAGTAGTTTATCAAATTATGACTAACATGGGTAAACAGACGCAGTTGGGACCTTGATTTATAATATGTATGATTATCTTACCACAACACCGATCTGAGGATTGTCAGAGTACGTGAAGAAAGCGTAGATTAGGACATATACTGTGCTAACTACCACCCCTAAAATGATGACTAGATAATTATTCCTCAAAGGCAGGAATACATATATAGATAATAGAGCCATAGTAGAGTACGCTGGCCGTAATGCGATGCCTTCTGACATGCTGTGTATTGGTACGGCGATATCTAGAAAAATAAGACAGTGAAATTATATCCAACTAGCCATTTGCCACGGGTTTAACTGTTCGAAATAGCTAGACGCATTTTCAAATACATGCTTAAGTAATATAAGTTTCTGCTTTTACTCTTAGTAATTTTGGCTACTACTTTACAAATCAATAAGATATGAGATTTAATTTTCATATTAGATAATCAGATATTCTAAGGCTATCTATCTAACTAATGCCTACCTCAAATGGCTTGATTTGTAAATTTACAAATCAAGCCATATGAGGGCATCATAAAAATAAATGAGAAGAAGAAGAAGAGAAGTAGCTCCGTAGACGAACTTAAACAAGTCTTCTTAGGTAGAATTTACATTTGAATAAAATATAATTTATTTTTTAATAGAGCTAAATTAAAGTTAGTCTATTAACAAAGTTATAATTATGTATATAAGAGATAAGTAAATAAGTAATACATAAACATACCAGTAACAACAAGGTCTACAATAATAATAAACGTCACGACGATGGGCATCCAGAACCATTTTTTCCGGTTAGGGTCGTAGAAACATTTCCACAGAGATAATACTGGTATAGTGATTCTTAAAACATACATGCCCATCGATAAGTAGGTCGATTGTGATTGAATATCCTGAAATAAGAATATTGTAATACAACAACATGCAAGTTATAGAAAACAAAATGTAAAAACTAAATCTGACTGATATAGGTTACATAATAATGACGAATTAGAACTTTGTTATTAATTAATTAATTATATAATAGTAAGTAAAATGAGCACGTAAACAAAAATACTATTTGAAATTCTATTATATGAGCTGTGCTATTAGTATTCTTTCTTCCTTATAATTTCAGTTTGAAATTAAAACTTATAATTGAATTGCAAACTACAAACTTCCGTGGTTTTCAGTTCGTGTGCAATTTTTAATGTCTGGAATAGTGACTGGTAGCAAACATTAAAGAAAATTGTGATATAAAAAATATTAAATATGGAAACCTTTTAGAATTCATGTTAATAACGGATCTCTACAAATTAGGTATCTTTACATGAACGACCAGGAAGCAGTCATCTCGTTATATACGCCCTTTCTTACCTTACATCTTTCACACAGTCCATCTATCTCTTTTTCCCGAACACCTTCGTTGAACTCGTATCATTCCTACGCATTACATGTCCATACTACAAGAGACGATTACTTTTCAACCTCTCCGACACCGGCGCCACTTTCATACTTCCTCTAATGTACTCATTCTTTATTTTATCTATTCTTGTCACACCACACATCCATCTCAATATTCGTATTTGAGAAACAAATGAACAAACAAATGAACGCAATGTTATCTATTAATGCTAAATTCACCTATATGTTACTGTATGGATTATAATTAATATTAACTGGATAATTAAATAAAAATGTACCTATCTTTAGATAGTACGGTTTATTACTCCTATTATTATTATCTATAAAAATATTTCTTGACTCATTGAAATATTTAGTTTTCTTATCATTTGCTTATTTATTTGAACTATGATTTAATAATAGAAACTCATATTTTATTTGGTATTACAAACTAAATAAGCCGCTAGTGTTTCGTAATCTTAAAGATATAAATTTGGTATTATGTTATAACTTGTTTATTATAACAAGAACTCCTTTTTTTTAAGACTGACTACATTAACATAGTTTTTAAAATGAACTAAAATGGAAATGAGTTATCCAGTAACAAGAAAAAAAAATGTGAAAAAGAATATTACATAAAAAAATTCGTCTTACCTCTGAATATGTACTGACGATAACTAGAATAATATGTACAGTTGAGAAAGTTAGCAATAGAGCTATATAAACATAAATAAGTGATTCTCTTAATTTGTCATCATATTTTCTGTATAATCTTTCTAACCCTTTCTGAAAGAACTGATCCTGCAACAAATATATATATATATATATATATAAAGGTAATGACTTGAGTATATTGTGTGCATGCTTTCGAATTCACCTTATAAGCCTAATTTACTATAAAACTGATAGAATTTAGACGTTAATTCTACAAGAAACTTTTGCCATAAATCTCACCAGACTTAAGGATTGTGCAAACTACAATTGACATATAAAATAATAAAAATAATTGCATGCCGCCGTCAGGACTTGTAGAAAAAATAAAATATTTCGCTGTGAAATAATAGTTTTGATCCACTTGCGAAAGCAAAAATTGAATGTACACAGTCTGTGTAGACTTAAATTCTAGATAGGGTTTATACTATATCTTGTAAATGTAATAGGACATATTATATTTTATGGGAGTTTATTATTTTAGAATAATTAAAAATTATTAATTGTAATTTACAATATCTGGAATAAATTATAAACAAACAGTAATTTGTATGTATATTATTATTAGTATTATTTGAAAATTCCAAAACATATTTATACATATCAAATGTCTTACATAACAATGTATTCGGTGACGATAACAGATAATAAACATAATTATAAAGCGAATCAAAATGGTACTACCCTATACGACAAAAGATTATAGATATACATTTATATGTATCATTCAATAAAGAATGCGTATCATTATTTACTCATTTCACTTAACCTTATCACTTAATAACTATGAATGATACATATATAGTATATACACTGAAATGAATTGCTACATTATATTATATATTTATTAATTATCTAGTTTTTTATTTATATATACATATGATCATTTGAAAATAATTGATTATCAAAATGTTCGTTATTTAATAAGCTTCAGATTTAGCTTTTGTTATATATATATTTTTTTAGTGTATATTTTAGACTATTTAATTTTTCTGAAATAATAATTGAAATGTTTTATTATTGTACTTCTAATAAATGGTTAACAGGGTAACAATAAATTACGTCATTTTACATATTCTGTAACTGAATCTATATAAACAACTCTTTTCTAATTGTAGAGGTTCAACCTCAGTTTATACCATGCTATTATTGTTAGGATTAGTGTACATCGAATACTGGGAAATCTTTAATTAAATTTGGAGGGTCAAAGAAATCCATTAATGTCTATTTATTTAATCTACTACTGATGAATGGGAACTTGTGTGATGCTCTTTTAAATAATTGTTAACTAAAAGTTAACTTTGCATTTTTAAGTTAAAATGTGCGAATAAAGTTAAGTTTAATCATGACACAAAAACTAAACTATATAATAATATTAAAAAGTATAAATGTATTATACTTTCTATGTTTCTCGATATAAGGAAACATATCGAGAAATATAAAAAGCAAAATTTTATAACATGAAAACTAACCCGCAAATACTGCAAATTCCATTGTCTACCACCAGTCAGCTCCTTTTCTTTCATCCTAAATTCGACCATAGATGATGACACGCTGGTTGCTCTAGCTGTATTCATCGAATACCTGGTGAGCAGTTCTAAGCCAGCAACTTGCTGCGGTACAAACCCCGTTGTCCGAGAAAGGTTTTGTTCATCCTGCGTAATAATATGTAATACGTTATGTATTTGTTATTTTATAATTAAAGAGACAGAGACGAACTTCTTAGTAATCTAGGGATTTGCATGGAAATTAATGTCGAGAAGGTACTGAGATTTGTAACACTGATGTGCATGTCTGAGGGGCCGCTTGTCCAACTATTTGAATAATGCAAGATGCATTCATATACATATAACACGTTCAAGTATAGAACTCATTGCCGTTCTGTTAAAGCCAAGGTCTTTCAACATGTTATAAATAATTGTTACTCATATTTCATAGTAAAAAAATCTAGTTGTTCTATTTTTTTGGTGCTAATAAAATTATTATAGATAAATAAATAACGGGTAATAAAAATAATTTGATACGACAAATAGATTAGGAAAAGAACCATTGAATACGTGTGTGATTAGAAACTAAATATTTCTGAATGTAAACAAAAGTTTTATTGTAATATACAATAAACTAATATAATATTATTATATAGGTTATATTATTATTATAATATACAATGGAAAGTAGAAACCAATGGTGGTAGACAGAAATAAGAAGTAGAAACTGATGTATCTAATATCTCTAAGAAAGTATGCTCCAAATAGCAGATCGTAATTTAAAATCCTCGAATATAAATATTATATTATAAACGATCCAAGAAATATCATCAAACAGTACATCTCCGTTTTCGATTAAATTACGATAAATGAATTAAATTATTATACGTGTTATAGGATTATACGTATACAGAATTGTGTAAAAGTTGATTTAATTACTTATGATAAGAGATCTGTCCACAACGTAGAATATTAATATATGTTATTATCTTGACAATGTTCTGGATTGTTTTGTACTCACACTTCAAATAGTTCAGCACTTAACATGGTCTAATAGTATCAATCGTATATCTTTCTATGAAATACACAACATATATAATATTATTGTGTAATAATGTCATATAATTCAAATATATGTTTTAAATTAATAAGCAGTATACAAATTATCGTTATGAAGTGCTTAATCATTCTTAATTTGCTTAATTCCGCCATTGTGAGTGCGTTACTATAGCACGTGTATCACACATTTCGCTCGAGTTATCATTATCAATTATATCAGGCTAAATTATCAAAAAAAATTGTACTATTTCTGTTCCCACTAAATACTCTGGTATGAGGTGAACTTGGTATTCACTGCTCTGTATTTATACACTACTAGGTTTACAGTACTAGATTATATAGCTCATAGCCCTTTGTCATTTGACAGCAACTATGGGCGAGTTTTAGATTCAAAAGTGAAACTATTCCATTTTTTGAGCACGTATTTCCTACATAGTAAGAGTTTCGTGGTCTAGTAGTTACTTACACTTAAGCGTCGTGAGATCGAATTATGTAGTTACTACAAACTTTTTGTTTAATAAATTATATTTTAAACAAAAAGTTCGTAAACGGCAAACTTGATAGGTTGGATTGAAATAATAATAAATAATTTAACACAACGCATTATATAAATATAATAAATTATTTATTAAACAAAAATTTTGTAAACGGCAAACTCCTCTCTTGATAAGTTGGATTAAAATAATAATAATAACAAGTTTATTGTGCATGAAACAGTTACAAAACGGACTTAACTAAGTTTCTATACAAATATACCAATCGCAATGTGGGCAATATTAAGCGTTGTGTTCATCATGATAACAATGCCCTAACTACTCCATCTGGGATAACAGTCCTAATAGTATATGATTATTAAAATGTTGAATTTAAACCTATCAAATATTCAAATTGATTATGTTATCCCTTAAACGCATAACAACAAGAACTATTCGCACCAAGCCCAAATTAAAGTCTCAAGAATTCCAATAATTCATTTTTGTTATATTTGAAATGATGAAAAAGTTGACAGTCTATCTGATGGTAAATAGTAATAGTCGTCTGTACACATGAAAAGCACTACATCGTTCGCTTCTGTGATACCACGTGCATAGTCATGTCTTGATATATTGTAGAACTAATTATATCTCTACGTGGTGTCACATGATGTAGTGCTATATGTATTTATATAAACCCTTCAATCAAAACAATCCTAATTGAGTCGACAATCATAGCTGCTTGTTGACTCAATTAGGTAGACAGGCTCACGCTCACGCTACAACTTTTTACAACTCCTACCGTGGTAAAGAACAAGGTGAATTGCTGGTTATATTATTATCTGCTATGCAACCGATGCAATCCAACCAGGCTGATAACCATTTGAGTAACAATTAAGACAATAATATGTTAGAAAATAGCTAAATTGTTACTCAATACTTTCTGAAATACTAATCCACAACATACACATCCTATTGTCCTGATACTACCAATATGTTTTTCCTATACGACAGATGATGGTTAGTTGATAAAAAGTCTACATGATGTCAGAAAATCCAAATACAATACATACAATACGGACAAAACACACTGAGACCCTTGTGGTATAAATAATTTTAATTTCTGTTTATGTATATATCTCAAGGTTTGGTTTTGCCTCTATATGGTGTAGAAAGTAAGGAACATAAACTGTTAATTACTATATTAATCAACGCTTTGTCTTTTCTATATGTAATAAAAGCAGAAGTAGATGTAATTTCTTATTTACAGATATACTATTGAGAGATAATTGTACTCACCATTTTTGTCAGGTATATTTTATCATTACGATCACTGAAACACTAAAAACAAATAAACTAAACAACAGACAGTCCCTTTTTCAACAATCACTATATGTTACTGAACTAAGTCCATTATATTATTCGAATGATTAATATTGATAAGCTGTAGGTACTGAGCGGAAACAGATATACGTCGATTATGTTTGTGATAACCGAATTAATTTCAATCAGCCATTGATGAATCGCTTACATGTTGATTAGCTGACTACAGACTAAACACTTAATTTCTTTTGAAATGTAGAGGAAAATGAGAATTATCCTATCTCTGTTTACCAAAAAACTATCTTTATTCCAGTAGAAAAATATTCTTATTTTCAATAATCTAATATCGTGGTGTGTTACTTGCACAATAATTTTGTTATGGCCTTTCTAGCGAGCACTGGATGTAACTGCTAACAATTATGAAGTTGGCACGTTTGAAATTGCCCAGTAACTAAATATAGCTCTAAATAGTGACATAAACAAAGTTGAAATCTATATATATATTTTAGTATATTTAGTTTCTAAGGGTTGAAATGTCTATTGCTTGCTTTATATTAATTACTAGCTAATTAATATAAAGCAAGCATAAGCTAACAATAAGGAACAGTAGTAATTATTAGTCTCAGTTTCAACCAACTTTAAAAAGTGTAGTACCTTCTCAATATTAGCGTTTTAAATGTGTCTCGTTATATAGAATTTATTTCAGTGTTTTAGATTTAACTGGTTTTGAACGGATTTAACAAAAAATTTTTAGAATAAAACTATACTACATATATTTTTATTTTTAATATCTTTTGCGACAATTGTAAATCATGAAACAAAAACATAGAACTTATTATGTTTTTGTTATACTATTAACTATATATATATATAGTTTATTAACTTTCTATTTAATAGTAGAAAAGGAACTGAATTTCAAAATGTATACTAATATGTTACATATGCTATATGATAGAGTGATCTTAATAAGAAATTGTGGGGTGAGATGGCCACCTATTACGTAATGAATTATGTACGTAGGTATTTGCAGTAGGCGTATCAAGATGTTATCTATAAAAAACATTTGTATAACATGTTTCGTTTGTATTTTAATTACAACATAATCAGTACATTAATAGATACATCAAATACAAGTGATTTATTCATGTTATAGGTATAGAATAAGAATAGGAAGTAGAATAAAAAAATTGGTTATTTTGTTAATTTTTTTTTATTTATTTTATAACTGCAATGGCAAAGAACCTAATGGCACTTCTGATAGAAAATGGTAACCATCAGGGCGATACCAAAGAGATCTCCGTGGTATCATGAATTGTCATACCAGAAAACATATGGTAGGAATTATACTTTTATACTCGGACATTACAATACAGTATTCTGTATTCCTATATTTCAATTAGAAATATAATATTCTAAGTATATGTATATGATATTAGTTTTTAAATATTTTTCTGTTAGTCTAATTATATGTTTATTATGTGTTCAATTTCTGTATTTTCATGGATATAATTTTAAGTATAATAAAATTTACCTATTAACAATTACAATTTATTAACAATATAGACGTCTATTGTTAAATTTTTGATCGTCACAGTACCCGTGAGAATGAAAAACATGTTCGTTTCACAAATTATAACGCACTTACTAATTGACTGTGAAGCTCATTTGTTCGCTTTGACGAAACTAGTAAAATTCTCGTATTGAGTAGTACAAGCCAAATAGATTTTGAACCATTTATAAAAAATATCTAATAAACAGAGTTACAACTCTGTTCGATTATTATATACTACTAGTATATAAATAATATAAGAATGATCGAATTACTCGTCATTTGTAGGTACTTATATTGCTTTACCAGATTCACACGAATGATGTTCAGATATCGCTTTTGATGTTTGTTATAATTGAATAAAGGAAAAGGTATTAGTAAATATTTTTGACCATTTTTAGACTTTTGTTTATTTTTTACGTAATTACGTAATATACAGATATTCGTCAATTGTATAGTCATAATAACATATTGATTTACGTATATATATATATATATAATGACACCTCAGGATCGAGAGACATGAGTATGCCAGTACATACAGTTTCTATGCTTAACAACCAATGACTATAATACTACACGACGCTGTTAGCTGTGTAAATGTAAAATAAAATGTAACGTTAAACTACTGTTTTGATGTAATTGTACCTACTGAATTGGTAGAGAACAAAGTGTAGTAAAGGTAGTTCATTCATAGTTCTTAAATTATTATCGGAATTGCTGTCAGCTGCTAAATGCACAATACCATATAGAACTAGAGTCACTTTCATGAGCTGGTAGACACTATTACAGTTCTATTGTGTGTTCGAAGTTAATTTTTACACCAGCTTAATTATTCTTCTGAGAAAAGAAAAGTAAATTTACTTTATTGATTTTTTTGTGTACTCTTAGAATACACAAAATGTTAATTTTATGTTATATAATAGTATCTACATATAGGTACAATAGGTATTGTACAAGTTTTTTATTTCAAATTGGTTCAATTTAGTAAACAATTTCAATATTAATAGCACAGCGCCATCTTACGAAGAAATGTGAATTCACATAGCATATGATACCTGCTAAGTTGTTTATACCTTTAGATATGAGAGTGATTAATTTTAGTTTTGTGTACTTACAATAGAGGGAAGGATAAGAGTAGTATAATAAAAATTACTTTTGAAAAAATTGTACTATAGAAAATAAGGAGATGTAAAGCAGTTTATCTATATGTCTTTACTTAATTTGAATTTATTGTAATACTACATATTATTAGATATACTAGTAAATTAAAACTAAAACAAAATAAGATCAAAAATTACTTTTAACATTTTTTTAATTTTTCTTGATTTTTTTAATTGATGATTTATGCTGTATGAGGTTTATGCTAGCGGGGTGCCAGTGGAGGATGATAAGTTGAACATAAGGTCAGGTCCGTTAGCCCATCGTGACAAATTCACGAGGAATTTATAGGTTGGGGAACTACGTTGAGGTCCACATTACTAACAATCTCCTGTCCCCTAAAGACTCTATGTTGTATGTTTTTTTTAAAGGATATAAAGAAACTTCTTTAAGGGCATGTATTATATCTATAAACTTTCCTCTTGAATCACTCTATTTATTAAAAAACCCGCTTCAAAATCCGTTGAGTAATTTTAAAGATTTAAGCATACATAGGGACGGATAGACAGCGCCAGCGACTTTATGTAATAATGATATAGATCAAAAAGCCCTAAAGGTGTGTTTAACATTTACAAGCAAGTTTGTTGTAATGTTTTTCATATTTATTATTATAATAACATTATAACAATCTTGCTTTAAAATAAGCCAAGTTAACAAAAATAAATAATTTCCTTTAGGTATAACAATAGCTTACTCGAGGCAATAATTAGAAATTAAATATTTTTTATTGTTACCAATTTTTTTAGATGGATTCATTATTAATTGTTATAAAGAAAATAACAATAAGTACATATCTACACATTATATATGACATAACACTGTCAAAGTTTAGCTACGCTAGCTAGTAAAACTAGCTTTATTATACCCGCGACATCGTCTGCTTTTTTAAAATATAGCCTTTATACGTCCACGTGATTTCGATCTTCAAGTCAAATTTCATTAAGATCCCGTCAGCATTTAATCGTGAATAGGGAAGGTCGTCTGCGTAGTTACCTATGTCTAACCTATTTGAGGCGCCAAACAGCCTGTACTAAGTAAGGTGTAAGCTGTGTTTCGGTAAAAAGATAAGGCAGTTAATTACAGGATAAGATGCAAAACATCTTAGTCCTCAGCAATGGTAACGAATGAGCGGTATCACAGACAACATGATAACGTGATGTCCGTAACGTCCATGGTTATAGTGGTTATAGGCGACAATTACCACTTATTATCAGGTGGTCAGAACAAACAGACAGGTGTGTTTGTTTTTTATGTAATGACCATCAAATCTAACGGACCGCATACTCTTATATTTATAACTAGCTGTAACCGCGACTTCGTCCGCGTGGAATTTAAGTTTGTATTTCTAAAATAAAAGATTTTTTCTAAAATAAAAGTAGCCTAAGTTACTTCTTATTATTATCAGCTACCTACCAATAAAAGTCCCATCAAAATCGGTCCAACCATTTCAGAGATTAGCCGGAACAAACAGACAGACAAACAGATAGACAAAAATTGTAAAAAGTGTTATTTTGTTGTATGTACCGTATTTATATGCATATGCATGTAGTAAAAAACGGTTATTTTAATATTACAGACACTCCAATTTTATTTATATGTATAGCTAAGAGTATGTGTATATTGTAGTACAAATATAATAAACTAGCTTTGTATCCAGTTATCTGTTTAGTGAAACCAGTTATCAGTCTTTCCCGCGGAAACATCGGGAAATCTTTTTATATGTATTTTCGTAGTTTATGTTAGTTATATTTATGAGATATTCAAATTAATAAATTAAAAGTCTAGAACATTATATATTATGATTTTTTAAAAGTATTAAACCAGATCGAACAAAAAAACGAAATATAAACCCTTTTACCACGTTGGAACATTATATATTAAATACATACAGTATATTTAATCAAATATTATTTATACCATTCATTAGTCAAGCTGTCGAAATAAAATCGCAAATTGCACCCTGATATATATACATTAAAGCCAGTCGTTTTATAGTCTTCAATACTGAAGTTCATAAAAATATTATTATGTTTCATTTATTCATTTACAGAAGATTAAATTTTGTCATTGTGGGTTTAAATCTTTTATAACTGAATAGCGCAATATAATTTTAAATTAGGTACATTTACATTTAGAAACATTTACCTTTGCATTATGTACCTATTTACCTAGTTAGTTACTTATTACTGTTTGCATTATGTAAACAACTTAAACGAGAGTTTAAACTTTTAAAGAGTCTAGAACTAAATGGGAAGAAAGCTTTATCAAAATAGTAATAAATGTAATTGTGTATATTTTGTTATTGTTTCTTAACATAATCATTTCCATAATATATAATAATACAAAATTATTATAT